GAAAAAGGTCTTTAACTGCTTTAGTAGACTGTTAGTACCATATTAGACTTGAAACAATTCATATTATTTGTAATTAAAAGTACCACCGTAGTATTGTTAACTCGAAAAATGTCTACACACAGACACTTCAATAAGGGTTTTCTCGGTAATTTCCTTTTTCCTCATGTCCTAATTAATAGACATTGTTGAATGAGGTGTCATTTTAAAGCTTACAATATAGAGCAGAGAAGAATGGTAGGAAAAAGGTAGTTTCGATACCAGCACTAAAGTGCTTCTCCCAAATTTTTTTATTTATTTCCAAACGGCACTTTCAAGTTAAATTTGATCCAAATCGAATTCACCTTTTCCAATTCATTTTTATGAGATTTTAAATTTCATGATTTTTTTACGCACTGAACTCGATTGAAATAAGCCAAGCGTATTTGCAATTAAAACTTTGAACAGAGATCCAAACAGGGAACAAAAAAGTGTTTATTTATTGTACAGGTACTGTGGTAAAAATGTTTACGGAAAGGATAAACCTACAATACCTCTATGCTACTGGTTGGGGAAGATAAAAACTAAGCTGTTGCGACAGGATAAGCTTACAAACGCGCAGTGAATGAAATACAGTGGCAAGAGGTGAAAAATCTTTTGAACTAACTTAAATTGTACTATGAGGAATTTATGTTTGTACAACTTAACAAAACTCCATTAAGTTGATACATGTGATGGAATCTGAAGGTTTGCATTAATGATACATTAATGTATGTTATAGTACCTATTGAATAAGGACGTACAGATTCAGTAGTAATTTCAGACTAAATTTTCACCTATATCCTTATGCATAATGTATATCCAGTGGCGTATTCAAGGAAGAGTTAGGGGTTTGAACCCCCCCCCCTCACTTGACCTTTAAACGTGATGTTTTGACCATTGAATCTTTTATACAATTTTATATGCCTCTAAATGTCTTTAAAATGAGAGTTTACAGGTATAATTTTTAAAAGTTTTCTGAGATTTGACCCCCGGACTCACCTACCCTGGGGGATTGACCCCTAGACCCCTAGTGTAACCCTCCCCTTAGGATCATCCTAGTTATGCCCATGTGTATATCAGAATCTTCTAACTTGTTGACAAAGCTTAACTGCACTAATAAAATCTTCAATAAAGTCTTGAATCATAGATCGATTCAAAAAATGATCCAATGGTATATAGGAACAATATTTAGGCATAAAGTAAAAATTTTACCAACTGTTACATAACTACTCAGTAATGTATTTTAGAATAATTTATACTCATTGTCATTTTACACTACTAAATAAACATTTACATCGATAGAAAAAGAAACATTCAAGTATCAAATAAATTAGTTCAAAGTGTTTTATTATTATTAGCAAGTTAACTATAATGTTATGTATAAAATTGGATTTTAAAGTGGCTCACCTACTCTCTAAAACGTTATTATTTCGTGCATATCACATTCATTCTACTCTTGTGGTTTCGAGAAGCTTAAATTGGTTAAGATGTGGAAAGTCAACTTTCAAAGATCAAACACAACAATTCAACTTCTCAAGAAGTTTTTGACGTTCTAACAAGATTAGTTGTAAAACTGTTAACATAAATAACGTAACTTTTCTTCGCTTCTGAGCCCATTAAAACTAAGAGAGGTTCTTAGTTAAAATCAGTAAAGTACGTTAAATAAAGAGTGAAGTTATTTCGTTGTTTTTAGTTAAGAGTTGTTTTATTAACATCTGTTTGTCCTTTTTAAGTAAGAGTTACTGCTTGAAAGAGTGATTTTAAGTGAAAGATTTGTATTTATGTTTGATTAAAATCACAAGTTTTTATCATTTGTTTAATATTTTCGTATGTGTTTTATAAAAATGTAGCCATTTCAACGTTTTCAAACAACTTGATTGTGTAGTTTTATTTTATATGAGGACGCCATCCTGCAAAAACTGCTCAAATATTTATCTAAACAAGATAAAACCTTAGGTTCTTATTTCCCTGCAGATGAAAAATACAACCTATTAACAGATAAGCATATTCAAACCCTCCCTGTTTGAATGATGGTGGTTTTTATATAGCAACAAATTCTATTGTATCTTCCATAAGTATGTTGTAGAGTCTTACTTAAATCGAAATCTTGCTCTTACTCATTTTATTTACGTATTCAAGAATATATTGATTTTTTGTCTCTTTTAACTGTTATTATAAACTTGATGAAAATAAACCCGTTTTTATAGCAAGTCTTTTTCAGGTTTCAATACTTTTTACAGTGATGGATTTGCTATATTTTAAATATTTCTAAGTCTCATTTTAAATACCGAATCTAATCGCAATTTTTTCAATTATCTAAGTATACATTTATCTTTAAATATTAAAGTTAAAAAAGACTAATACTGTGTTTACTTTTAACGAACTTTTTTACGTGATTCAATTTGTACGGCATTAACAAAAGGTTCAGGCGTTGTGTTTATGTAACTTTATTTAATTCCCTAAATTATTAATGCATTATTCACACCCTCTTAAAGTGCATCAATAATATATTTTGCTTAAATCACAATTTTCAGTCAAAATTTAACATTCCTTTTTCGTGCAGTTAAAAGCTTTTTCAGGAATGATATGCATGCTTCAACTACAGGTTAAATACTGGATTCCAACAACGCAGTAGTTGCAATTTACCTAACTTTTTTCATTATTTGTACTTTTCTTTAATTGTGTTGCGTGATTTCGAGTTATTTCTCTGGCCATTTCATCAGTAAGAAATAGTTCACCATGTCTTAAAATGTAATTTAGGTATTCTACTCTTTCTATAAATATTTCAATTAGTACTAATTACTACTTTCAATAGAACTGCTTTTTTAAATTGACTATTTGCAAATAATTCATCAAAGTAAACCATTTTACCAATGCTAGATTAAATTATTACGAATTATTAACAAAGTGTTCACCACTGAGAAATGAATAAATTGAGCTCGTTATCACCAACAATAGACCAAAAGAATAATTTGTTCTTCATTGTTGCTTAAATAACTCCATGATCAGTATTGTTAGTCTACGTGTTATAAAATTACGGAAAATAAAAAAAAACTTCTTATAACAATTAAAATATTTATATACGCTTATATTGTTACTCACAAGACGGTAAAAAAACATCTATGTATTAAAAAAAACGTATATGTATTTTATGCAGATACAAGAATAAGTTATCAATCCGATGATATAGTATATTACGTTACTAGTCCTGAAAATAAGTGTTTACCGGACGAGTGTGGTCGTTCCCGTGCGAGACGAAGTCGAGTACGGGATTACCATACGAGTCCGGTACGCACATTTTGGACGAGTTACGTACGATAGTTTACGCCATACTACTAAATCTGTACAAATCCTTATATATTTCCACCAACTAAAGGACTAAAAATCACTAGTCATGAGAGGTTATGTTTTTGTTTATAACCACTCATTGCCACCTAAATACAGTATAATCAGCTGATTGGTGTCCGGTAAAACTCATTACAGTACAGTAGTACGCAATGAAACCCCATTTGAATAAGCTGACGGCAAACAGCTGTTTTCTGGACTAAATCCTTGCGTGGGAAGTTCGTCAAAATAGTGTAGTGTGGCGTAAAAAAGATTTAACTTTGTTTAAGCGATACACGATGAAACATGTTTGTCTGTCGCGAAGCGCGATATTTCGAGACAAATAATAAAAAGAGAGTGTTCTCCAAGATGAGATGAATAAATAACCGGGAATAAACATCTGTTACTTCGAATCCGTGTGACATTTCCATTGATGTGTTTGTTCCTTTTGACGTTTTATACTAATCGACCCCAATACGACTTGAGTATCTAAGAGTTGAAGTGGATTATCGGGTCAAATATGTAAAGTAATTTACTACATCTGAAGTAGTTAGGTAACTGGAAAATATGTTTGGTTGCTACTTGGAATGGACAAGATTGAACTTCTTAGTTCGGGATTTTTTTCGGGGTGGGAATGAGACGGAATTTTCCAAACCAAGCCAAATGGGTGTACTTTAGTAAAGCTTGAGTAAATATTCTTGCAGATGGAAATTATGAGAAACTAAATGAATTTGCAGTCTTTTTGGCACTACTCTATAAAAACCGATTATAAATAAAAATATATTATTAAAAGGTGTTTTCCAAAAATAATAAATAGCAATCCAACCGAACAATTTAATTTAATGCCACATCTTACTATAAAAACACACTACCTAACTACAGGTACTTAAGCCGGCTATCACTGCATTTTTTACTACGTATTGTTTTAGGGTCTGATTTTGTGACCAGCAGGAAACCAGTTCTGTACTATTTTTCTACTTTAGGCTAACACTAATTAAAAAATGCATGATAGCTATCTTTAGTAGCCTAATCATGAATTTTATATTGTATAAATACCTGTTTGTGATTAGCTTGCGGTGTATTTTTATGATTTCACTATTTCTATTATAATCCATTATCCAACATTATACGATCACGGAGGACATCATAATTGTATGCTAAAATCATCGGAGTATATAACACAACTTTTTGTGTTATATACTTCGATGGCTAAAATAGCAGAATGTTTTTACATCATGAAGATGTTGCGATCGCAGGAAACGATGATGATGTCTCTGTAACCACTGCAGATGTTCACGATGTTGCCACGGTTGCGGGAGATGCCAAAAATTTCTGCTATTGCGGCAATCGATCATGATGTCCTCTATCGTGGGAGATGTTCACGATTTCATCGATATGGTGGGTGATGTCTCCCGCGATCACTGACATCATTGTCGTCATCCCGTCACACCAGCGCCATATTTCTCGCAAAGCGACGAAACCGCCCTGAAACAAATATTTCCAGGGAAAATTCCAAATTAGATGTAATCCCATCCCAAAAAACTAAGGGTATCTTTCCCCAAAAGTGTCCCGAAATGTCCTCACCCGATCCTTGACTCTTTTATGTACGAACTTTTTCCCTTTTGCATACATTTTCTCACAATACTCTCTTGTTCCAGCACGTTGGATGCGACGGTGTGGTTGGCTCCGACCAAAGATACGACTCATGTGGAGTGTGTGGGGGCAACAACAGCACCTGTCGGGTCATATCTGGACTTTTCACACAACCTCAGTTGCCTGTGGGGTACAACCTCATCACCCAAATACCTCAGGCAGCTTGCAACCTCACCATTACCGAATTGAAACGCAGCAGAAACTATCTAGGTAAGATTTACTACTTTGGAAGTCAACGTTTTAAATATTCTAATGTTTATTTGTATATTTGGTGTATTTTTAAATTACAGAGATTTACTGTTTATGGACAATCTTATAATTTGGCAGCCCCGTTTCCTTTACTTTAATTACTGATAATCTGATTTGCATTTTAGCATTGTTGTCTACATGTAGTGTTATTGGGACTTAATTGTGAATGATAATCAATGTTTTTTTTTCTCAAGCTTAACGAGTATTTAGATGAGTATATTAAAGGGAAATCATTTTCTTTTGTGACGAGAAATGATTTCAACTATGGTTTCAGGCGAGTTTCCATTGTAAAATAATTGTACAACAACTACAGATTTTACAGACGAAAAAACCAATAATACAATCCATGTGTTTTCATGTGCATTATACAATGTGTTACATAGGTCGGGTAAGTGCCAATCCTGAAATGCACATTAGCCTTCTGTAATGAGGTAGGGATAGCAACATACCAGCTTATGAGCTTTTTTTTATATAAACAGAGTCTCTCTGCAGTTATAGTTTGGTTGTGTTAACGAAAATCCTGTTTGTATGCCTATATATTTTTGATTTCTTCAACGCCGATACTCCACTGTTTAGGACTACGAAATTAAATACCAACAAATTTAAACCTTTATTCAACTTATTGTTCTTTATAATACTTTTTACTTTCCTAATGTCTTTGGAAGAACCCTTTTGTATTTTACCCTTACACAGTCAATACATCTTGTAACATCATCGTGGTTTTTTGGTTTGTTTAAGCTTCAAAAACTGTTCTTTTTACTTATTTTATTGTAATGGCATTCTAATGTTCATGCATAAGGAACTTTCTTTTCTTTCTTTCTATTTTTAGTTGTTTTCTTGATTTTATGAAACCTTGAACAATTGCTGTTTTTGTTTTAACTCCTACTGTACTTCTTTATTACAAAAGGTAAATAAACAAATTCGTTTAAATAATAAATGTTCATTCATGATTAAGGATTACCAGTGTTGAGCTATATATTATTCAATAGCTTAAATCGATTTCATAACTCTGCTGTATCAAAGAGTTCCTGGAAGTAGCGTTTAAGAGTTTAAAGACGAGCTCTCAGTTTGTAGGCTATTTCCCTATATACAGTAGTCAAGTTGTCTAAGCACCCACTGGCATTATTAATCGACCAAAGAACTTAAAAGTTAATAATTCTCCAGGCATCATTTTTTGCATAATTTTGTATAACAGCACTGATGTAAGGAAATTGTGCTGTGTTGAAACATCACAAAGTAAAGTTGTTCTGACTTCTACAGTGATCAATCTTTGCTTTTCAAAATGTCGTCCAACTTCTCCTTCAAAGACTTTTTTATGAAAACTTCATTATTGAATTTTTCCAGCTCTTCGAAAGGTTGACGGGACCTTTATCCTGAATGGCAACTGGGCAATAAACTGGTCTGGGCAGTTTGATGCTCTGGGGACCCAGTTTACGTACCACAGAGAAGACGAAGATATATCAGAGTCCATAACATCGCCTGGGCCCTTAGCAGAGCCTCTGGATCTCATGGTAAGTTGTTGTTGGAGTTCCTTGATATATTGTGTGAAGAAGTAGAGGTAATGCCTTTAATGCCATATGAAAACATTAACTCTGTCTGCTGGGAATAACCTACAACAGAAACAGTCCAAGAGTGTACAATCTTCGGAAGAACAATGAAATATGCCATGCATGTCTTAGACAAGATATTGAAGAATGTCACGAGATTAGTATTCAGGTGTCATGTGTTTAAGGTGTTGATTTCCTAAATCAATCAGGATCTAGAAACATTAGTAAATAATGTTTTCTAATTTTTGTTTATAATTAACTGCAATGTTTCGTATTTGCCAAAAATTCAGAGGTTGTATACCTATATTTGTAAATCACTCAACAGATAAATTATGTCCCTAAAAAGATTCTTGTCCTAACCTAATGGAAATAAATTCCACATTCTTATTATCATAAGTGTTTATGAAAGTTTAAGGTATTCCTAATTTGTACAACTCAAAAAATATTTTTTCCAGGTAATATACCAGCAACCCAACCCTGGGATCAGGTACCAGTACCAACTGCCAGTGACACCCCAAGACAACGCCATTGGTGTCTATAAGTCCAGGGACTCTCCTATGGCAACACTGCTCAGACAAGCAGGTAGATCATCGTATAAATTGCATAATAAACTCATGTAATAGGTGTAAATACACTGCAAGTGTATAGCTCTACACAAACTATAATAAGTTGGCCTTAGTCACTAACAAGACTACAAGATCGCGCCACTCATCCTACACTCATCTCCATTCATACTTGGCTTAAAATACCTACTTTGTACGGTCGCCATTTCATTGAAAAATTATTAACGTATTAAGTACAGTATATACCATAAATAGAAGAAAATGTCTCACTTCCTAAAGATACCACACTCTGTGATGAAACATATCTGAGAATATTATACATAGAACTTCTGCAAGGGCAAAAGTATTGGCCTTATAATCCTTGATTTTATGAAAACAAGGTTTTGTAGAATTCTGCAATATTTCCTTTAAAATCTGTTGAGTGTTGATGGTAATCTGGTAGCTTGTTCAACAATTTGGTTGTGGTGTAATTATTTAAAGCTAGCTTGTGTAGTGGCATAAAAGGCACATCTATTTTGAAATATTGTTACAGTTTATTGTAACATTTAATCGTTAACAACTTTAATTTATGTTACAGATGCCCCATCACCTCCGAAAGAAAAAGTAAACGATAAAAATGTTGAAACCAGGTGAGTCACAATATTGTCTAACGCTATATATGTCAAACTTGAAGTTTTTAGCCTACAAATAAACATTCAAAAATACCTATTAATGACAATCTTTAAGTTCTTTCTTATAAAATGAATACCTAGACGAAATTAAAAGTAGACCTATGAAACGTCTAGGCCTTACTGTCCATATGGCAATCATTGTAACTGCATGCTTAGTTTCGAATGTTTGCAAACATACTGTGCTGAATTTTGTAATTAGAAAATATTCTATCCAAAATTATTGTTGTAAAGCAATGCAATTTAGAATGATTAATAAGCATACTGTAATGTCAAAGTGCATTCAGCAATTAGAATTTCAAGCTGTTATATTTTTATTTTAATACCAAACATTTACTACAGAGAAGTAATGTACAGAGGAAAAATGCTTATGGCACAACTGTGCCTTTCAGCTCTGGTATGTTGTGCTGGAAATATACTGCGGAAAAACCATGAGCCTTGTAGTACATGGGCGAGGGGGGGGGGTGGTGTTGGACATTTCCCTATACATTACAACAATTTATACATTAGCCAAGACGCCACAGTGGCATCTTGCACCTGCAATGCTAGACGTTAAAGTGTACTTTTAAGTTTTTTTTTTTTTTACTTTACTTTTCTGTGGCTATACAAATTCAATTGTGTAATGATACTTTCCAAAACATCACAAGAACTTTCTCAGGTCCTTCATCATTTTATAGTGTCATCTCATGCTGTGTTTTCCTATAGGTTAGGTAGTTCTGGCTTTCCCTTTCACATATGTTTGTATTATTTTGTTTTGAGACAGATTTAAAGGATATAGAAGCCAGAGTACATATAAAACAATGGGCTATTGGTCGCTGCCAGTGCCAGTCAGTGGTGTAGTCAAAAATATCCCAATGTGGGGTCGCTTACCAAGGTCGTGGAAAAAATGTGCTGCTTACCAATATACATAGGTTCTTCATAAAATCATCAATGACGTTTGTTAAACCGTTTTAGCCGCCACGGTCCGATATATCGGACGTCTGCTAAATGTTTGTTTACTGGGTCTAGTTCTTACAAGGCTCACAGGACGCTCCTTGACGTCATATTGATATGGCACGTTTCCCATATCCCAGTTTTCCAACATTAGGCTACTTCAGATCGTCGGCACTGTCTGTGACCTCAGTGACGTAATTGTCGTCTGCTTCTGCAACTGTCAAAGTGTCAAATCGCCAAAATTGGTTGTTTGTTTAAAATGTATAATATTGATACTATTGATAAATTATTGTTATTATTTTATTGACTTTACATGGAGTAATTTATTAATACAGTTATTGAGATGGTACGGTGAAATATATACAATGAATTTTCAAATAAAATAACGTATATTTGTAAGCTAGATTAGATAACCTCTTCGGCTCCACTGTTATGGTCACAAGCTCCATCCATACTAAATGTTTTATGGTGAGTGAAAATTTAAAAACGTACGTTTTCAAGAAAAGGACTTTATAATATGTTTTTCTCTTTTTCGGAACGTTTTTTTTTTTATTTTTTCTATATCATTTCCATTTGAAGTTTCATAAAATGTCTATGGTAACGCAATATCTTTGGTGGTTTTTTATTAATACAGCGTCTTTGACGGAAAAACACAAAGTTCTGTCACGACCATAACGAACGTAAAAATGAATATTAAAAATAGTTAATGGTATTTTTATAAATATGTTTTGCTGTAAATAGATTTAGTTTTAGGGCCATTTTGCAATAAGCAGCTCACTAAGCTTTTGGTATAGTTGGTATTTTTAAAAATATCAAAAACAAAAGAATTGAAAAATGTACCCTAGGGACACGTGATGGTCGTGAATTTCGAGACTTAAAAAATACCTAGAACCTACTTAAAACCAAATATATGTTTGTAACATGTTGCCCCCGTCCCAAAAAATATTAAAACACATAATTATATACTACAAATACAGTATATACGAAGTAAAAGGCCAGGGACATTAAAACGAACGTTTCTAAATATTCACTCTGGTATCTTAGCCTTAAAATACCTATGTGATTTTGCATAGCCTATGAAGCTTGATCTCTGTTATAATTTATTTTTTATAAGTTAAATAAAAACAAATCTTTTTCTGAGCATTTAAAATGTACTGAGATGGAGTATATGTCAGTAAATATAAAGTTATTATTAAATATTTCATATTTACTTATTTAAATAGTTAAAAGCGTCAATTCAGATTGTCCCTATTTTAACATTAGCTCAATTCCTTTCTAGTCGTAGCACAGGTTACGAACTTCATTTAAAAAAATTGCGTTTAAAATTAAACTTTGTATTTTAAAACAAACTACTTGCACTCTGAGGATGGTGCCATTCAATAGCACTCTTTTTAAATATAAAAATTGTAAAAGCTGGACCATGGATGGGATTTTTTGCTTCAGTAAGTCAATATTAGTTGTAAATAAAAATATTTGTCACACATTTTACTGACAAAGAGGGTTTCCTTGCGCTGATAATAGCACACAAAGTAGCTTATTGCTGCATTTTCTTACTTTTGCTGCACTCATTTTTTTGCCATACTCCAGTATTAATTTAACCAAACAAAAAAACAGCATCCGAATTCCAACACCACTAACCAGAGCCACTAAAATAGCAAAGGAATGGAACTGGAAAGTGTTCGAACGTCATGAAATCGTTCCTCTTAAATCGAATGAGTATGACACACAAATCGAATCGGCATCGTCTGGGCTTCATGTAGCAAGGGCTTTGGCTGCCTTTGTATGTGTTTTTTTCTCGTCGTGGACGGGATTTCCTGAGATAGCGTCGTCTGAGTGATGTTTGTCAACACTACAGTGATCGTGTCACGTGTGTTTCGTGTTTGTAGACATAGAAAGTTGTTTCTAAAGTAAAGACTTAAGTTAGTTGTTCTGATGTGTTTTTAGTTAGTAAATATGAGTAAACGTGGTCGAAATAAGTCGCCAGTGAGTGAAGACACGAAATGTCATAGCTTGACAGAGGGTGGTGTGCAATTAGACGATGGTGATTTGAGTGATGATTTCATAAACGAAATTGATTCGTCGTCTCCAGAACCACCGGAATCGTGTTCTGATTATGATTTGGATGAAACAGATGATTCTCTCCCTGATTTATTTAGGGATGACACAGATGAAGACCCGAATTATGTACCTTCTACAGATGTAGTCACTTCCGAGGTAAAAATTCACCTAAACTTTCCAACATGTAGTCAGTTCTTATCCAGGCCTAAGCCTAGTTCTGGCCCTAAGCGACCTCGAGATATGCCTAAAAAAAGTACTTCTCCTGTTGTTCCTCCAGCACCAATAGATAATGGAGCTATAGACCTATATGACTTGGTAAATGAACTTAGGCGTAATGTGGCTCAAGAGAGACCTGCTTCTAAGGAGCCCATAATCTGGGACACTGTTGAGGAAGGATCTAATTCTTTCCCTCATTCATTCATGTATGATGAAATTCCTGGCCCAAAACACTGCCCTGATGGTACTGCCAGGCCTATTGATTATTTTTATTTATTTTTTTCATTGAATCTGCTAAATAGTTTTGTAGAAATGACAAATCTTTATGCCAGAAATTACCTCCGATCATATGCAAATCTGTCCCCCAATTCAAGAGCGAGGTCATGGACACCAGTTACGGTAATTGAAATGAAAGGCTTCATAGCTACAATATTGAACATGGGTCTTGTTCGCAAACCAACTATGGAATCATATTGGTCCACTAATGAGACTTTGTCAACGCCCTACTTCAGAAAAATGTTTAGTAGGAACCGTTTTGAAGCACTACTTCAATTTTTTCATCTAGTCGACAATCAAAATCTACCTAGGCCTGGGGAGGAGAATTATGACCCTTGCGCAAAATTTGAGCCCCTCTTGAAGCATGCAAATAATGTCTTCAGGAGATATTATACTCCTCACAGGGAGTTGTCAATTGACGAAAGCCTCATCGGCACTATAAGTCGTTCCAAATTGACCCAATACCTCCCAAACAAGCACCACCATCGGTCGGGTATTAAGATCTGGATGCTTTGCGACAGTGTGAGCAAGTATTGCCTAGGGTCTTTCTGTTACAAAGGAAAAAGTGATGATGGAAAACAAGAGCATGGGCTTGCCTTTAAAGTTGTGGTAAAACTTTTGCAGTTGGGTCCATACTTGAACAAAGGATTTTCTCTATTTGTAGATAGCTTCTTTATGTCCATACCTTTGGCTGATTATCTGTATAAAAAGATGACTTACCTAACAGGCACTTTAAGGGAAAACAGTAAAGGTATACCTAATGCACTGAAGCAAAAATTTGAAGTAGGCCAAAAAGTTTACAACCGTAAAGACCACAAATTAATGGTTGCGTATCGGGAAAAATCCTCCCAAAAGAGCCCGGTGCTTCTTCTGTCAACTAAGTGTGTTGCAAAATCAGTAGAGATACGGAAAATAAGAAATAATGAGGTAATTGTAAAAGAAAACCCGGAGGTAATAGTTTTGTACAACTCATTCATGGGAGGTACCGGTAGGCCTATTGACCATTCAGACCAGATGATATATGCCTACCTCGATGAGCGACAGACTGTTAAGTATTGGAAAAAGGTGGTATTTCACATTTTTTCAAGAATGATTTTGAACTTGTACCTTATATATAAAGGAAACAATAGTGGAAAAGACATGAATAGGTTTCAGTTTACATTGTCCATAATTGACAGTTTGTCAAAAGATTGGCTTGACCATAAGTATCAGTTAGCGGGAGGATTAAATTTGCGGATGGCAGGAGTAGACAATCAGCGGCAAAATGACCAGTTTGGAATGGAAACCTTACCAGATAAAAAAGAGAGAAACTGCTGTGTGTGTAGCCCTATCAGTACTGCAGCAGGTGGAAAGAGAAAAAAATCCCGAACCGTATGCATTAGATGCCAGAAAGGTGTACACGGCGTGTGTTTCGGCCAACATAGGTGCTAGACAATGTTGACCATTTTACTTTTTTAGGATAAGTGTGTACCGGTACATAACTTTTAGTTTTATGTTGTTAATAATATGTGTTTATCTTTGTTTTTTGGCACAATGAAAAACTTTTGGATTCTTTCCTTTTTTTGTGGATGATTCGGCATTAGACTTTATATAGTGCATTCGAATGACGTGAAGACATCTAAACGCTCTGAAGACAATTTATTTCAAAACCTAAAAAGGAGCTTATTTTTCAAGGTAGGAATTTCATATTTTGCATGCTTACTAACAGATGTGTGTAGTAATGAAAAATAACACAAATATTGATAAAATATTTTTTATTCATACAGGCTAGGGTTATTGAATCTTGGTTTCATTCAAAGTTTTTATTTACCGGTACCGTATTTATTTTTTTGGTTACATTTGGTAAGATTAAAAAATCAATTCTTAAACCTTCATGAATGTTAAATATTTTTATAAATGCAATTTTATTACAATTTTAGAAAAATATGTTAGTAACTGATCAAAATATTTCAAAAAAAAATACCCCCTCTGCAGCAAACCTGCCAATTAAGCGAATTTCCAGTTGCCTGAATTGATTTTCAATTAAATCTATTTGATTAACATTAGGTTTTATCATTTTATGAGTACATAGGCTTGCTGCTACAGGGAGGGTAAAAAAGTATGTTTTTTTATTAAAATATTAATAACTTGGTATAAAATAAATAAATTTAGGTTTTAATAACCTACAAGTTTGATCAAAATATATCCTTAGCAAACTACAACATTTTACAATATTCTCCATAAGAATGACATAGGAATTTTAAAATAACAATTAAGCTTATTTGAATTTTCTCCGTAACCAATAATTGTAAAAAAAACACTTCAATATACTAAATTATTTGTTTTTTAAGCTCTTTAAAAAGGTCTAGGGAGAAATTGGGAAATTTTGTGTTTAGAGGGTCAAAAATTAGAAAAACCAATTTTCACCCCATAAAACCCCCGTTCCCATGGTCCGATCATGCTGGTTCGCGACCTCATTCATGTTTATCCCGCCTTACACCTTCAAACCAAATTTCATCCAAATCTTTACATATTAACCAAGTTATCGTGTTCACGGACACATATACCCTATCCATACCATGTAAATATATGGTATATATATATATATACGAATATATAAAAATTGGAACGAATGGTGTTTTTGACCTCTTTTGGACATCAAAATGAAAAAGTAAATAGGTCCCGGGCCTAGGTCTTACCATGCCACTTACGGTACGGTAATAGCTACTTCCCTATAAGGAAATTCGCTAAAATAAAAAAGTTATATAGCCATTTTATATAACTTTTAAGCATTGCGTTTAAGTACGAAATGGCCTCGTCGTTTCTCGATTATACGGATGAAAAAATGTTAGCGGCAAAAGGGTTAGCAATGGAAATGAAGTAAAATAGTCAAAAACACAATAATAACCAAAAGTTTGTCTAATAAATATATTATTGTTTCAGGTTCAATGGGAAACTATTTCCATATGGAAACAATGTCCTTGGTTCAGAACTTCAAGGTTATTCTGGGGATGAGGCTCCCAAACCGAAACCGAAAGGAAAGAAACGAAAATTCGCTTGGAAGATAACTGGGTTCTCAGAATGCTCTAAATCTTGTGGCGGAGGTTAGATAGATAGCTTCAATAGATATCTATACTTAGGTTTTAGATACCTATTAGAGTTTCACTTTTCTGCCTTAAGTTTTTTTTTTGTTTTTCCAAAAAATGTTTTATGAGTTTTATATTTAGTGTAACCTAACCAACAATACATCAGCAATCAGACAAGAAGTACCATTTGGAGGATTTGGAGGACAAACTGACTAAAGTATCCTAAAATAAAATTTAAATTTTACTTACATTTGTTCAGACTTATAATACACGTTTAGGAAAACCATTAAATTGTAATTCCCCACATTGGTGTAGCCTATAGGCCTGTGTGAGGAAAGAAACTCCTATTTTTCTCTGAATATTACTTAAGTGTGTGGCAGAACTATCTTCTGCCATATACTTCAAATTGAAAACAATCAAGTCAAAGTCAGGTACACATAATTTTCAGGGTTTTATTAGAGTTAACTAGAGGTACCTAAAGTTAACATACTTTAGTTTTGTGGAGCAATGTGTCTTATATTACCTATTAGGTAAATGAAAAATAAGCACACAGGTAGGGCCTACCGTAAAAAAAAGAGTTAAGATTTGGCTGATTTTGCAAATCCATTTAAGCAAGAGGTACATTGGTATTATCCGAAGGGCACCCTTATACAGCACGCTGCGACGGTTATGTTAGTTTGGGTTATCATAAAATGGAAATAACATACTGGTAATTGACTTACTGTCCGAATGTGATATGATTACAATTAACGGCCTTTGAGTTATGGCTCCCAGAAGGCAGTGATGTCGGCGAGGATTGAGTTGTATGTGTCGCTGCCTCTAGCTGCCATAGGCGGTGACAGGTGATGCGCACGCTACGGTCAACAACCTCACCCTGGCCTACTTGGAGGGGATTTGATTTGTCGAGCGAAATTAAAGTATGACTCATCTGGTGTTGTTTGATTCATAATGAAACGAGAAAAGTCCTACAAACATATTTATGATAACCCAACCTATCATAACCGCCGCAGCGGGCTGTATAAGGGTGGCCTCCGGATAATACCAAAGTACCTAGCAAGAATGCCCCTTATCATCAGATGGATTTTTCTTAAAACATTTACGTGAATTTTTATTTTCTATTGAATCCTACAGGTTTAAATATAGTCCATAACTACAATAACTTAATTGGTTCAATCCAAATCCTTAAGCTTTTAGATAATTTAAAACTAAACTTTTCTGTTATCATTCTTAGGCTTGTAAGTACAGTAGTTTAATTAGTGATCAAAATGATCATATTCAAACCAAAATTATTCCCTCAGGAGTTCAGACTGCTGTGGTTGTCTGCATCCGGGAACACAATCAGCTGAAGGTCCCGGATAAAAGATGCGCCAGTCTGGTGAAACCATCTGCACAAGTGATGCGGTGCAACTTAAAACCATGTGTAGCAGAGTGAGTATAGATTAATAAAAAAAATTACTTTCATAATTACTAAATTAATTTTAATGTATTCATAATTACTTTGATAACATTGATAAAGGATATGTTATGTTAAATAGTTTTAATCGTGTGTATTAAATAATTTTAACCACTCAACTAAATCACTCTAAATAGAGTTTTAATATGTATCAAAATCCGGATACCAAAAGGCTTCTGTTTACATGTTCTACCTGTGATGTCCGTTTTCCACTGGCTTTACATTTTTCCTTAGGCTTTTAAGTCTAAAAAAAAATTGTCTTAATCCTTCCTTATCTAAACTTGGTGTACTTTTCCAGTTTTCTCTTTTTTAAATGTGTGAAATGTTCCAAGATGCACCAAACACCTTATCTAGGTTCATACTAAATCTTCTTCATCTGACTTTAACCCTAGCAGTGGCCAATGTTAGAAGTGGGGAATGGCCAACCCATTTTGGCGATTTTGCAGACCATTTTTTGAAAATTCGTAAAAATTCAACCGTACAAGTAAACCTAGCCAACCTCATATTCATTTTGTTCGGAAAGAACAGGAGAATCTAGAAATAGTAATATCATAATGATTTAGACAGTGTATTTTATCGGTAAAGTGAAAAAAATAAAAAAAAATTGAATTTTTTTTTGAAATTTCAAAAGCGGCCTCTGCATTTTTTTTCTACAGATTTTTTTATGGGAAATTTATTATATACATTTTGTAGACAATCTAATTCCCTACATAGAAATATATAACATGTTATGAAAATATTTTTTTTTATAAGTTTTTGGGGCGAAATATAATGACAAACGGAGAATCGAAAAAATTGAAAGCCGTGCAGTGTTAGTTTATGTTGTAAGAAGTTCTATAATATATGTCTATACTAATAATGATATATACATGTTTGTAAAGCTAATGAAGTAAGGAATAAAAAAAAGTCATAAAGTTTATGGTAAAAATAATTTTTTACCTATAAACATACGTATATAAAATAATGTTTTTATATTTTAGTGATTTCTCGAGAAAAAAATTCACAGTACTTAGTATACAACTTTGGACCAAATTTGTTTACTTCAAACCAACATAATAATCTTGTAGTGTATTCAAATACCTACATAAAAATGTATAACATGTTAGAAATATTTTTTTTTTTGTAGGTACGTAATAGGGACATAATAATACAATAACCGCAAAACCGCAAATAAGTGTAAACTATAGCCTACAGTGTTTGCTTGTGTTGTGAAACATTATGTAGGCTGATGATATGTAGCCTACATATTTGTAAAGCTAATGAAGTAAGGAATCCAAAAAAGTCATAAAGTTTATGGTAAAAATAATTTGTTACCTATAAACATACGTATATAAAATAATGTTTTTATATTTTAGCGATTTCTCGAGAAAAAAATTCACAGTACTTAGTATACAACTTTTGTACCAAATTTGTTTACTTCAAACCAACATAATAATCTTGTAGTGTATTCAATTACCTACATAAAAATGTATAACATGTTAGAAATATTTTTTGGTAGGTACGTAATAGGGACATAATAATACAATAACCGCAAAACCGCAAATAAGTGTAAACTATAGCCTACAGTGTTTGCTTGTGTTGTGAAACATTATGTAGGCTGATGATATGTAGCCTACATATTTGTAAAGCTAATGAAGTAAGGAATCCAAAAAAGTCATAAGTATGATGGTAAAAAGTTATTTTCACCTATGATTATGTATCAATTTGAAAACGTTTTGAATTTTTTGCGCATTTCGAGAAAATGGAGTGTACAGTATTTAGTAGCCTATATAATTTTTTTACCAAATTTTTTACACCCAAACCAATATAAACATGTTGTAGTGTATTCATTTACCTTTATAAAAATGTATAACACCTTGGGTAAATCATTATATAGCATATATAGCACCTCTGAATGTCAGAATCGTCATTTTTGAACATGATGCTAACAAAATACAGTAGTAGGCCTATTTAGTATAGGCTATAACTTTTTTACAAAATTTTTTACCCCCAAACCATTATAAACATGTTGTAGTGTATTCATTTACCTTTATAAAAATGTATAACACCTTGGGTATATCATTATATAGGTACAACAATCTCTGAATGTCAGAATCGTCATTTTAGGACATGATGCTAACAAAATACAACCTTTTATGAACACTATTTCACACAATTCAGTAATATTTATGCATGAAGATTACTGTTATACACACACACAACACTTCACTAACACTAACACTACGAACTAATAACATATTTAGTAATAAATCGCGGATAAAACTATTACCGGCAACAACACAAACAAACAATGGCAATACAAGGCAGCTGACAGACTGTAGCAGTAATGACTCACTTGTCGTCTACATGCGAGCATACAGAAATAACCCTGAGTGCAGGGCTGCCACTCTCTGAATCTAAATTTCTTCCTCTTCAAAATGATATACTATATGACTAGTAATAATAACTTTCACTGTATATAATTCGTATTTTCCATACTGTCACCAGACGACTGTTGGCCATTTGTTAGAAATTTCGAAAACAGCTGTTTTCATAAAATCGTACCGATTGTGCAATCAATATTTAGTTATAAATATCACTACCACAATGAAGATAAAATCAATGGCTATCCAGTGGTACCACCCGCAAAATCCCAAGACGAAAATTACCCGAGCAGGGTAATGCCAAACAAGACGTGTTTTGCCAGTTCCCAAGTGTCGGCTGCAAAAGTCGTACCGCGCCAAAATTTCATTTGATTTCTAATCGTCGTGACGTTGTTATATACCTGCTACAGGGTTTGTTTATGTAATCAAATGAAAGTTCAGAATGTGATCTTTCGAATGGTATATATATTATTCTCATCTGAGTTGATTGTAAGTGTTTTTTTACCGTTAAAAAAATTTTGGCCCATACCGTCACCAGACGACATTGGCCATTCTAAGCATCAACGTCATACCGTCACCAGGCGACCGTTGGCCACTGCTAGGGTTAAATGCTCCCTTCCAGTAGCTTCCCTGTGTTTTAAACAGACATAAGTATAATATACAGAACCTCCCTTCCTTATCCAACACCTTTTTCACATCTCCTTTGGGTCTCTTCAGTACATCCAAGTCCAACATGTCCTCTTCCAACAACAAAATTATGCTGATCAAAATGGTTATTTTATGATCTTTGAATGTTCAAAGATAAATAAATAAAAATGCCTTTATTTATCAAGCGTTTCTCAGTACAAATACTGCTTCTCAGAACAACTTTCGTCAATAACAATATAAAGCTAACAACAAATAAATAGAGCATAACAAAACAGAAACAAGACAATATGAGTAACAATAATTAACCATTAGTGCACAATTCTTTGATCTTAACTCTAAATGATGATAAAGAATATTTTTTGAGGCCAGAGGGGAGGTCGTTGTACAGTTTTGGACCGAAGTACGAGAAGCTTCGTCTCCCAAACTCAAGCCTCACTCTTGGAAAGTGAAGCTGGAGACCACCATGGCGGGTACTGCGCTGAGAGACCTCCTCCCGGAAAGAGAGCCTCTCAAGAAGGTACTGTGGCTCCTGTAAGACAAGAGCCTTGTGCACCATGCAGCACGTCATGATCCTGCAAACAGTGTCTACTGTTGTCATCCCCGCTACAGCTCTATAGGGAGAGATATGTTCAAATTTTTTGAGGCAAAATATGAAGCGAATAGCTGAATTTTGCAGTTTCTGCATTCGGGTCATGTCTACTCCAGAGATGCTGTTTCCATTAGCAGGGAGACAATATGTAAACACCGACAGGACTAGTGACTGCATGAGGCGCAGCTTCGCAGATTCTGGCAGCAGACTTCTAAACCTGTACAGCCCTCTCAGCCTTCCTAACGCACGCTGCGAAGCATGTGTGACATGGTCAGAGAAGGTGAGGCTGCTATCAAGCACAACGCCAAGAGTCTTTGACTTGTCACACAAAGTCAAAGACTCCCCGTTGAGCACAACACTCACTCCTCTCTCGCTGAGGGACTGCACCAAGTCTTGTGGCGCCGTATGCATCACAGTACACTTGCCAGTATTGAGTTTCAACCCATTTGCTTCTGACCACAAAAGGATTTTTCTCAGATCAGAGTTAATGAGATCGAGTGAAGCTCTAATCTGGGATGGCTCATAAGACAAGTGCAGCTGTGAGTCATCGGCATACAAATGAACTGTACAATGTTGCACACAGCTAGGAAGGTCTGCCGTGTACAAATTGAACAGAACAGGCCCAAGACAGCTGCCTTGGGGAATTCCTTGGGTTTTGACAAGCGGGGATGATGTTTCACTCTCTAATTGCGTCACTTGCAGCCTGGAGTCTAAGTATGACCTTATCCATTTCAAAATATTTTCGTCAAAGCCATAATATTTCATTTTGGCCAATAGCATCTCATGGTTCATTGAATCAAATGCCTTTGAATAGTCCAGCATAACTAGAGAACTATATTTACCCTTGTCTTTGGCGTCAATCATATCACTAAATAAGTTCGTCAGGGCTGTACACGTGCTATGGTTAGGTCTAAATCCAGACTGAAGTTTGGGTAATATATTTTGTGTGTTTATGTAGCTGACTATTTGGCGAATAGCTATCTTCTCTAATATCTTTGACATAGCTGGTAATATTGAGATTGGCCTTAGGTCTTCGACTTTTCTTGGGGCTGTAAGTTTGGGTAATGGTCGGATAATACTAATTTTCCAGGACTTAGGAAATTGTCCCTTGTCTAGTGATAGATTTATCAGATGGGTAATTGATTTTATCGCATACGGACTGACAGTTTTAATCATTTCAATTGAAATTTCATCGCTACCCACTGCTTTAGATTTGATCTCATTCATTACATCCATAACCTCTTTTTCACTGACATTTTGAAAATTGAAGGTATTTATAATGCCATCTCGTTTATTATCCATAAAATATTCCCAAAGATGTTTATCAATATCGGTCTCAGCTCCCATGTTTACAAAATATTCGTTAATCTCATTAGCTTGTAGATCATGTGGAATGCTTGAGTTACTCTTAGAGCCAATTATATCGTTCCTTTTGAGGCACGTCCAAAGATGTGCTAAAACTCCAAAGTCCTTCCAAGAACCTTCCTAATCTTTCCTCTTCCGACTTGTCCTTTTTTTGGAAAGCTCTCTTCCATTAGTTTCACTCTGTGTTTCAATCAGACATAATGTCTAATGTCTTGAACAACCTAACTCTTCCATATACAACACCTTTTCCTTTTTGTAATAAATTGTCCTTCTCCTTTCCATCTTCTGTACATATTCTTAATCGATCATTCTCTAACGTCTTTTTTCCATATACCAAGTTTATTTGTGTGAGTTTTTATGCCAGTGGCATTTTTTACACTTTGAAAGGGAACTGTCCAATAAACCCTAGTCTTGTTACTATCTAACGTTGTTTATTTTAAGATAGCATTATTAATTCATAGCCCAATGACAAATGGCATCTGGGTCTGGATACTAACTCACTTGGATTTTAAGTGGGTTTGAAGTGATTTCGTCTATTTATATAACAATGTACCAGGACATAACAAAAATGTCCTAAAACTTATCAATAACCTACAACTCTGGTTGACTGCAGGTGGGTAGGCGGAGAATGGAGCGAGTGCTCAGTCACGTGTGGCGAAGGAGTGCAGTCCAGAGAGATCCTATGTAGACAGCAGATCACCCCCACCCTGACCATGACAGTGGCGGAGGGTGCATGTCTAACCCCTCCATCCCCTCTCCTCACACGGACCCGTCCTTGTCAGAGACCGTCGTGTGGGGTGGGGACACCAGTCGCTACTGCGGGGCAGTGGACCGTCGGGGCTTGGAGTCAGGTAATGCAAATTAATTTTCATTTCGATACCAAGAGTTTTACAGAAGAGGCGTTGTACGTACTCAAATAACGCTTTAAGGGAAAGCCAAAAACCCATATGTGTGGGTAAGAAAAAGGCAAATTTTTGAAAAATATAGCTTTATTAAAGGACGAGTAAGCTCTGAAGGGGCTACAACAAAAATGTAATGACCAAAATTTAACAATTCAGTACTTTATCTTGCAAACAAATGTATCCTTGAATAGGTTTAGGAGTTTGTTGAGCAGTGTATAAGATCTTAAAGTCAATATCAATATATATATTTTTTTTTTATTACGTACACACCCAAGGCTTACTCTATAATTATATTGGAAATTTTCTAAAAGTTATTGAAAACCTGTGTTAGGCCCTACTATCAAGCGAGATTTAAAAAGTGGTTGATTTCTTTCAAGCTAATCAGCAATATTTTTCAAAAATACTTTTGCCACTAGAGTTGTGCTAGGTATTCTGCCTGCAATTTGCCCTTCCGAATTGAAACCAGTTGTCACCTGACAGGAAAAACCCACATTAATTGAGAGTACCCCAAGTATTTTTAGCATTTTATTTGAAAAGAAATACTGTAGCAGAATGATGAAGAAAACCCCCAAAGGTTGCCAACTGCAGTTTTACAAATTGTACATTTGACCTAGTTTCAAATATTTCACTCAGGGAGAGTCAGACAAACTCCTACGAAAAAACTGTCATCTGAGACCTCAACGGAACAAGTATCAACAGGGGGAACCAGCCAAACCCCGCCACAAAAACTGTCATAAGTGTCACAAACAGTAAAAGCTCAAAAAAGCCTGAAAGAGACTAAAAATAAAAATAAACTTCCACCCCTAAATGCTAAGCCAAAGAGCAAAGACGAGGATTACAATGATTTCTTTGTAAAAAATATAGGATTTTATTCAGAACATATGAAGAAGCATTATGGATATTTAGTAAAAAGGGAGGCTGCATCGCTACAGGATAATAACTTTGTTTTTTCCTCACCTTCTCAGATTATTCCAACGCAGCCTGATTTTACTTTAAGAAAACTGCAAAAATCAGCAGAGACAAGAGAAACACAACCTGACTGTTTTTTAGACAATCGAGTCAGGATGTAAACTCCAAACTCATCCTGCTGCACCAAAATACACAGGAAGTCTCAAATAAAATAAATAGACTACAGCACCTTTTAGAAGAAACCAAACCTGACATAGTAATTCTGACAGAACATGGACTGAAACCTGAGACAATAAGTAGCACCGTCATAGCTACTGGATTCTGCCTCAAGGCTCACTATAGTAGAATAGAACACAGAAAAGGAGGTGTTTGCATTCTTGTAAAAGAAAGCCTTGAGAGCAGCACAGTAGCCATAGATGTTTCCAAGTACTGTAAAGAACTGTTATTTGAAGCAGCTCTTATAAAAATAAAATTCAAGAACTCAAATCTGTTTGTACTGGGAACCTACAGACCCCCAAACGGAGACCTTGAGGAATCATTAAACACCTTTACAGAACTAATTGAGGAAACAAAAATTGAAAATTCCCCTCTTATCATCATGGGAGATATTAACGTTGATTTGTGTAACCCAAACAGGAAACACATTATCTTAAATGAAACTCTTGCTATGCACAACATCCAGAGACTACAGCTTCCACCTACGAGAATAACAAATCTAACACAAACCTCCATTGACTGGATATGTACAAATATGGACACAAACCAACTCACTCCAGAAATCATCAATGCAGGACTTTCGGATCATACTGCTCAACTCTGTACTGTAAACTTCAAATCACACATCAACTCAAGTTATCCTGCCCAAATTGGACGCTGCCTAAAAAATAAAAACCTGCAAGACCTCAAGTATCTTCTCAGTCAAGAAAACTGGCTTAGTGTTACCTCAATAAACAATGCCGAAGAAGCTTTTAAAACTTTTAGTAACATAGTGGGAGTAGCTATGGATGCAGCCTGCCCCCAAAAGAAGATAAAAATACAAAGAAAACATAAACTAAAATTCTCCATGGACCCAGAAGCAGTGAGACTTAAAGCCGAATTTCTTAAAGCTCTAAGAAAGTTTGAGGTGACGGGAAATCCAGATGACAGAAGGGTTTCTATTGAAAATAAAAAGAACTATGACCTGTACTTGAAAACGATGCGGAAAAAGGTTAACTCTGACCAGTTGATGAAAGCTGAAAATAAATCTAAAGCTATCTGGGAAACAATAAACACAGTGTGGTCCAAAAAGGAAACATCCCTAAATGAAATAACCCTTCAAGTAGATGGCCAACTCATAAGTAATGTGACCCATGTTGCAGAGCATTTGAATACATTTTTTACACAAGTAGGAGAAAAAACAGTAGAGAAACAAAAACACCTAAAGACCACAGCTCAAACTCCTGACGTAACTCAAACAGGTCCACTGTTTTCCTCCTTTCAAAGCACAGACGAGAAGGAAGTTAAAATGATTATAAACAAACTTAAAGCAAAAAACTCGTCTGGAATTGATGAAATCTCGTCAAAAATACTTAAGCATTGCTGCAATGAACTAGCACTACCATTGGCTGATTTGATAAATAAGTCCCTAAAACAAGGCATCTTTCCTTCACTACTTAAAATAACTAAAGTATACCCGAAATTTAAAAAAGGTAGCACATTAGAAGCAAGCAACTACAGACCAATTTCCCTCGTTTCCACCTTCTCCAAAATATACGAAAAAGTTGTTTTAAAAAGACTTTTAGACCACTGCACAAATCACAACCTACTAAACAACCTTCAACATGGATTTACAAAAGGGAAATCCACAACAACAGCAATAATTCAGATGGTTGAGTCCCTGATTGACAGCCTAGATGAAGGAAATCTAACAACAGGAATCTTTCTTGATTTCAGTAAGGCATTTGACTGCCTTGACCACCAGCTAATCATTAAAAAGCTGGATTCCCTGGGGGTATCAGGGATAGTAAGAGAATGGTTTCAAAGCTACCTTACAGACAGGAGTCAGTTTGTAGAACTAAGGCACAGAGATAACAGCCTAATAAGAAAAACAAGATCAAATTTTCAACCAATAAATCGAGGAGTCCCCCAAGGTTCAGTTATGGGTCCGGTACTGTTTATTCTTTTTACCAACGATTTGCCGCAACAAATAGGAGACGCCTGCCTTACTCTTATGTATGCTGATGACACAACCTTAGTGTTTAATGAACCACTAGCTGAAAATCTAGAAGTAAAATCCTATGTGTCACTCAGTATGGCCTACCAATACTGCTATAACAATGATCTCGCAGTAAACACATCTAAAACAACTCAAATAGCTTTTGGCCGTAAATCTCAAGAAGTGCCACGACTCCCAGATGTAGAAGTGGAAGATGAAGCTAAGTTTTTGGGCATCACACTCGACAAGAATTTAACCTGGACCCCTCATGTGGACAATATATGTAAAAAATTAAGTTCAACCATCTATGCTCTTAAACATATAAAAAATGCAACAGATGACATGACAACAAAAGTAGCATACTTTGCACTTTTCGAGTCGCATATGAGATATGGACTTGTAGCATGGGGTGGAACCTCTGCCACTAACATGCAAAGAGTTCTCAGAAAACAAAAAAAGGCAGTCAGAATAACTGCAGGACTCCACAGACTCGACAGCTGCAGGGAAGCATTCAGGTCACTCAAAGTACTTACCCTTGTAGCACTCTACATCCAGGAAGTTGTGTTATTTGCAGTAAGAAATAACCCTACAAGGCGTGGCGAAATGCACCAACACAACCTGAGAAACACCATGCAGTACAACCTTCCACAACATCGCACGACACAGTTTGAAAAGAAACCTTCATACGCAGGAATGAAAATCTACAACAGGCTACCTCCAGATCTAAGAAGCAAGTCAGAAGATGACCTCAAACCAGCTTTGCATCAATGGCTCATTAATCGACCTTTCTATTCCTTAGAAGAATACCGTCAACAGGTCTTTGACTAAACAACACCTCAACCAAACATTTAGAAAAAATTGTAAATTGACGCTACTACTATTCTTAATGAATGTGTAAATAAAGATTATTTGTCTATTGTCTATTGTCTATTGTCTACTCTAGTTGATTTACTGACAGAAAGTAAATAAAAGAAACATCTTATAACACTTAAAACATTTACGCTTATACTGTTACTCACAAGATGGTAAATATACATAAACAATGGTAAGAGTTGATAGATTTTGATTGGACACTTCAATCATCAGAGGTGAATGACAAGAATCTTGAATGCCATCCCTACATATATGTAAAAGAATATGAAACTTATATTTATCACCTCATTCTTATACATTCCTACATTCCTATTGGCTGCCGGAAGTACCGGCCAATACATATCCATAGGTACAACTGGAGTCTAAATGTACTTGTTCATTAATTAGCTTATTTATATTTTTCCATTTTTCCTTATAAATATAATTCTTCCCAAGCATTCATTACATATCCCTTTTTACAATTCTTTAAAATGCATAGACTATCCTCCATTTTTCCTATTGAATGGCCATTTTGTAACAGGTGTTGTGCGACATTTGATCTTTCCGGTTTGTTGATCCTCCACCCAGATATGTGGTTTTTGAAGCGATTGACAAAGTTGATTTAATTGTGCTTTGCAACAAATTTAGGGCACTGAAAAAAAGATAATGTGGTTCTTTAAATCTGACCTATGTAAAATAACAGTAATCATTATCACTACAGCTCACATAAAATTCATCATGATGGTTTAAAAAAAAAAAAAACTGAATTCAGCTGTCCTTGATTATTTCTTACAAAACTACCATCCCATCCATTCAACTCCTTACTAATCTTCTCATTAAAAAACACACCCTGGTATGTCAAAAAAACTCAAAAGTCAGTAGTTTTTTGATGGTTCAAAACTGTGCCCAGCTGACCTTGATCATCAAGCCTTAACGCATGAACTTAGCTAATGAAACAGCTGATCAGTAACAGATCTAGATAGGTCACAGATCATCTCACTTCATTCATACACAGCTGAAATCCATGCCTCTCTGTCTCAAAGGTTTTGAATAATAATTAATTGTTTTAGTGTTCTGCCAAGTGTGGTCAAGGTGTTCAGACAAGAAGCGTTCTGTGTCCGTCGGGAGATTGTAACGTCAACGAGCGACCAGCTACTGAGACATCGTGTACACTCCCTCCATGTCAGACACACAGACACTCGCATGTGTGGCTGTACACTGACTGGACCCAGGAGGTTGGTCTTCACACCATTCATGTTATTTAAATCTTTTCGATGCTTTATTTTTATACGTCAGTTTTTTGGGGGGTAAAAGGGGTGGGAACTGATAACTTTGTCTGAAAAAATTGCATATGGATTTTTGGATATGGATCAGCTGATGCAAATCTAACAGAGGACAGACTCACTGGGTTGATGCTGTCTAAAATCATATGTTCATCAGGTTATATACTTCTGTCTGTTGTCTAGCTGTTTCAAAGGTAGGGGAAGGGTTGAAATTGCTTCCCCTACAACCGCCTAAAGTTTGTGAACGTAGTATAGTACTATATTTGGCAAAAAGTTGATCAAGTGTATTAGTTATCCTTTTAGTTCAGTGTGGTTAAGAAGAAGTTGTATTCTGTCAGTTATTTACACCAGTACTTTAGTTTGTTTAATACAACAACGTTCATGTTTGCTCTAAAACTAGCAATAAAACTTAAACATGGGAATGAAATCTAGGTTGATCTATATAGTCAAAGCTTATAGATGTACAAAAATAATTTAGGATCATTATTCAAAACCCAATGATCAATGACAGTAGGGTTCTATTTCAAAGCTTTGAAAATGTATGGCATTTCTCAGGACACAACTAGGTCACACATTGAATAGTATCCACCATGATAATTTTAACAATATTTTATCTTGCAGTGCTCAGAGAGTTGTGGCACTGGTGTACAGAAGCGCAGAATCGTCTGTTCTGCGGGGCCCAAGATGGAGAATCTGTGTGATGTTAGTCTGCGGCCTGACAACCAAAGATCGTGTTCCAGCGACAAGCAATGTGGAGCCCTCTGGTTCACAGGCCCTTGGAGCCCGGTTAGTAAGCTTTTGTCTTCTGATATAAAAGTTGGAGAGATTTATGGTGAGGTTATAGAAGACAAAAAATATGTTTGCTAGCAGAAACTTATTCTGAATTAAAATCTTAATGTTGCAAAGGCACACCACTGACGCATTGGAATGTGGATGCATCTGATGTTAAAAAACCAAAGTGAAAATCCCAGAATGCTGAAAAACTACTCTTCTCCATTTAACTGTCACCTTAAATAGTGCAAAGTGTTTTTGGTCTAATTATGTAGTTCATAATGTATGTGCACAGTTAATTTTCCAAAAATCTATACTTATTTAATACGCAAGCAGGATTTTTGTGACAATTACTCCTCCGAAACTACTGAACCGATTGTCATGTTTTTGGTGTCATTGGAAAGAGCGTAGCGTGAAGTTGTGCAGGAAACTTTCTTTTTAGGGAAATAATGAGAGAGTGAGGCCCTGGAGCCCTTTAAAGTTTCGTATTTCTCCATAAGATTAACATTGGAAACAAAAATTGTTATGAAACTCCAGCTGTTGTCAGAAATCAAAAGTGAGAAGAAGAGCATAGGTTAATCCTAAACCGTCAATAAGTTTGCTAATATAGTATTATAACAGTTTGCTACAAATATTTACTTAGCAATTGCTCGAATTCGAGCAACAGGGACACTAGTAGCAAATAAAAAAGTATATATTTGAGGATACATACAACACTAAGAAGTCTTCAACAACTTACATTAAAAATGAAACTTTCCCTTAAAATAAAGCCTTAAAGTTTCTCTCAATAATATACCTCTGGTACAGATAGCAAAAATCCGGTTCTTGCTGCTGTTGTGCTGGCTTGCTAAATGTTGCGCTTAATAATTTCAACATTTGTTTTTAAGTTATGTGGCTATTTAAAAAAAATATTAAATGACAAGTATCCATGTCTTAATTTTATAAATGGGGCAAAGTTCAGGAGAATTGTCTTTGGGGTGGTGTGACAAGTATGTATTTTATGTGATCAAGGTTATCATTTTTGACACTTTTTCTATGTCAGAGGTATTTTGAGACGAAGAATCACTAACGCTTTTAAAATAAAGCAATCTTAATCCTCAAACTTTGTTGATATGTTGAGACTCGTACCTTGTCCCTCTTGCACCAAAGTTTGAGATGCCAACCACTAGACCAACAACATTAGTACCTATTAAATTGAAGAGAGTGTATACCTATTGGAGGTCTGTACTGTTTTCCTTCACAGTGTACTGCCAGCTGTGGCTGGGGGAAGCAGACTCGAAGCATCATCTGTGTATCCAAGCCGCAGGGAGGAGGACAGATGTTCCCAACAGCTGATGACAATTGTAGAGCGAGCGACAAACCAGCGGCCGAGCAGCAGTGCAAACTGCAACCTTGCGGTGCCGAGTGGTACATGGGAGAATGGTCTCAGGTAAACCATACAAACATACTGTTTGGTCAAACATTTGGGTTTTGTCAGACGGTTTTTGATAATTGTATAGTCTAAAGGAAAGCCCAGTAGTTGATTGGAAATTCCTTTAAAGGGATAAAGTTCAGCTAATCAAAGAACATTTGAGACCAGGCACTTAAATATGTCCTCAACTTTTTCTTTTTAGGGAGGATGCAGTCTTTCTTGGCTACTTTCCTTTAATATCACTAACAAAATCCAATAATGATTATAATCCCCCCATAGCTACAACACCCAGAAATACAACGCCCAGAAATAAAACTCGTTGATCAAAATGTATTTCTAGTAGTTTGTTAAGGTGCTTAATAAACTTATAAAAAAAGAGTGCCAGTCAGTTCATTACCCCTAAAGCTAGGGTTTCCAAGATCAGGCCAGCGTGATCTGTCCGGTGTGATGTCCGTTGGCGCTAATTTTTGTCCGGCGGATGTCCGATGAAGCTCGGCGTGAGAGTGGTTTGCAAGAAAGCGGACATTCGCGGTTATTTCGCCTGGGAAATGAGCTAGAGTCAACAATGACAAAAAATTGCATATAAATGAGACATTTACAAACAAACTAAATGTATACTATATCGTCAAAACTGTTTGAAATAACATCGGAGTTATTAAAACAACTTTATAGTCCTTAAAATAAGTAAAAACTACCAAACATAGCTCAACCATCTGGTTCTAGAAACAAAAAGACACATAAAAATAGTTTTGGTTAAAATGAAAAACAAACCATTTGTTCAAAGCAATTGGATTCTATTACAATATCACGGAAAAGAATAAAATCAATATAGGATGATAGTTACAGTTTTGTTAAATACATTTTACTTTTATTACAATCACACCGAAATAAACTAAGTGTGATTTTTACATTTTTACAAGAATCCTCACAGAGTCCTACACTTGTCCGCTTGGCGTACACGCCAGAAATGACTTGGGTCATTTTCAGCATGCCATGCTCAGGACTCACGCCGCCGGACAGATGGCGGGAAAACTCATGTCCAGCGTGATCTCTCGCGCTTGGAAAAACATATAAAAACATGGCTTCAGTTTAAACTTGATTACGTAATCACACTTGTCCACTCACACTGCCCGCCCGGCGTGATCTTGGAAACCATAGCTTAAGGAGCATATACTACTGTACTTTTTTTTAGAAACCCCCTTGTAGTTGCAAAATATCAAAATAATTGTTGTGAACATTTGGGTGCTCTCAACTGCCTGGAATTCTTTTCTGAGGTAAGTTAGTTGTGTTCCCTAATGTATTCCTGATCCAAGTGCTTTTACCTTGTTAGGAGGCCTAACTTGTTACCTTTTGCAGTGCTCGAGATCTTGTGACACAGGCGTGCAGCGTCGGGACGTCAGGTGTTTGGACGAGTCCCAACAAGTGGGGATGGGATGCAGTGAGACTTCCAAGCCACCATCACGACGCTCTTGCAACTCACACAAGTGCCCTAACATAGGTGAGTCATTGTCTGATGAATAATCAGCGTTTGTAATGAGTGTTGATAATTAAAATATTAATTGTGTGTTAATGGATAATGTATGTAAGAATGATACCAGACAGTGGGGTAGCTGATCATAATGCCTTAAAATCAGTGGTTGCCAATTTGATCCTGAAAAACTTAGCAGAGAATAAAAACTGGGCCCAACTAACTGTCCATACTCATTGGGCTTTTACATGGTCCTGACTAAGGAACAGCTGGTCTTAGTTATTTTCACAGAATATTCTACACAGATTATCTCACTTAACTCTATTCTAGACTCACCCCACATCCATATTCAGGTTGAAGTAAGAACCTAGGTTTGTATTGCTGATTGCTATCATGTAATGAATCCTCTGAAAGTACAAATATATCAAAATATGTCAACTAACACTTTTAATAAATATATTTACACTTAACTGTTAACCCACATGATGGTAAATACATTTAAAAGATGGTAAGAGGTAATTTATTTCAATTGGACACTCCAACAACTCCAAAATCATCATTAGACCCAATAAGCTAATGGCAAGAATTGTAATGTTAGCCTCCAGATTGCCAAATAATAGTAAAAAGGTTTAAATACCTGCTATTAGGAAATCCATTCAATTGCAGTCGCAACTAGTTTCGGATCATATATTGATCCATCATCAGGTGGTACAAAGCATGTTCCTTTCTGTTACGACTGATCAGTTACCTACCATAATTTTTTTTTCCGTGTTCTTGTCTTGTAAATGTTTATTTATGTTTGTGTTAAATGTGATGCTCTTCATTATGAAGAAAGGAAGTCCTTTTACTACCTGATGATGGATCAATAATATACAATCCGAAACTAGTTGTTACTACAATTGAATGGATTGCCTAATAGCAGGTATTTAAACCTTTTTAGAATGACAAGAAGAATGCCACTCGCCTATTGGGTCTGATGATGATTGGAGTGTCCAACCAAAATCGATCACCACTTACAGTCTTTTATATGAATTTACCTTCTTGTGAGTAAACAATATTAAGTTTAAATATATTTATTAATTTAATAACACATACGAGGCTGGTCAAGAAGTTATTTAATGAAACATAAAATTCTCTCTATCTTTTTTTCGGGGATGCGGAATACTATCCCCCAAAAAACTACCCCCCCCAGGTGAAACGTGACGTCACAAAATCTGCTAACTAACCAATATGGAAGCCGTGTCCGCGACTGGAATACTACCCCCCGTAGACAAATCATGCTATTTAATTTTAATTTTAATTCGAATAATTCCGTTGGATAATAGAAAAGGCATGTGGTGAATATAAAACAGATTTTCGAAATGTTACAGCAAGTTTGGTTGGTTAGGTTAGGTTAGATTAGAACTGTTTGACAACTAAATTTGAGTGTCCGTGACTGGAAAACTGCCCCCCCCCCCCGGTCTCTGGCCTCAATATGACGTAGGAACCTGCTTGGGGGGTAGTTTTCCGGGGGGCAGTCATCCGGCGACCCTTTTTTTCCAATTATATTTATTTTTTTATGATTACAGAAAAGTAGTGGTTTACAAGTTGTCACTTTATAATTTTGAATTGGTGTGTGTGTAACTCTCATTTATTGTATTTTCAGAGAGTGAGAAAAAAGACAGCAGTGTTCAGACGAATGAGAGCCTGAGAGACCAGCCTCAGATTCAAAATGTGACAAAACCAGGTGGGCAATATTTTTGTTCATAAAAATGTCATCAATTTGATGTTATCATTGACTATCGGATACTGAAATAGACATCCCATCTAAGGACCAGTGGTCGCCAATTTTTCATTAGGAAATAAAAATTGGTGTGTGAGCCAGTCACGGAATGCACTAGCTTCTAAAATTATGTTTTACCTTTTTTTTGTTGCTGACATAGTAAATGGGTCAAACAGTTGCTATGGTTCACAATAAGTTGTTCCATCAGTTTTATTTGGCAAACAAGTTTGTGTGTTGAGAAATTAGTTATCTAAATCAGCATCAACTACGAACCCTTTTTATTAAAAATAGATTGGTGACAACATTAACATAGGGATGGAATGTCAAGTCGTAACAATAGTCAAGGGTTTTAGATCGCAGATGTCTAATGTTGTATGAGTAATGTCCTAGATTAATAATATTAAATAGACGCTAAAGATTAAGATTCATGATTAAATAACTATTAAATAACACAAGATATAAACACAGATTGAATAAATAATCGTATACAGGGTCTTCAAACAATACAAATCAAGTAGGAATCAGAATCTATTAATGTTTTTACAGAGGACGGAGACTGCAAAGACAGGTTCCGCAACTGCCATCTTGTGGTTCAAGCAAGACTGTGCAAGTACAAGTACTACCGAAGCTCTTGCTGTCAGGCTTGCCAACAGCACAAACTGTGAGACACGGAGCAGACTGCCCAACTTGACAAACTGTTAACAATCGTCAGCAAGAGCACCAGATTGACAGACTGTTAAATAATCTGCTCTTGCGCAAACTGTGAACGATCTACGAATCAGTCTTGCCATTCCACTATCATCACAATCACTGTCGATGTTCCGTTTTTCATTTGATGTTTTCTAGATTTACGCTTGTTACTTTCTTTTACTCTCTTGTATTTTTATAAATTTTATGTACCCGCATCCCACCACAAGATTGTAATTGTGTAAATAGCATTGAGTTTGTACATTTTACCTTACTTCAGTATTCGCTGGTCTTTGAAGTAGAGAAGTCAAATGACCAGATATAGAGTTATGTAATTATGTTAGTTTGAATTATGTAAATGCTGTAAATCTAGCTATTAATATATGTACTTATATGTGTTAAGCTGTATATTAATTCTTTAGTTGATTTTTAAGGTTTTATTTTTAGGATTTAAAGTGTTCATTTTTATAGAAGTATAGCACACTAAATGTATTTTTTATTTATGTTGTCATAAGTCATAACAGGGAAAATCTGAATCTTACTAAGTAAGTAACTTTTATACTCGTAAAAACACTTTCTAAAGATGTTGGTAAAGACTGATTAAGTTTCAACATAATAGGATGTTTTTTTTTTTTATTATGTAGAACCCTGCTCAAAAAAACTGAATTACAGTGATTTTATTGCCAACCTTCTTCTGCTTTTTAGCATTACTGAATTTGCAACAACATAATTTACAAATACTTTTATTCACACATTCATTGGACTAATAAAACGCTCTACAAATGTTCAAGAAAATTCGAAGCATATTACGTGTTATGATCTTAATGGACACACATGGTTCAAACATTTATTCTTTTAACAATAATGGTTAAAGATGTTATTTATTTTTACCATTTTTTTTTTTTACCTTATTTAATATTGGTAGGAATATTTATCAATCCTAATTATAGTTACTATCACTTGCATCACTGTTAATTTAGTTTTTTTTTTATTTTGGGTACTTGTAAACGCTCATAAAGTGCTACAGCCCAGGGATTTTAAAATCATTCAGTGAGGCATAATGGTGGGTCAATAGATGTGCCAACTAAAATTATTAATCCTAAATAGTCCTATGACAAAAAGAAATTGGCAACCATCATGCCAGTAGGGCAAAGCATCCTAATAGTACTCCTTCCCCATCCAAAACTTAATAAATGAAATATTATAAGGGTTATTGAGTGTAAATTATACATTTTCTAACATAGCCTATAAAGTTGACTGGATTTGTGTTTGACCTTGTAAAATTTTTATTTTACGAGAAGGCTCAGAACCAAACCTTTCAGTATCCCTCCTTGAAATCCTAGCACTAGTATTCAATTTTCAGAAAAAGATAAGTCTAGTAAAAATATTATTGATTTAATCTGAATAACATAAATTACTAACTCAAAATTTAATGGTTTCAAAATGACCCCATCGATCTCTTAAACCTTCAACATAAACAGAATTCTAGATTTTTTTCCACCCCAAATCAGCGATTCCATAAAGTACCAGAAATTTTTTGTAGATTTTTTTAACACTTTGTAGAAAACGTGAAATTTTTTAAATAACTTTTCACCTTTTTTTACCAAAGAACAAGATTTTATTTCAAAATATGAAAAACTTGAATTACCTATACACTTTTTAGTATTTTCTGTCAATATACGTTCACTGGAAATAAAAATGACATGATTTTGTCTAAGGTTGGCTTTTTGGACAAAGTGGAGAAATATTTGTAAGACCGAACAATTTTAATCTAAGTTTCATAAGCTCTCATTTGTTGACAAAGTTAAAACTAGTTTTTCATTATGTTTGTGGATGTTTCAAGCAATTTTTTTTTATTTCTTTATGATTGCCCGTCAAACTTCTTAAAAAAGTCTTTTAAGCCTTTCTGATGACTGGGATGTCAAGTAATTGGTCTGGATTTTAAAACCTTTCGCTTCTCTATCGCCGGTCAGTATGTTACAGCCATTTTATTAGGAATAACTCTTTTTCAATGATTTATTTTTTTTATCACTTAATTGTAAGATGTCTGTTTTGTTTCATGTAACAACTTCAATCTGGGATCATAGTTATGTACTAAAAAGTTAAAATACAGATTATTCTCATTTAAAATGTTTATGCTTGGTTATTAATAATGTTTAACTTGATTATTAATTGAACTACACATACATTTTATTACACTCTTACTAAATCAACAAATACCAAAGGAAGTGTCTTAAGATGTATAGGGATGAGTTGTTTGTTTAATTTAACAATTAACACAGTTTTGTAGATTTAATTCACTCTATTATTATTTATTAATTAATCTGCTGCTAATTAAAAGTATTATCTGGTATTCTTAACAATAACTTTGAGAGGATTATTTAATGATCACAAGATGAATTAGTCATCGTTAGCTTGATTATTTCAGTTTAGCTCTTAAACAAACAATATTGTAGTTTTTTATAGAACATTAAATTGAATTTAAATTTTATAGCAATCAAATTAGGAATGAGTAGGAGTTTTGTTGTATCATCCCATTACCTGGTCCCATGGACACTGTAATATATTTGTATAAATCTCCTTGTCAAAATGAGCAAGACAAGTTTTCATTCTTTATAAAAGTGTTTTAAGAAAAAGCTGTGATGTGAACTAGATAACATTATAGGATACCAATAAAATACAAAGTATTTAAAATGTGGTGTGTGTTTTCCCTTTTTGTTGTAAGTGAAAGTTTATCACCTGCTAGAAGTTAAGTTATGGTAACTATTGAATGGCTGTCGAGAAAAAGTCAGTTATATCGCGTATTAAGCCGATTCAATTCATTTATACACAGAGCATAAACCAGTTTACAAAAAGATTACATTTAGTACATACATTTTACAAATGACAATAACATTGCAAGCTACAGAAGCAGGTATAATATAAAAAACACCACAACTTAATTATCAATAATTAATTTCACGATTTAAAACTATGAATACAACATAGTATATGATCGCCAATTTTAAAAGAAGTGCCAATAAAGGCAACAAAAAAGAGAAAAACAAAACCATCCAAAATACCTGCAAAGAGCCGAAATAAGACTGAACAATTCAATGAAACTAAAAAAAAACAGTTCACTTTCATAAAACAAACAATGTGAAAAGGAAAAGCATTGGTAACAGTAAAACGGCAATGACATATAAAATCTGAAAGTTACAAAAACAAAAGAGAAAAAAAATCTGAAGAGCAATAGCAGAGCAGTTAAACTTAAATAGTAAAGAGTACCTATTTAAAAAGAGTGCAAAAAATTAACATACATACCAGGAGTAAATCTAAAACAACACAATAGCTGACCCAAAACAACAAAAATAAATCTCTAATGAACAATAACAAAATATAAACGCATGTAGTAAAAATATTTAATGAGTACAAAATTTAACATATATGCCTAGGTATACAGTATAATACTAATTGTTCATTTTTATCTTAATAGTCACTGCAACTCTTTTTTAAACTAAACATTTGGATTCTATGGGTATAAAAACCTGCATAAAGATTCATCCAAAGTTTTATGATTGAACGATTGTACATAAATAAGATTTTATTGTATAATCTTTAACAACATTTGGTATTCATTCCCAAAAATTCCACCAACACTTATTACAAGAGGAGTTAATTATGCATGTTATTACGTTTGCAAACTTTTGTGTGTTTATTTTTTTGCCATCTTCTGATTTTGATGACTTTTGATGAGGGATGGAAATATAAGATGGAGCATCAGTGTCAACGTTAACAACTAACTGTGTTGTAAATTTGACGGATTATAAGGTACCTATGTAAACCTATTTATCAGATTGAATACAACAGCTATGTAAATGAATCATACGCTATGTAAATGAATTTAACAGCTATATACCTGGAATGTAAAGTATAAAAAATTGTCAATGACATTTAGACAATTAATGCTCCCATACTCCTCTGCAAGCTAAAATCAGCTTTAGGTAATTTTAGATAGCTTATTCCTTCAGCTATTAAGGGCTCTTTAACAACCCCAAGCTTGGTCCATATTGTATATTGTGTCTCTTATTTCATTTGTTTCTTTTTATTAAGATATATACAGCAACCTAAGTACTACAGTACATGGAACGTAGCGTCATTGACTGTTTAAACTGACAATACCTAATTAACAAGATGTTTCCATAAGGCATTGAAGGCACAGAAAGAGACCTAGTTAATTACTTACGCCTTAGCTGAGCGCTGAGGTCACGATTAGTTCTAGGTACTAAATAACCAACTGCTTATCTGTTCCATTATTCAGTCTCCAACAGACACCGACAACAAGCTATTCCGTGTCATCTTTTTGTTAGTCTTTAACAAACTTGCATTCCCTTCTCTAAGCTTTAGTTTTGTCAATCTATCGTTGTTTAAACTGTGTGTCTTGCTTATAGTGTTAGTGATTGAAGAACAATGCATGAAAGTGGGATTCTTAAGTATGTTTTTTTCTTGTATTTTCCCTTTAAACAACTTTGAATGTTGAACCATTTGGTTATAAAGCTATACACAGATACATAAATGCCAAGTAATTTATTTTCTTAAGTATTCTTAATGTGGCCAAAATATTTGATGAAGTTATAGTGGTGCGTATATTTGGTTTTTGCAATTGGTTTATAGTATTGTTTTGTCAAACATTTTAATGCGTTCCGAGAACCTTTTACAAAATACAGTAATTTTATGAATAACACTGTCGGAGCAAACCTGAAGCTGAGGGAATTTCCATTTGCCTGATTAGGTTTTTACTAAATATTTCCTTTATAACTTTTCAGATTTATAGTGTCTATTATTTAAATGAGTAGATTTTAATGAGTGTACTTAGGTTTGCTGCTACGGGGAGGGGAAAAAGTGTTTTTTGATCAAATACAGAATGAAATAAAATAGTTTGTCAATTTTGATCAAAATATATCCATAAACTAGTAAACTACAACCGTTTTAATTGTCTCCAAAGAATAGCATGCGAGATTCAAATCTTTAACTTTCAGTTTTGGATTTTCTCCAGCAACTTTGAATCGTACAACAAATTTGATCAAATATAAAAAAACAACATTAACTAAAATCTACGAAAGGGCTGGAATGAAAATTGGACATTTCCATTTAAAAGATGAACATATAAAAACCCTGAGGTATTTTCATTTAAAAAACTTCAAACCCCCAAAACATCCCATTCCCATATGGTCTGATTTTGCAGGATCACAAGTTTATAATAGCTCAACAAATTCATGCCGAATTTCATCAAAATTGGACAATCAACTACTCGAATTATTGTGACACACTTATGGAAATTCGATAAAAAATAAATTATAATTATGATGATTTCCCTCTTTAGACAGAGGAGGTATAAAAGACAATAATACTGTACATATTTTCATGTTATTCAACTTTTTCAACATTGTTGATACTTTTTAAAGTATCAGCATTGACTTGTATCAGTTTCTGTGCAAAAGCTTTGTTTAGCAGGGACCTAATTTTAGAATCATGTTAGAACACATTATATTTCATATTGTGAAATTTCACTTTTTTCGGGAGAGGCTTACATATGCTATATTTGATTTAAATTATGCATAATTAATATGGTTCATATAATATGATTGCATTGTTGCTTGGCAGGAGCTGATGAGGACCATTTCCACCTCATACTTTTAGTCTTTAGCTGATAAACTATAAGAACAAGAACACCATCTCCAGCCACTCTTCTGCCAGTAAATCCATCTGTCACGACCGTAACTCACGCTTTTCTCTGGTGTGCGCTGACGATAAAAGCACATAAGATATTTTTACACAGACCAACCTGAGTGACATGCCCAGGCTACTAGTGACCAGTGTATACTATCTGCTGTTGGTTAGCTACGTCAAGTCCTCGCCCATCTGGCTGGATCAGGTGTTTGGAGTTTTCGGCAAGCCTTACAAAGTCCCACAGGTCACCGCCCCCGCCGCCAGTCAACCCCAGCCAATTGACAGATTCCGGCCGATCTGCGGAGTCATCAGTGGCGACAACTACGCCTCCTTCGGGGATCGAATATTCCCCTCCGCGCCCTTCTGTCCCTTCGGCAACAAATAGAGGCAAGGAGGGCACATGTGTCATGTGAATTCGAGTGCAAACGAATCATGCTTCTTAACACCCCTGACAATCAACAGGATGTACAATGCCGTCCCATAGAGTCAAAGCAACGCACACAGTTTCATTCACTAATTTAAGCTGTCGATGCTTCAGAAGGTTTGTAAAACGTTGTTAACCTAACGGGACAATGATTAACCATAGATTAAACATGGATTAACTTAACAGTTCTGAATTGTCTAAATTTTTATAGTGCCATACACTTGGTCACGGGGTGTTTGTGAACTATAATCAATGGCTAAATGTAAAGTCTCTTTTATCTGCGCAGTTGCAGTTGGCATTGTGTGTGGGAAATTCGGCTACAGCTACAACAAAACTGTAAAACAAAAAACAAAACTACAACAAACCTATCTAACTAGTTCTATCTGTCAAAACAATTTTCTCTTGATCCCTACTATGTATATAAAATAGAACATCAAGCAGATTTCTTATAACAATAATGTAAATATTATTCTCATGACATAGTTTTATGTTGAGTAGGAAGTAAAATAATTAGGTAGAGAAAGAGTAATAACAAATAAGAAGTGGAAAAGAGCACTCCAATGGAGCCCAATCTGGATGCCCAGGAAGAAGGTAAGCATAGGCCTATGTAATTTTATTTTATTTTTATTTATCATATTTTACATATCATTGGACATCTCTATTATCAGAGACAGGACCTATTGATAATACTTATCTCAAATGACTACCATCAAATATCAAACAGGCCTAAGTTAAACATTTTTTGCTAGCCTAGGCTTAAAATGATAACATAAATAGAACTAAAATGATAGCCTGACAAGAGAAAAAAAAACAGTTGATAGGCTGTTAGGTAATAATAACTACGTGGTTAGCGTCTCTGACTTGGGTGCGGGAGGAACGGGTTCAATTCCCGGCACATCCATAAAAAATTTAGGCTATTCTCTAGGCTGCACTTTACTTTACGTCCTACACTCATTCATATATCGTTTGAATGATATATCGTTTGGTTAGTTAGGTTAGGTTAACCAGGGCCGGTTTAACCCATACACGAACTACGCTGCCGCATATGGCGCCACGAAAAAGTGGCGCCAACGGAACAATTTTTTTTAATGTAATTAACGTAATTTTGCTTATTTTTTCTCAGAGTTCAAGTAGGCCTATTCAAAGCACCACAGTAAAGGCATTTATTCTGTTTGTACCAACAGCACTTGAAAAATGCGTATATTTGTACAGCACTACAACTCAAGGACTCGATGCCATTTGCAGTTTCGATCTGTAGTGAGCTGACGCTCGGCAGTCGGAGTTGGCAGCGTACAGCGCGGCGCCTGTGGGTTTCATTTCACGACTCACTCACTAGTCGAGATAAGCAAGCGCGCAGCGCCACTTGTCACAACACATAAATAATAAATAAATAAATATGGTCTTTATTCATGAGCGAATTTCAGTAACAATACTGTTTTACAAATTGACTCAAGTCAGGACTAAAACTAAACAAAAATTCTTAACACTACAAAACAAAATGGTTAGCACTTATAGAAAGCGTAAGTTAAGCGAACTTGGAAGAGTAAGATAAAAAACAAGCCAAATCAATAAGTAGATTTTTTTTTTAATCATCTGGTGGCGAGTCCAGTCAGCCCAAAGAAGTCACGATAGAAGACGGCAATGACGTAGGTATTTATTTATTTATTTTCCAAATTAAAACAATCAGCTGATCACAAACTGCAAACATTACGTCATTGCCATCTTCTATCGTGACGTCATGCTTGACGAGCATTACGGTCTGTTTTTTTAGCGTGGCCTTGGTTTTGCTAAAGTTTATATGATGAGTAAAAGTGTAAAAATGTTAAATTTCTGCGAATAATAAACAGTATTTTATTGCAAGTATTCTTCTAACCTAAACTTATAAAAAAGTGCTTCCCAAAATCATTGGGAAAAAATTCACAAATACGGTTAAGTTGTTCATGGCGCTAAGTTGCTAAGTGGCGCTGATTCGGGTGTTCGCTTAACTCTGAAAAATTCCTAGAACTGGCCCTGAGGTTAACCTAACTAACCAAACGATATAGCTTGATCGATATTTTCATTCGAATGAGTGTAGGACGTTAAGTAAAGTGCAGCCATTCTCTCATGACCTCCTTGTGAAATGTCACTAGCATTAGGCTAAGTACCTAACTTAAGAAAAAATATTAAAAAAACAATAACAATAAGAAATTAACCTTTTCATTTATTTCCCACGGTTAAACCAATTTTACAAATTTGTCTACATCAAGATGATAATACAATAACAATAACAATAATAAACAATAACAATAACAAGAATAACAATTTACAATTCTAAAATGCATAGCAAAACAACCATAACAATATAATATTCAATGCAGTAGCAACAAATATAATAGAAAATTGGAAATTACATAACAATAACATGACTGTATCAGCACTTGTAACTTTTGGTTGTGAATCAATCATTATTTACAAGTATTTACAGGTAATTTACAAGTTTAATGGCAAGGACTACAAAAAAACATTGATAATTATTCAATACAATAGCAACAGATAATAAAGAGGATACTCAAAGATAACATAATTATTTACAGCATAATATTACATTATTAAGAATACAGTAGCAGAACAGATGGCACCAATAATAAGTAGGAGAAGTGTGTTTGGAGGAAAAGTGAGGAGACCATGCCCTCACAGACACTGGTGTAGCCCTTTAACGCAGCTACCAAAAGATAACAAACACACTGCATTATATTGAAAGAAAACTATGAAAAGTGAGGAGACCATGCCCCCACTAAAAAAAAAACACAAACACTTAGATGTGGCCCTTTAACACAGCCACCAAACACCCAGCACTACACAGAAGCTCAATTCCACCACCAACGGACCCAGCCACTTCGTACTGTACTTGAAGAAGACTTTCCATCTATCACTGCTCCAAGTAGAGGACTGAGCGTCTACCTTTAACCTTTAACGTAGCTTAAGTTAAGTTAGGCCTACTTAAGAAATAAGCATGAAGACCTGGTAACCTATGCTAAAGCGATGTTGTAAACGTAGATTAAGTTGATGTTCATATTGTAACTTAAGTTCTACCTAGGTTAACATCTTCATCACTTTAACAATATAACACTTGGTTTGTAGGCTTAAGACTGAATTAAGACAATACAGGTTTTTACGTACCTCCGTCAAATAGTCCAATGATAAAGATTGCTAGGCCCCAGCTACTAAATGAAGCAATCTTTATCATAAGACTATTTGACAGAGGTAGGTAAAAACCTATTATTGACTTAATAAATTAGTCCAGGGGCTAGAAACATGAATTTTGATTAAGACTGAATGCTTTCTGTTTAACTTATTTTTTACTTCAACAGCTGGACCGTCCACATCGAGTACTGTGCAACATGTGGATGTTGACCCTCTGCCAATGGGAGCGGCTGATTACTTGTTCAGCCGAGAAACACTTCATGACTGTCACTTCAGAGTGGGAAACGCTGAAGACATACCTGTTGTAAGCTTATTTGTATTATCATAATGGATAGTAGTCTAAAATACACTGTGTTGTAAAAATCTAGCCTAAATATATCAAAAAAGTTAGTAAATCTAGGCTCTTTACAATATGTATGGGCTTTTATTGGTAGTTGCAAGGCAGCTAATGTAACAGAAACAAGTAAAACGATCAAGAATTAGGCTATAAATAAATATGGTGATGAATGTACAGTACATGTTTAACTTAGGTCTACATTTGAAGATAGATACCTACAGACTTCAAAGACTGCAAGTAATTTAAGTCGTTAAAGCCTTACCGTAATGCCATACATGTATTTGGTCCGGCTAATAAGATTAAGGTTAGGCCTATACGATTGTGTTTTGTGTTTATTGTTGGTTTAAGATTTTTCTTGCCTCACTAACCTGTTGCGAACATTCCACACAAGGATTTAGTCTTGAAAACAGCTGTTTTAGTCAAATGTGGTTTCATTACGTTCTACTGTACATGGTAACGAGTTTCACCTGACACCAGCTGATTATCTGAATGGTTATAAACAATTACATAACCTCTGTTAGAGGTTATGAGTAGTGATTGGACTAGTTAACGTATTCTACTAAGTTATAACATGACTTAATGACTTTTTTACTGTACAAATTTACCACGCAATCAATCCTTGCAAGACACTCGCCAGATTTCTAACTGAAGAATCTTTTATTAGGAGACTCTGGGTGCTGTGAAAGCTATGCTTCTAGCGCACAGTCCTGTGTTCCGCAACATGCTTCAAGAAAGTGATCTCCGTGAAGACACGAGGAAAATTATCAACCTACCAGACGTTCACCCTGATGCCTTCAAACTTTTGCTGAAGTAAGAAAATGTAGATCTGTGACACGTTACTCATTGTAAGATGTGTTTGTTTACCAAACCTTGTTTTCTCTGGATTTTGTAATAAATGGTAGTAGCCCTACTTCTGAAGAAAAAATACATTGAATTTCATTCACAAGTTTAAGTTTGCATTTTTTGAGTGTTTGACAGCCTCTTTTTATCGTGAGTAAAGATTTTGTATACATAGTTTAATCTTGAAGATCTAAAAACGGCTTGCTTGCACCTTCCTTTTTCATAACATTAATACTTTTTTTTGGAACTTAAGATATGTTGGATTAGTATTATGTCCAATCTATTTATATTTTTCTTTTAGGCATAAATATAATTGTTATTTCAAAACCTCGATTTCATCTTTTTTCAATAAATGACAGCAGATAGCAGGCAAGGCACTGACTCATGCGTTGTTTTGAAGTCGATAATGCTAGTTTTATTCGTGATATAATTATTTGTTTAGGCCTAATAGATTTTTTACAGTAGTGATTTAGGTACAAGCAATATGACTCTATTTCATACAGATATTTACAGTTTTAGCTGAGTTGTTAAGAGGCATCATCACCTTTGCTCTGTTTGCGATTTGGGGGGGATGACTTGGGTGGTAGATGAGGGTGAGCGGGGAACAGTGCGGGGTCAGTATTCATGCCGTTCTAAAAACATCGTTATTTTAGCCGTCACCGCACGCGCACTGCCACGAGTTCGCGCAGTACCATCGCCCTGCCCTGCCTAGCGTCGGTCTTGGAATACTCTACTGTACATGTTCAAGAAACATGAAGAGAGTTTGTATATTATAAATGGTAGTGATAAATTATTTTTAAATGCATTACTAATTTCATTGATATGATTCCATGTAATAAAAGTTTATATTCTCTGTTCTTTTATTCTTCTAAAATAAAAGAAAATAGTAAACAAATGTATTCCAATGGAACAAAACAGTACAGTACCACACCAGGATATTTTAAGGAGTTAACAATATAGCCACCATTTCGTTACTGAAGATATTTCTGTTAATTTTTTGCAGAGTTACAACACACACAATGATGGTAACAAACAATATTTCAATGTTTTAGATGCTATATGTATGTAATACAAAAACTCTCTTTGTCATGACAATAATTATAATAATACCTTTATCTAGGTAGAAAATTACAATACAGCAAATAACAATAATATAAAAATTCAAAATGGCAAGTAAATTAATTTATGTACAGGTATTGAAATATATTATAAGAAAAAATCAGTACAAAAGCATTTCACATATTTCAATGTTGAATCCTAACGCATTTTGCGGTAAGCCTGTATGAATACCATGATGTATATTTACAGATTAACGATTACCTAATTATAGTTACAAAATTAAACATACAACAACCAATAGTCAATACATTAATATAAAAAACAAATCGTAATGAATAAACTATACAATATCTGTCCAAATCACAGTAATGAAGGTTTCAAAACTAAATTAATCACTAAATTATTTTCAAAATTCAATGTTAAAAGTAATTTTTAGCACGTTTATTCAGTACGTCCCTAAGTTGTTGACTGTAATTTATCTTTCTGGTCTTCTGGCTTCTGTTCTTTCATGGCAGCTTGTATACTGGGTTTCTTATTTCCATGGACCTGGGGTGACAGGGATATACTAATTCTGGTAATATACAATCCACATAAAACCTTTTCAATTTCTCTTCCATCTGGTTTTGCCAAAAATCGTCATCCTTCATGATTTCTTCAATTTTGATTCCATGAGGTGTCCACAGGGCGAAGTAACATTTTTGTCGTTTTGATATGTGAAGTTGTCCCTGGATCTGATAAAAGAACTTGTGTTTCCTGTTTATTTCTATTTTGTTCTCATTGAAACTTAGGAAAGGGAACTTTTTCGATCTTATTGATTCTTCTGGGGTTAGGTTTTTGCATGACTCTGGACATTTAACCTCAACAATGCTATCATTCCCAATTAGACCGTCAGGACTGGCGCCTAAGTATTGGATGTTTTCGTCGATGAACAATCCGCACTTTTCAACAATTACTCCCAATACTTCTTCAATTTTCGTTATGGCATTAAGTTCATTTTCTTTTCCATATCTTGTCGCTGAACAATCAACATCACTATACAGTAGTGTCTTTACGAGGTTTCCACAGCCCGTTGTTGGTCGACGTTTACAGACCGTACCGAAGTTAGATGCGGTGAGCAACTTGCGCCTTTCTTCTTTCCATAGGCCACTGTCCGACTGTAGAACGGTATTTCTTTCAATCAAGATAAGTTCATTCCTGTTTCTTTTTAGAGATGTTGCTAGATTTCAATTTAGACCTCCTTACCTTTTCCCTCCTTCGTCTTTCTCTCAGAACCTTTTGTACCCACCTAAGTTATTGGGTCTTTAAAACCTTCCCAGGACTCTTTTTAACTAGATTTTTATGTAGTTTGTAAAGTGCGAGTTGTGAGTTGTGGGATACAACTGCAGCAGAACATCTCGCCTGGTATGACCTTTTCTTGGCAAAGTTTATTCGTTTGCCACCAACAAACTTAGCAACTTTCGAGTTGAAATGCTCAGCAGGGTTGTTGTTTTGCTTTATAATCAAGCTTTTGGCATTGTCGCACAGATAGCTCACGTGCCTCATCACCTTGTGGTAGATGCCACTCGTCTTCATCTCAGGGATGTAATTTATCTCTCCATCCTTCCTCCCTTTACATCCAAAGTAGCCGATTTCCTCGCACTTAAGATGTTCTCCGAACACGTGGCTTGGCGAATTTCTTATGTCATTTTGTAGACGCAAAGTCTTTTCTCTATGGTTTTCCTTCTGTCTGTAGTCAGCTGCCTTTGTTACAGCTGACCTAAGTTTGAAGACCTTGCTTCTAAGTACGTTTCGGGTGAGGTTCATAAGGTCCAAATTTCACAAAGTCCAATGGTTAAAATATTAATAAACATAGCGTTTCACAAGGTCCAAATTTCACAAGGTCCAACGTTAAAATATCAAATGAACAGAGCGTTTCACAAGGTCCAAATTTCATAAGGTCCAAAACTATGACATTCAAACAATCGCCGTTTCACAATGTCCAAATTTCACAAAGTCCAATGTTAAAATATCAAATAAACATAGCGTTTCACAATGTCCAACGGTACAGTCTCGGCCAGAAGTCGCTGCAGAGGTTGCCGTGGTTCGGTATGTAGGCACTACACTACCTAGTGTTGTTGCCACGCGTCACAAAACATCATTGTGGGTCCGTAGATACGTTGTAAAGAGTGTAAAGTAGTGGTATTCACCCCCTCCGCAGCAAACCTGCAGACTAATCGATTTTCCATTTCCCTTATTTGATTTACACTAGAATATCTCCTTAAAATTATCACATTTATTCCATATTTAAATAGCATTAGTTTAACAAGTACCGTACTTAGGTTTGCTGCAACAGGGAGTAATCAGTAATCAGTAGTTGAGCGCCGGTGGACGGTGCCTACTATCTGACCGTGGCAACCACTGTAGAGACTTCTGGCCTAGACTGTACCGTTGGACCTTGTGAAATATGGACCTTGTGAAACGCTCTGTTTATTTGATATTTTAACGTTGGACTTTGTGAAATTAGGACATTATGAAACAGTGGTTATTTGAATTTTATAGTTTTGGACTTTATGAAATTTGGACCTTGTGAAACGCTCTGTTTATTTGATTTTTTAACATTGGACTTTGTGAAATTTGGACATTGTGAAACGGTGATTATTTGAATGCTGTAGTTTTGGACTTTATGAAATTTGGACCTTGTGAAACGCTCTGTTTATTTAATATTTTAACCGTTGGACTTTGTGAAATTTGGACTTTATGAAACGCTCCCTACGTTTCTTAGAGTTATTGGACCGGCGCCTTTTGTCCAGTACTATGTCTCTTAGTTTTGAGCAATAATTTTGAAGTAGGTGATTTGTACATTCAATCTTAGAGACTGTGTAATGTTTGTATGACCTACATTCGATTAGTTTATTGTAGACGTTTGAATCGCCATCAGCTAGGACGGTCCCGTAAATGGCCCCATACATTTCAATACTCCTACAAAAACCTTCGAAAATAATGTCAGCTTCCATGCTGGGTGAAGAACCTGTCCAGTTTTTGTAGCATGGATGCGGCGATGCAGGTAATCCTTTCTCAGTTGCACTGGCGCAGATAGTACAGTACTTATTGCGTACTCCAAGAAAAATCACCTTCTTTGAGTGAGCTCCAACGATAGCTGCCTGGAAAAAAATTCCAGGCAGCTATCGTTGGAGCTTTCAAGGCGTATCGTAATTTCCTTTCAAGGCGCCATTTCATCAGGCCAACGTTGAAACATCTTTTCTTGCGTTTAGCACTCAAAAATAAGTTGCCTTTTTTCGAGACTCTTCCCATAATGCAGAAGAAACCCAAGTAGACAGAAAAAATACAAAACGACGTAAACTGTTTACTGGCGAATGTTAGCAGTACGATCGCACGATGCAGTAATCAAAGCCGGTAGCAGGACCGCAGGACTACTAGGGCTAGACAACGATGTAAAAACTACTGAGTTAAAAATACTGAGTAAAAAATACTGAGTTGTTTATATCGTTGGGGCTAGATCACTAGATCAGGTGACGTGCAGGTGTGTAGCCGACAGCCAATGACTGCAGCGGCAGTGATGACTCACTGTAGGGCGTAGGCCTATCCACGCTGTTCCCAGAATTTGACAAAAATGTACGCAAAACACTCAACACTCTATATGATCCATGTAACCTCACATCATCATCACGACCCTCGCATGTCCACGATTACGATATCCATTGAACACTGGACCTTAGGCATACGCTGAAATAAAGGACATATCTTGTTGAACAAGGTTTTTAAACATAAATAGGCCTACCCCGCCTCAGTAAACCTGCAGACTAAGTGAATTTCCATTTTCCTGATTGGATTTTCACTGAAATAGGAGCCCTCTGGGGACCTCAATAAAGTAAATCGGTCCCGGGTCGAGGTCTTACCACAAGACCTAAGACAATAGCTTCCCTATTTGGAAAATTCACTTAAAAATAACCCCTTGGGGCTAAATAAACACCATTTACGTAAACACCATAGTAATTCTCAAATTTTCATTTTTTTTTATTGCACTAGCCGTGTACTCGTGCTTCTCTAAGTAAGTTTAGAGGAACTTGTTAACAAATAATATAATATAATTAACCCTATTATTTAAATTGTTATCCATTACTACTTTAATTTGACTAAGATATGCTGATTTATCTTAGACAATTTTGAGTTGTAACGCAACTAGAATAATAAAAAACGTAACAGACAGATAGACATTCAAATTTCATGGTTTTTTCAAGGTTGGTCTTGGTTTCAGCGTTATTTCAAACAATCATGTCAAACACAAAAATAAAATAAAATTATAACGAATATACAGACAACAGTTTTATTTAATTTTTCTCAGTACCTTCCTACATTTGTTTTATTTCGATTTTCCATTTTAACAATATTTTCAAGGGACAATAGAGAATAGAGAATGAAATGGTAAAATTAATATGAACCACTCATTTTCATGTTAAGATTGTAGTTACTATCTTCCGTAATGACACAGTAAATAGACTCTATATATGTAAGTGTTATGGTAATGATGATAATAATAGATTGGACTTCGACAGTAAGTTCTACTACCACAGTGAGCAGAGCGACCTTGCGTAGGTCAGAGAAGCAGATCAAGTTTTATAGGATGGCTAGTAGCGAGTTTACCAGTAGATTCAAGTGACGCTCAGGCTACAAAACATGCGTTCCTATTCTCCTGTTTTGGACGCTGTTTTTCACCCATTTTACATGAAATGTTTACCATTGTTTACAGAAAGGGCTGAATTTTTTTTCTATTAAAAGCAAATTACAACATTTAAACTTTATTACGGTCGAAATCGTTACCAAACTTTGGAAAAATTGACCTATTTTCACATTGTATTAACAAAAATCTATGTAAAAAACTCTTATTTTCAGGTTATACATGAAAGCAGATACTCTTTGTGAACAAGTTAAGACATATACCAAAGTTCTAACTTAAAAATTGGCGTCCGAAATGGGGGAAAAGACAACGTATGTTTGTACGTGTTTTTCAGGGGTGAGGATGCCTCTTAAAGTGCATGCCTAACAATCAAAAGGTCCCTGGTCCGATCCTTGGAAAAGTCAGGAGCTTTTTGATCGTTCAAAACTGGACCTAGCTGTTCCTGACATTGGGCTTTAAAAATGTTATCCTGATGAAACAGCTGATATTAGTCAGTAACAAAGCTACACAGATCATCTCACACCATTCTACACTCATCCTTCACTCATATGGGTTAAAATACGCACATAGGTGGCGTCCCCATCTCAATGAATTGATAATTGATACTTCATAAAATATTTAGATGTTTTGATAGAATGTTGGTTGGTGGAGGGAGGGAGGGGATCTGAGTCGGAGGGGTTGCTCGTTTTAACTAATGTACATACAATTTGTTTTTGTATTGTACCCCCTACCCCCTGATGATACTGTAGTTGTAGCAAAACATTTTATGTTGATAAAATACTCAAGGTACTGTTGGGATAAGGTAATTAGCCTTCATCAGTCGTAAACCGTCACACAATTAAATAGATATCAACCGATAACATATAAACTACTGTAATATTTTTTTATCTCAAATAAATTTCCTGGATAACAAATGACTGCTTTCAGGTATGTGTACAACTCGTTGGACGAACCTTTAGACTTGTCCCGAGACATGGCGATGAAGCTTTTCTTCGCTGCTGATAAATACCTGATAGAGCCCTTGCGCAAGAAGGCGATTAACCAGCTGATTCCTAGAACGGTTGATGAGGTGTTTCCCGCGCTATACTGCCTCACACTCTGCACTACGGGTATTGACTGCCTCGAGAACATTGTGAAAACAGTGAGTAAATAATGTTGGCACACAAATTGTTTAGTAACATTAAGGTGTATTGATTGAGTTGTTAAATCTGCTAGGACTGCTGATGGAACTGTTGTCCAAACAAGACTCAACCCATCTCTGATCAAAAAAATTTATTTTTTGTGTAAGGCACAAATCACTTTTAGGCACAAATAGTTCCTAGGGTCTCCTCTCAAATGACGATCGTTTTTTCAGATCCCTGTCAAGAATATTAATCTCCACTCATATTGATGTTGTTGAAACATTAAACAGGGACATAAAAATGTCAAAAATTTAGACAAGAAATAAAAAATAAATATTCGACTACTATGGCCACAGGTAAACTCAGATGACATGTCTGGACTCCTTCCATTGGTAGAGTCTCGTGCTCGGCTCGAACAAATATCATACGCACACACCTTTAAAAATTATCACAGATTGATGTTAAGAAGTTTCCTCCTTGTAGGTTGTGCAAACGCGGACAACGGAAATCTTCAACTGTCAACAGTTTCTGGAGCTCAACTCAGACTGTTTGGTGTTCATTCTGAAACAACCCATTCTCAACTGTAGGGAAGTGGAAGTGTGGAAAGCTTCTGTCAAGTGGGCAGAACATCAAGGTATAAAAGCACTAAAGTATTTAAAAATGTTTAAATTATGAAATATTTTTTTTTATTTGTATTTCTGTGTAGACCTAAATACAGTAGAACCCCCCCCGTTAACCAAATTTGGGTTAAAACCTAAATGGTTTCATAAAATAATACAGTGCTAAAATATAAGTATTTATCTTCAGTTGTTCAGTTTAACGTATTTTCATTGGATAATTTTTGTAGCTGAAATATAACACTGTATTATATAGACATTGTTTTAAATTCACTTTTCCTTCTCACCGTGGTAATACATAGGCTATTTTTAGCATATGACGGGTTAACTGAAAAACAGCTCTCCTCCTTTTATTTTGGCTAACCGGGGTCTACTGTATCTACATAGGACTGTTTGTTTTGAGTGAATGCTAAAATTTAACACAGAGGTAAGTTTTACTAGGCTGTTTGTGTAAATCAATGAGGTTTTTTTTATTGGTTAGGTTATGCTTTATCTTGTATATCAATTATACCAGGACCCCATTTTCTTATACCTTACACACAATAATTATTGTGCCTTTATCCAAACACTTAAAATCTCTTTAATTACCCAAGTTCATGCCGACTCTCACTATTCCAACATGTACAGGGGAATCATGCCCTGTCTGTAATGTACTCTGTGACTATTAGAGTTCATTTATCAGTTTAGACATGGTAAAAATCAATGTTTATTGATTACCTACACGATTACACAACTTGTAATAAATAAGTTTACATATTAAAAAATCACTGTTCAATCAAGCAAAGCACGGTACTGTTCTGCTTCCTCACACTAACCATTTTAAGAACTGTAGAACCGGACTGGAAGAACGTGAAGCTGTCACGACAAGAATCAATTTCTAGTTCTAAAAATTAGCTGATGATTCACTTATTGTAGGGTCACACTACCTATCAAGTGTCAGATTACCAATTGCCAATTGTATTTTTTTCATCACATCTTCTACTTTTCAGGTCAAACCAGTGAGGGCCAAGTTCTCCGACAGATTCTTAAAGAACCACTGAAATACATAAGGCTGTGTACAATGACCAACGCACAAGTGTTTAGCGAAGTAGCACCGAAAAACATACTGACCGATTCAGAGACTTTGAAAATCGTAAGATTAATCACGACGAATGACATGTCTGAAGCGACGGAGAATGACACAGATTTTTGCATGAGCAGATTACCCCGGAGAATGAGTGATCGTCCATTTAACGTCCCCTCGTGGGGCTCGTACTTTGACCTGGGACACAAAATGTATGTTGGCGACGAAAAAGGATCAGGCTGCCGGTTGGATATCAGCGATTACGCGATCACCCTCAAGTCCATAGCCTGCCGAGGGAAAAAGAGCCCTTTCAGTGAAATAGACTTTTTAACGAGCACTCGCAAGTATCGATGCGTTTGCAAGGTGATTTTGAGCATCTACGACAACGATGTGTTGAAGGAAGTGTGTGTGATTGACTTTGACCAAGAAGTGAACTACGAGGAGGAGTTTATCATCTTGACCATGTACCAGGGCAATTACTGGAAGCTGGCTTGTAAACATGTGTACAGGATACATCTGGAGTTCCGTGAACCACATCCCAGGTTTGTGTTTAACATATAATGTTCATTTTGGCTTTTTGTAATAAGTGTTACAGAAAATCTGTAATTTTTTATTGTATTGGAACATATCCAGCTTTCTTTCAATTCTTCCCAAATCAACTTAAGTTTTTTTGTCTTATCATTAGTGATTTGGCATGATTGTTTCTCTAGTTTGAATTAAACTAGTTCTTTTGACTGTGTTGGAATTGGAAGCACATCTGAAACCTTAATTTACAGATAGCCCTCATAGAAAATGCTTGGTTAATGGAAAGTTGTCCAATCATTTTGGTTAAAAAGCTTGCTTATTGTACAGAAGCTAGTAGTTAAAATCAGCACACTGTCAGTTGTTAAATACTTACCGGTATACTAAATTTATTTTGAATTAAAAATTGCTATGATTTAGTTCCATACATAGTCAAAAGTATAACTTTATTTGGGTTTCAGCTGTAATTTACCATGTTTCCAGATCCAAGCTACCATTATTCTAGCTGTAATATAACATGTTTCCAATTAAAAAAAATTCAGAACTAATCTATTATGTTTCCAACTCCAAGCTACCTGTTTCTAGCTAAAATCTACCATGTTTCCAGCTGCTAACATTGTTCCAGGTCTAATCTATTATTTTTCCAGCTCCAAGCTACCATGTTCCTATCTCTAATCTACGATGTTTCCACATACAAAACTACAATGTTATCAGTTCTAATCTACCATGTTTTCAGCTCCAAGCTACCATGCTACTAACTCTAATCTACTATGTTTCCAACTCTAATTTACCTTGTTTCCAACTCCCAAAAAAAGGTGCTACCAGCTGTGATCTACCATGTTTCCAGCTCCAAACTACCATGTTCCTATCTCTAATCTACGATGTTTCCACACACAAAACTACAATGTTATCAGTTCTAATCTATCATGTTTTCAGCTCCAAGCTACCATACTACCAACTCTTATCTACCGTGTCTCCAGCTCCAAACAACCATACCATTAACTCTAAATCTACTGTGTTTCCAACTCTAATCAACCATGTTTCCAGCTCCAAGCTACCATGTTTCCAACTCTATTCTACCGTGTTTCCAACTCTAGCTATCATGTTTTCAGATGGTGTTCCAATCTGAGGGATGGTGAGCCGCTGTGCAGTGAACACCATTTTGACGGAGGTTGGCTGGATTGTTACTGGAGTTGTAACCACATTGTCAGGCTCCACTACACTCGTCACTCTAGCAATCGACCAATACCCATGGTATTGATGGGTTTATATGATCGACCAATGGTATAGCTACATGGTACAGTAGACCCTCTCTTAACTGACACATGATCAACCGGTGATTTTAGTTGCCTCCTCGGACAAAAAAAGAGGTCGGTTTATCCGCTGTGAATAGTTAATCCGGTTGGCTTTAAGGAACTTTTCTATCACTTAAAAGATTTTAGTCCTATCTTAATGAAGTAGTGTAATAGAATAGAATCGTGTCCATGCAGTGCTATTTTTTTATAAACTAGATGTTTTCAAGTATTTTTTATGGCATTTGTACATAAAATCATGTAAATAGTTTTAATGCAAAAATGCATGTATGTAAAAGTTAAAATTCAACTTTGTGTTTTTTTTCCTAACATAGCTTCTCTATTTTGAAAAGTAAATTGCAGTACTGTAGTATAGAAGAGACAGATTACCTTTGTACAGTCAAGTAAAACACTACAGATCCGTCACAAAAAAAATATTTTTTCATTGTTGCTTGTGAACATTATTAGAAAATATTCTAAAATCAAGTTTCTAAATACGGCATTGAGTTACATTTATGTCTACAGAGTATTGCTCATGTTTACATAGTCTAGGCCTACTGTTCTAATATTTAGTATATCTGTGCAAAGCCTGGTGAGGGGGCTGTTAAGAGAGGTTGCACTGTCCATACTTACAGACATATTAAACTATACCATGTATTTATAGACACTTTTAAAATGTCAGTTCAGCAATCATTTTAATGTATTAGAAAATTAAGACTCATTCTGGAATAATGAACCCTTTGTGCTTAGTCGAGGCGAAATAGTTTTATTATCAGTCGTCTCTGTTGTACGCTTTATTGGCTCAGCAGCTACCTTAGCGTCTTCTTCCCACTTACTTGAAATCATTTAAGTTTCAAATTTATCACTTGATTTTTTTCATATAACATGCACAATAGTAATACATTGTAAATGCTATTCATTTTTTATGTATCATCTGTTATTTAATGTACTATCTGTTATTATCTGGGATTAACTGCCATCAGGCATTCAAAACTGTTATTTTTCATTGTTTTTCTATGCAAAACTACAGATATAAATGAAATATATGGAAAGTCTAAAACATATAGTGTAAAGCATATAAAGCGACTAAACAATTCCCGTCTCAAATCTTTATCGGAGGTGCTATGCCTTAGCCGTTGTACCTAGTCCATTTTCACATGTACATCAGATTACCAAGCTCTGATAGAAATGAATAAATTGTTCAAACCCAACGACAACTAAATGATGGAATGTAAACCTTCAATATTAGTTTCACCTACTCACGCCATACAAGTAGTTTAGTTTTATGCAGCAATTAACCTTAGTTTGCTGCTATCCTCGAATGTCTTTTATTTCCTCCTGATGTAGCCCAAAGTCTCAGTAATGTACTTTAATACTTTTTTTATGAAATGGCGACCATACATAGTAGGTATTTTAAGCCAAGTATGAATGGGGGTGAGTGGCGCGATCTTGTAGTCTTGTGAGTAACAGCCGACATTCCTTAGACACAGCTGCAACTCCAAGTATCGGAATTAATTGGGCCCGTAACACATTCGCAAGATTAAAAAATTGGATTTTTACCAAAATTTGTGATATTTTAAAGAAACTAGGCCAAGTCAAGCCAATCTTTTACTATTGCAATTGCAGGATACATCTGCAAATATTTTTCAATTTCAAAAAAATCATTCACCGCGTGGACGATGATGATGTCTTCAAGACTGAGAAAGATGTTCTAGATTTGGCCGGGATCACAGAAATATGTCAAGTGTCCATTACTGCGGGAGACAGTAATCATGGCTACTTGACTGCGGGATAGATTTTTCATTTTGCCGCAGTCACGGAAGACGATGTTTCTATGTTGACGTTTCCATGAATGCAAGAGATGATGATGATTTCTGCTAAACCACAGAAGGTGTGAAAGATTTTGCAGCCATTGCAAAAACCGTTGACGATGTTTTTGTGACTGCGAGAGAACTTTATAATATAGGATAATCGTAGGATCTACTGTAAACTTTTTTGACATTGGAAATATTTCCAGGTAAAGATCAAGTCACTTAGAGCAGGCATTCAAGGTCTTATAAAAAACTCAATCTTAATTTTCTCTAGAGAGTGTTTCCATTGGCAAGCTGTGCATCAAGGGTTATCAGAACTCAAAACCGTAATTTTTTTTTATTTACACTTGATTATGACCAGAATTAAGTTCATATTATACCTTTTGCTTTTAGGTAAAAGTCTTACTTTCAGTTGTTGTCTTTTATAGGTTACTTTTAATATGTGAGAGGTTGATAGGAGTCGTATTCAAATACTGTGGATTGTTAAATTGTTATCACTCTTCACCATCAAATAAAATTGAAGGTAAACAAATGGCCAGTATGTTTGAATTGAAATCTAACTTCAATGCCAATGTTTAACTTCCAAACTTAAAATATTAATAAAATCTACAGCTTCTCTTGTCATGTAGCTTATTGTATTTTTGTGCGTTTTGAATAATATTTTTCAGATTTTTACTAATTTTTTTTTTGATTGTTTCAATTTTTTTTATTTTTGCACTAAAATATTATATGCAGGGGGTGTCCATAAAAACGTTTCAGGGCTTTGGGATATGGATCCTCATGCCAAAACAAAGAAAAAAGTTCATGTGAAGGGATGTCCGAAAATGCTTATTCACCAAGATATCCACCTTTTTTATAAATACAAATTTATATCTTTAAAGTTTTTCAACTGAGCTTTATAAACTGGTAGGATGTATATGATAGTTCAAAAGACCTATGTTAGAAAAATAATAATTTTGGTCTAATTTTTTTATGAAAAAATTTCAGGAACACTTTTTTAATGTAGATGTGATTTGAAAACTTATCAGAAATTTAAAAACCTATATATAGTTTTTTTTTTTTGCAATAAGGCTAAGTTTGTCAGCGTGCCCTGACCTTCTTACCAGACAAAATTTAGGTCAAGTCTAACTTTGGTACTTTAAAAAAGTATTGATTTAAAAAAATAAAAATTCTTATACTTAAATCAGTGAAATACTAGGCCTTCTTTAATTGCAATGAAATTGTGAATACAACAAAATTAACAAAATTGCAGCTGAGATGAAATGGTGAACACCTTCCCCGATTGCAGAGGAATAATGAACGTCTCCTACGTTCACGGCAAAATCGTGAAAATGTTTCGTGGTCTTCACTGTAGTCTCTCAAGATAGTGGCCAAATAGTGATTTTCAATCGTGCACTCTTAGCGTACATTTTTATCAAATACGACCACCTAACAAATTATCAGAGGAATTAATTTTTGAAGAGTAAATAAATCCACTTCCAAAGCCAAGCCGTGTGAATACTCTCTGAGCCAATAAGAACATTTTTTGAATCTGCTAGTGTCTTCACCAGAATCTTTGAGTGCTGCTGTGATTTTTTGAAAGTATACATTTCTCACTTGTATAATATGATCATCAGACAATATTAACGGGGCAGTGATGTCGGTTCCTCTCCTTGCACACCCTTACCTGGCATAGCCTGCCCACCAGCAACAACAGTGATAAACTTTTAAGTTTAAAAAATCCCATACCATTGCATTATTTAATTACATTTCTACTTTTCATAGTTGTTAAATATTAATTAAAAAAAAAATACTTGTATAAGCCTATTCCAACTTTCTAGAATCTCCCAAGAACTCAAAATTTCACAGTAAAAATTAGGCTTGATTCTAAATTTAGTTGCAGCTTCAAAATCTTGCCATCACTAACAAGGCACAATTTTAAATGATAGGGCCTAGTTTGAACTTGAGTTGAATGTTTACAAATGAATTACTAATATACTTGCAATGTCAATACATGTAAAATGTCCATTACATTAACGGTTTGATTATACTAATGTTCTTGCGCTTCTTAATCCTGGCTATAGAACCAGCGGATGTTAAGTTACAAGGCTAAAACATCATTCAGCTCAAATATTTGCCTTAAATACACTGTTTTGTCACGAGTTTAATCTAATGTGTTTTCTTCCAGATTGAGGAAGACATATTTTGAGCCGTGAACGTCGCTGTTTACGGTAATTGAATGTCTGCCCGTGAAATTTAAAAAACAATTCCATTTTAAAAACCCATAAGTGTTGCAAAAGACATGTTCAGCTTTAGAATAGCTTTAGTTTACTAATCTTAGTACTGAGAATGTATAGATTTTTAAAACTATTGATCCATTAAGATGGATTCAAAAGATAGATTTTTGTTGTTATGTGTTAAAGTATATTTTTAAAAGTTTTACCAAAAGAGGGTGTATTTTTCCATTATTTGTTGACAAAAATGTGAAATAAATACCATAAACCATATTTTATATTAATAATGTTATTACTTTTCAATTTTTTTATACCCACTCAACCATCCTTTACTTAACAACTTAGATGGTGTTTGTGACGAAGTCTTAAACTATGTTTTACTCCTATAAGAAATATATATAATATTTCAACAATCGGATAGGTCTCCACATAGGCGATGTCTGTCAGTTAATATCTATTATCCACCTTTTGAAACTAAAATATTTGATCAGAATAGATGATACAGTAATACTTTTTCATCCCAGAGGTTGGAGGAACTAATCTGCGGAGACACACAAGTCTTAGTCCATTGACTGTGCCAGAGCTTCAGAGGTCTTTGAAAACTGAAAACCTTTACAACTGATGAAAAAAATGTTATACAATATTGTAGAAATTGGTGTTTTTCATCTCTGGTTAGTTTTTAGCAGTTTAAAATCTTTTAATTAATGACTAAATTTAAATAACAAAAACACACCATTCTATGACAGAAATATTATTTGTGTATAAATGAGATGACTAAAGCCATTTTCTATTAGACAATGAATTGGAAGTTGTATTAATACTCAAACACACTGCACACTGTAATACACGACAAACAAATAACAATATATTCAGTGGTCGTTGTTGGGATTGAATAGAAATTAACTCAATTTCCTACAACTAACACAAAAGATTTACACGGTTCACAATAATTAGGAAAAATACTTATGCAAACTTAAATCATTTTTTTTCTTCTTTTTTTTTGTGATGGTATGAGGTTCTTGTGTTGTTATGATGAACTCTCCTATTTAGGAATTACACAATCCCTTTAATGATCCTCACAAACTATACCTTTATGATCATATAAAGCAATTATTATTGTACTACTAATAAAACAACATTTTGTTCTTAACAAATTTATTACAAACAAACACAAACTACAAACAGGTCTTCAATATGAAGATCTGAAAAACAATGGTTAAATGCTATTAAGACTACGCAGCAGTCGGCTGTTCAGCAGCTGGTGATTCTTCTGGTTTTGCCGCAGCAGCTTTCTCTGCAGCATCTTTTTCTACTGCAGCTTTTCTGTTTCTCCAAGCCGTCATGTAAGTTCTGGGATGAATCGGGAACAATCCAGCAATGCCTGGAATGATTTTCTACTTAATAAAAGATTTATTTGAGCATGACTTAGCTGCAGTCAATTAATAACTATAGTAAAGCAATAACCTTCATAAAATAGCGACTTACAGTAAACTATTTTAACTTTTAATGTCTCAATCCACTATCTACTTTTGTATCTTAATATGAAAAACTAAAGAGAAAATATAAAATTATCACACTCTAAGTATATTAGGAAGGTAATTTATGGGTTAGAGTTTAGCAAGAAAAAGTGGTGTACCTATGTAGTTGGGACATCCAAAATCAATCGTCGATATTTTTCTCCCCCAATAGCCTAACCTAATGTATTGTATTATAAGTAAGTAATCTTCACTTAACCTAAAGATGATCCAATCTCAATATCATAAGTTGTCTACAGTAATTTATATTTCAGGTCAAATATTAATATTCGGTAGAATATGTCTCAATTATTGGCGTACTGAAATTTTGGCTACTAGGTCATATGGTAAAATCAATGAATACACAAACTATAAAGAAGAACAGGTCCTATGGACAATATTCTAACAGTATTTTCAAATTTGGCGCCCGAAATATCTGTAGTTCTGCACTGAACCACCACTCAGCCCTTTAGTCAAGTTTAGCACGCGGTGAAGTGCGAGAGAGAGCGACATACACTGTTTTCGCCCCCTCTCTCTTTCTCTCGTGGCCTGGCCCACAGGGGACGAAAACGGTGTATGTCGCTCTCTGTTTACCACTTCACCGCGTGCTAAACTTGACTACAGCGCTGAGTGGTGGTTCAGTGCATAACTACAGATATTTTGCGCGCCAAATTTGAAAATACTGTTAGAATATTGTCCATAGGACCTGTTCTTCTTTATAGTTTGTGTATTCATTGGTAAAATGTTGTCCAGGGTACTTTTATCAAGCTTTATTTTATGACTAGACGTAGAAAGCTTCATGCTTAAAAATAGCTATGGTAAATAACATCCTCTTAAACTTAGCTTTAGAGAACATAGCAATCGTGATTACCCGGTGACTTAAAACCTTGGGACCCTCATCAGTCAATGGATAACCTTACTATGCTTATTGTAGGCTAACTCATATGTTTAAATGATAAAGAAAATAAATCTTACCAAATAACTCGCTAACAGGCCTTGAAACACCAACACCTTGTCCGATCCAGTAACTCACCCTCTCAAAATTGATTGCAACGAGTTTTTCGTTCTTTTCATTTGGTAAAGGGTCATAAGATCCAACCTGTTCAATACACTGATCGTGCTGCTCTCTTTTTCTCTGAAAAAGATATTGTTATGTTAAATCATGAGGGATGATCAGGAAGTAAGGAATGTTTTGGAATAAAATAAAATTGTTTACAAGAAACCATAGGCCTATTTAGTTTTTCTGTAGGCCTATGCATTTAAAAGGGCAACTAAAATACTACTTTTATACACAGCCACCAAACAAATTGAGGCATTTATCAAAACGGTGATTCCTTGAAATTCCTACATCATATAAATTATACATATGCTGCAAAGGGCTGCCCTGCTAAACCACGTCTTTAAATTGGTGCACAGAACAAATAAAATCCACTTGGAGTCCTCACTTCTACTTGTGTTAGGTATGGACTCTAGGGTGGGTGGTTGAGGCTAAATTCTCCTTGAATGATTGAAAGCAGATCCAAGTGTAAGGCATTGTCATGCAAAAACAAAATTTTGGCAGTCAACTTTACTCCGGCTATTTAGAAACTATTTGCACTATTTCTAGACAGAACGTTCACATAACTTAGCTAACTACATACATTGTATCTGTACACTTCACACCCTTGAAAGAAGAGCTTAATAATTAATTTCTATAATTATTAATTATTAAGGAGGGTTAGCCGGATAAGCTTATAAGTGTTTGGTTTAAGTTAATTAAGTCATTCAAAATGAATAAAGTTTATTTACAGACAAAAATAGGCCTATATAACTTAGCCTAATAACACTAATACCGAAACCCTACCTAGGCTGACGTTAAACGGTTAAACGGCCGACTATCTAGACCACTGTAGGCCAATTTTTCGGCAACTGGGAATCCTCACTGTGTACAGCAATTATATTTTCGTAAGCCTACTTCACGTCAACGTAAACATAAACACCTTTTGTACAAGAGTAGAGATGCATGACCTGAATCTTCGACATGGCATCAGATTAAACCTCCCGTACTGCAGACTCACAAAAAAAGGACTGTTTCCCCCACCTGGCCCACAAGATGTTCAATAGGCTACCATCTGGAGTTAAATGCCTGAATGACAATAGTTTCAAGACCAAAATTAAGTCCTGGCTCATTGGTAGAGCATATTATTCATTGAAAGAGTTCTTTGAGGACAACTTTAGCGACCTCGTCTAGCCAAACAAACCATTGACGCAATCAATCCAGCAACGCTGGTCAAAGATGAAGACATCAAACCCCCCGGTCTGTGAGACCCCATTTGAAAAATAATGGACCCCGCTTAGACACACACAAACTGAAACCCTCGGCCTGTGAGACCCCGCTTTAAAATACACAAACGATGGGCTTCTGAGACGGGACGGGCATATTATGAACAGACAACCTGTTAAGGTCACGACACCCATGCAAAATGAACAAACAATACCTATATCAATAGGTAGGGGGAGGAAAAGGGGGGAAGGTATTGGGGGAATGGAATCTCTCAAGTAAACAGTATTGCCAGCATGCGTTTTTGAAAATTCCCGTGGGCCTGTCAGACCGGGGTTTCGGTATTAGAGTTAAGTTATAGCCTTAATGGCAATCAAAAAATATATTACCGTACAGACCACACCTCTAACCTTAGCAATACAATGGAGTCAAACCTCAAAGTTTCACAAAGGCTGCACTTTAGTTTTAGGTTAGATTAACCTAACTAACCAAACTTGATATATCGAATGAAGTAAGTTAATCGATAAGTTATATGCATTCAAATAAGTTACCGGTAAGTGTCCTATATGACGTAAACTAAAGTGCAGCCGGAATAAGCCTAACTTAAGTAGGTGCATGCCTAATTAACTTATGTAATAGCTTAATTGCTTTCCAACTTCAAAAGCAGTCAAAATCTTTCAAATTTTTTTGGATGATAGGCCTAACTTATGCCGGGGATCAAACCCACTTCCCTCTAGGCTAGCAACCAAACGGCAAAAATACGTCATTGCCGTCTTCTATCGTGACGTCATGCTAGACGAGCATTACGGCCTGTTTTTATAGTGTGGCCTTGTAGCAACACACTAAGTGCAAATTTGAAAGTTGCTTTAACATTGCAAGATAACTTAAGTAATAAGTAACTTAGCATCAGCTGGTGAGCATTAGGTTTGGTCTGTTTACTTTAATTACTTACCGCTGAAGGTAACTTGAGCCTAGTGTTGTTAAAAGTAATTTGACCTAACCTAGGCCTAAACTTAGTCCCTAGGTAAGTTAGGGTACTCTTAAACTTCCAAATAGGATTAAAAAGGCAATGTTTCAAAATGTTGGTTTGTATAAGATTAACTTAGGCCTATTTATTAAAAACTTACAGCAGCCACAACTATGTGGTAAAATGGACGATTTGTGCAACCCATTCTCACGAATCGAATAACTTTTCTAACATTTCCGGCATCAAAACCTCCACTTGCGGGGAAGAGCCGAGTAGCTGCAAATCTGCTCTTCATAGCAAGACAATAATAATCACCAGATCTTCGATTAGATCACGATTATTCTTGGGTACAGCTATTTCAATTTGAATGAAAAAAGTCAAGTCCTATGCTACGTTAGTTATCCTCCTATCCTCCTAACCTAAAACCAAAACCGAACCAACAAACTTAAAATTTTTTTTTTTTCAATTCGTCTTCTGCTCCTGCCTTTTTTTCTATTTGGCCAAAAGTGACCGGCTAAGCATGGTGTAGGTTACCATGCAGCTGCGTGATCTGATATTTTACTTGATTTTTTGTTTCGTTTTTTTTATTGAGATTGAAGGGAGTACTGTATGTTCATATGTACACCAGTTTGTTCACCTTTGTGGTTAAGTATGTAACTGACACTTTGTTTGTTTCCCAGTTTGTCTCATGGTTTGGTTACGACACTTTTCTTGGGTTTATAAATTTTTGCACCTTCCTTTTGTTTGTACTACGACTCGGCGCCTGCTGATTGACCATAACAGAGTCCACATTCTCAACTGATTCATCGAGTTATAATTTTCCTTTTATTTTATTTTCTGTAGAAGCCTAAGGATACCATAAAGGATTCATGGCTTTGTTATTAACCAGTTTGTAAAGTTGTGTTGTTTATTAATTTGTAAAGTTTTTTTAACGGTCCAAACCCTGGTCTTGTTACTGTAAAGGTTGATCTTTCTCTTAGATAGCACCTGTTTGATAGGCCAATTATTATAATAACTCATACAAAAATTTACTTTTCTTACAAATGTACTACCATAAAACTGTAGCAAAATTTAAAATTTATTTCAATTTTAAATTTGATTTGATATTTTATATACGCTCAAGCCCGGGACTACGTATAGGCTCTAGAGGTTGCTGCATTATCACATGGAGATTCACTATTACATATTAATTGTTCCCACGACCTCGGAGACTAATTTTAAGTCCCGCACTCTGTGACTAGACCAGCACCCACTCTGGTCAATTAATTTACTAGTTCAACCATCACCGCGATTATAACTTTTCTGGTTTGAAGTTTTGAACGTAAGGCCCCGTTTATACACCAAGAGCGGTAGCGGTAGTGACAGCGGGAGCGATTTCTAACACCATTGGGTTAAATGGGGCTGTTTATGCACGAAGAGCGATAGCGGTAGCGGTTGACCTCCCGCTGCGGTTTCTAATTTGCCCACTGTGTAGTTAGAAATCTCAGCGGTTGCTTAAATAGTGCGATTTTCAGCTACATTGAGTCAAATTGGACTGTTTATGCACGGCGGGAGCGGAGCGGCTGCAGCCAGGGTTGCCAACCTGACCCACGTGCACGTGCACTTAGGACAAATAGTTGTGTTAATTATTTGGCAGAGTTTGAGTTGGCAAGACTGTGTCCCCCTTCCATTCTCCGTTGACCAACCGCTATTGCTATCGCTTGCACAATTTTGACAAAATTTTTACAGCGGGAGCGGGCCCGCTATCGCCCCGCTCCCGCTCTTGGTGCATAAACGGGGCCTAAGGGGACTTAGTATAAATAATGTATTACCACGATAATTAGCTCTTAGTTCCATAAATAAGGATAACTTTTTTAATGTAATTTCATAAAATGTACAAAAACTTGCAGACTAAGCGAATTTCCTTTGCCTGGTTTGATTTTTACTTAAATCTATTTCAATCACATTATTATAGGTTTAACAGGCACTGTGCTTAGGTTTGCTGCTACTAAGGAGGGTAATAAAGGGTGTTTTTATTAAATGTAAATAACTTAGTATAAAATCAAATAAATTGCCAAGTACTGTATGTTTAAAATAATATAATAGTAGGCCTATATTAATATTACAAACGTGAAAGGTTATGTTTGTTTGTTTGTTTGAAGTTCGATCACGCATTAACTACTGGTCGGATTCATGGTGGAAGGAAAAAACATTTTTTTCCTTCCACCATGGGTCGGATTGGGCTAAAATTTGGCATCATGGTAGCTAACTCCCGATTAACATATAGACATATTTTTATCTCATGAAAACCTTATGAGTATTCTTACTTAAAATTAATAAAAAAAAATTGTAAGCTGTTTTTACTAAACAAGTTAGTTCTGATATTCAATAGAATTAAAAGGTTATAGGTTTACCATAATTGGGTACAGCACCAAACAGTTTTTTGCAATTATGACACTAATTTGAACCAACGAAAACAAGAGTACTGTATTCATTGTTTGAACTAAGCAGCAACAAAAAGCATCGAATTATATAACACAACCAAAAAGCTGTGATACACTATGAGAAGTGCAGAAGTGTCAAAGTATGGTCGTTTACAGTTGTTAATGTTAATAAATAGTTGTTAATAAATAATTTTAGATATTTTGCGAATGATTGATATTTTACTTTTTTCTATTGTTTAGGTACAGTGGCAGGACATTATGGCTGTGGTACAGTAGATGTGTTATACTACAGCATGCCGTTAATTTAAAGAACCAAATTTTCTTAAACCGCGTCCTCTCCCATTGCACACGCAAACTGCAAAGCCAAGTAGGGCCTAAGGCCTATAACTACAATAAAGCATTTTATACCTATACCTCAACCCCGTGTACAAAAGGACGGGTACTCTGCTAGTATATCCATAAACAAGCAAACTATAACAGTTTAACTCATTCTCCATAAGAATAACATGGCAATTTTAAATTTACAATCTTTTATAACTTTCTCCTTAACAATAACCATATAAATATGCTGATTTTTTAAAGTTCTTCAATATAAAGATAAATTAGTAAATGTTATGTTTTGAGGGTTAAAAGTTGTTTTGCCAATTACACAATTCAATTCTTGGCCGATTTATTTGATCTCCAGTTGATCTCCACTCAAGTATAAATGATCATCTCGTATATCTTCAAGGGAAAAACAAGTTGGACAAGTTTTTGCGCGCCGGTCGCAGACTACTTGGCGACAGTTATATTCCTCCAGGCCCATAGCATTTACTCCATAGTCCGTGGCAAACGCTTCCAATGTGATCAGCGATTACACCAAGTATGAATAAAACAACCCTGCCGCAGCAAAACTGCTGACTAGGCAAATTTCCATTTGCCTAGTTGGCTTTTCACTAAAGTTTCCATAAAGTTGTCAGATTTATTCCCTATTGAATTCATAAGGTTTTACGAGTATTGTAGAGTATTGTAGGTTTACTGCTACATGAAAGGCAGTAAAGTATGTTTTAAATTAAAATAGGTGTCTGTTTAACACTTTTTGTAAAACAACAGTTTTGTTTTAATCACTGACGAGGTGTTAGCCCGTCCTACGTACGGGAATTCAGTAGTCAGTTAAAACCGTGTACAATTCAGATCAGCTAGTTTAAAAAAGACAAAGTTTCTTGCAGTTTTAATGTGAAATACCCCCGCCGCAGCAAACCTGCCGTCTAAGCGAATTTCCATTTGGCTGAATTGATTTTCAATCGATCTATTTAAATAACATTAGGTTTAACGAGTACCTAGGTTTGCTGCTACAAGGAAACTAATAAAGTGTGTGTTTTAAGTAAAATAATTATTGCTTAGTAGAAAATGAATATATTTGCCAAGTTTGATCAAAAGATATCCATAAACAAGCAAACTACAACATTTTACAATATTCTCCATAAGAATAACATGGGAATTTTAAATTTACAATTTTTTTAGTTTTCTCCGTAACCAATAACCGTACAAAAACACTTTGATATACTGAATTGTTTGTTTTTTAAGGCCCTTTAAGAAGGTTTAGGTAAAAATTGGGAAATTTTGTGTTTTGAGGGTCAAAAGTGAGAAAAACCAATTTTTACCCCATAAAACCCCCCATAAAACCCTGTTCCCATGGTCCGATCATGCTGGATCGCGAACTCATTCAAGTTTATCCCGCCTTACACCTTCAAACCAAATTTCATCAAAATCGGATAAAAATTACTCAAGTTATCGTGTTCACGGACACATATATATATATATAAATCTATATATATATATACCTATATAGGCCTATATATATATATACATATATAAAAATTTGAACGCATGGTGTTTTTGGCCTCTGGGGACATCAAAATGAAAAAGTAAATCGGTCCCGGGCCTAAGTCTTACCATGAGACCTACGGTAATAGCTACTTCCCTATAGGTAATAGCTTTGAGTAATAGCTTTGACTATTAATCTTATCTTATCTTAGCACCTTTATCTTATACAACTTCTGTATCCAATAGTCAAAGGTAATAGTCAATTGAGAAGTGTATAGACCTAGTCAACGATACTACCTTCTATAGCATACCTGCCTCTTCCATAATTATTATCACCACAATGCCACAATACAACTAACTTACTATACACAATTTCCAGTAGGTCTGAATAGAAACAACCTAAATTTTAAACGATAATATCCAATAAAATTCACAGTACACATAATTTAACTTTGGTGTCCTAACATCAAACTAATCGTCACACCTATCCTTTGTATCAATTTCACTGCATTAATTACTAAATAAATAAGTCTAAACAAAGAAAAGTAAAAACAATAACAATTTGTTTTGAAACAGCTGTTTGGTTCAAATAACATTAATTTGAAAAAAAGAACTGGTCACATGTAGCAGGAATATAAAAAGTAAACACGCTAGTAAAGCTAATGACGTAATTGTCAATGTTTATTATCCATACCGTTATCAGTTCTATCCTTGATAATTACCCACCCTCATTGAATAAATGTACATCGTAATTTCCCATATTAGTTAATTTAAACTACAATATATTCATAGTTAAAATAAAAGTGATATTTTCACGTTTGGGGGCGCTGATATAGGCACCCCCAAACGTAACCACAACTCAACACGATTTCATAAAACATGTAAACATTGTTATTTTTCTATTCTTTCCTTTAAAAGTGGAGCAGTAAAATAATTTGCATTTATCCTTTTTTATTAGGCTCGTGTACAGAGCCTCAATTTGTACTGTGGTTTAATTAATTTTGGTCCAAACTATTTTAAACTGTGGTCTAATTATCTCTACTAATCTGACTTATTTCCTATAATCAATGAAAAAATAAGAGTAAATAAAATAACCTCATAGTTCCATAGTTTATATTTAACCAGCTGTTAGTTAAAACAAATTATATTGCTCTAAAACAAATCAAGATTACAAAGATTGCTTTAAAAAATATTTTGAACATCCTAGTATTTTACTATGTATATTTAATTAATCCTGTCATCCTCTTACAGATGAATTGAACGTATCAATGATTAGCATTACACATAGTATAAATAAGTCAACGCTAAGTATGTCTTTACATTTTTATCCAAATGCTGAATTTGTGACACAAAAGCTGAATGTGTACAGCTGTTATATTAAGCAAATTATTTTATGCCGAAAGCTAGTTTAGAATCTAAGCGTCGGCTGCTAGACTTTTTAAAAATTAAAACTTAATTTATACAAAAACTGGGACCCAAAACTACAATTATGGCTTCGACATTCCCTAGTTCTCAAAATTATCTTTCTTTCAACACAAAAATCATGTAAATCCGTCGAGTGGTTGATTCAGAATCGTGAAATAAAAAAAACACTGTTTCGTTTTAATATTATAGATAGACTAGCTGACCCGGCGAACTTCGTATCGCCTAAGTTATAGGTTTCCCCTAAGACAGACCGATGGAAAGAAAGTACCGTTACGTTTAATTTTCAAGATGATCTCGTTCGCATCGCTCAATCACGTCCTGGTTGAAGTTCGTTCGCTACGCTCACTCACCTTTGGGTTGGAGCTCGTTCGCTACGCTCACTCACCTTTAGGTTGGAGCTCGTTCGCTGCGCTCACTTGCCTTCAGGTTAGCTCGTTCGCTACGCTAACTCGCCTCCAGGTTGAAGTTCGTCCGCTACGCTCACTCACCTTTGGGTTGGAGCTCGTTCGCTACGCTCACTCACCTTTAGGTTGGAGCTCGTTCGCTGCGCTCACTTGCCTTCAGGTTAGCTCGTTCGCTACGCTAACTCGCCTCCAGGTTAAAGTTTGTTCGCTACGCTCACTCACCTTTGGGTTGGAGCTCGTTCGCTACGCTCACTCACCTTTAGGTTGGAGCTCGTTCGCTGCGCTCACTTGCCTTCAGGTTAGCTCGTTCGCTACGCTAACTCGCCTCCAGGTTGAAGTTCGTTCGCTATGCTCACTCACCTTTAGGTTGGAGCTCGTTCGCTGCGCTCACTTGCCTTCAGGTTAGCTCGTTCGCTACGCTAACTCGCCTCCAGGTTGAAGTTCGTTCGCTACGCTCACTCACTTTTTGGTTGCAAATTAGCTGTTGTCATAAATGTAAAAGAAATAAGAAATAATAGTGCTGCACCCTGTTGGTAATCCTTGTAACTTTAATGCTGTTGAACATCATAGAACAGAACCAACTTGTTTAATTGAAACAGCTGTTAAGATTCATTATCCATTTCTCATAAGGTTAACATGGGAAACTCCAGAGCCACTGGGGCGGAGCCCTTTAAAGAATTTCGAAACGGGAAATAGTTTACGTCCGATTCGCATACCTACAGAATTTACACACCAAATTTCATAACGATCGGTGAAGTCGTTCCGGAGGAGTTTGCAGACAAACACTGTGACACGAGAATTTTATATATTAGATAACCTTGTTGAGCATGTTTTCAACAAAACTAGGATTGTTGTACATATGTCTGTTAAAAACACTTCTTTTAAACTCTAGAGTCTAGTAAAAGCTTATTTTCTTAAACGTAAAACTACGAACTAGCAAGTAAAGCTTGCAATTTTAACGACGGATTAAATCGCATTTTCCACTTTTATTGACGATTGTTGTAATAATTAACCGAAAAGTCAACTCACCAAATTGTGATTTTACTACTGTAATAATTTTGGTTAAGGAAAATTAATTATTCATATTTAATATCTATAGCATCATAAAGCATCGAGAATGTTTAAAAATAAGAAAATAATGTCCATGACATGTACGTGTGATATGAATTATCTGGCGATTTGTCAAGCTGTTACAAATTCTCCGTAAACTTGTAGTTACAAACAATTACAATGGTATGATAACGGACACGTGAAATAACCAAACGTTTGAATTGTGTACAAAATAATTGAAATAAATTCAAATCAATATCAAGTTTCAAATCAAATCAAAACAATTTCTTTGTTTAAGTCCACCTAACAATACAAATATGAAAACATGAATCGATGATTCAGTACTGTAGGGATAAATCAATTTAGTGTGTAAGCTTAGTTAGATAACATGTTTTTATATAATTAGAGATAATAATGATTTCTTTTTTCAAGACCCATCTCAACTTCAACAGCCTCCAGATTACCAAGATGTACTAGGTTTAAAATACAAAATTTTTGAATACAATTGGTTGCTGTGATGTGGCACAATCCACAGCATACATGTATTTTAAACCTAGTGTTTTCGAGTCATTCTATCATTATATTATAAACAAGGAAGTCCAGCTCCGTCTTCACAATCCAAACAAACAAATCAAGTGAAGTGCGAAAGGCTCGAGTTTTTGTACAACTGCCAAACAAAAGGTCGAAGATATACAGTGGGCCTAATAATAGGCCTTCTAACCTAACTAGGTGTTGAAGGCGTGTCCGAAGAGTTGTTAGCAAACCTGTTTGGGGCAGACGATATTTTGTCTGACCATCGGCACACCTGTTCCCAGGGGGTGGGGGGGGGGGGTAAAGAGGTGAGAGATGAGAGTATAGTGGACGAGTCAGTCAGTAGTCTAGTCAGTTCAGTTCTCACAGCTCAGTTCACTTCAGTTAATTCAAGTAGCTATGTGTTGTCGTGTGTACTTTCTGTTGATCGCCAGTGTCGCCTGGACTATGTCTCTCTCTTCCAGGAATAACCACGGGAACGGGGGAGATCTTTCCCTCTGGATTGACGAACAGCAGGTGAAGATGTTCAGCGGTAAGTTGGCAACAATGGACCAGCTGTATGCATTGTTGAACAGCTGTGAAGGTGTAACAGGATGATTATTGTTTACATGGACGAGTTATGTTCCATGTTTTTGACGTCTTTGAGTTTTCCAAAGAGTTATGGGCAATGGGCATCATTAAGTGGGTAATCGTGGCATGTCGGATTGGAAAGACGTTATTCTTAGTATTTATAGTGTTGTATTTATTGGTATTCTATGTGGTTTTCATGGTGTGCTGTGAATTGTAAATAAATTAATATTTATTTGTAATTTGTTTTTTAATGCTTACCAAGTATGGAATGAATTTGTGATGGTAACTAACTATTCCTTTGAAGTTTGAAGTTAGTCCAAATAAACAAATAATGACCGGCTAATCATGTTTTGAGGGAATAAGGAGTAGTAGGCATATAATGCAGATTTTTGTCAACATCATTTTATAATGTTTTAACTTAAATGGTTGTTAACGTCGAGTGATGAATGTAATCGAAATTGACAATGTATTTTCCATTTCCGAAGTTCTTCATCTCGTTGGTTTACCAAGTAAACAAGAGTTGGATGGAACGCTTGAATTAGCCAACATGAAAAAATATTTATACATGTTTATCTTTACATTTTTATTTAGTTTTGAGTTTTAACTCGATTAAGTATTTATGAGACATGACAAACTGGGCTATCATCAGGAAATATGCAATCGATATTTTATCAACTGATGATTCATTTTCATCACATTTTTATCTGTAAACATGGCTTCAGATGCAATATTAGCCTTGGTTGGGGTTTTGTTTTGATAATTTCTCAAATCGTGATAATATCATTGAGCATATTTAAACTAGCTAAAGTTTAGATAAGCACAGTTTTCAATAATGCTGTTCTTGTAGACAATAGCTGATAGCTGATAGCTATGACAAAAATTGTAGACAATAGTTTATAAAAAAATAATATTTTATATATGATATATTTAGGCTACATATTACTATTTAAAACGTCACTTATTTACTACATTTATTGTAGGCTATAGCCTATGAGATTAGTTTTATTGTACGATTTTTTATATCAAATTTATAAACTTTGAAACTGTTTTACGTCAAAGCTTATGTTTAAAACAAGCCAACTTTCTTTTAAATGTGCTAATTTTCATTCATTTTATATATAATAAAAACTCGTTATAAAAAGCCATAGGTATTATTTTCACCTTTTAAATAGCCTACATCAGTTTGAAAAACAACAAATAAATCTACTGAAAAAAATTTTGGTGTTAAGTTATGGAATAATTAGGCCTATCTGTAAATTTAATTCTGTGAGGTTTTCTCTGTATCCCCTTTACAGCTGTCCCACTAAACCAATTTTTACGGTTTAGGTGCCCTTTTAAAGCTTATGATCTACCGGAGTGACAAATTGTAACTAAGTTAATTTCCTTTAGGGCTTCACACCCCTCTTACGTTTAATTTATTTCTAGAGTTCACTTTTAAAGAATCGGCGATGCTATCCCTCTTTCATTAAAAATATTTTAATGTGAATTTTAATTTTATAACAGTTGATCCCTCAGTTTAATGCTCAATCACAGTCATGGTAAGGAAGAGATGAAGTTAATGGAAATTGATTTTAACTAGAGGCCGTCCATGAGTGGTTGAAATCTCGACCAAAAAATATCTTATATTTTCATCCCACGTAAAAAAACATGTCAATGGAATTCCTTCAACTTGTTTTGATTTTCTCTTAATATTTCGTTGTTATTTCGTCACCAGCATGACAACCTATGAGGCCCATGTTAATTTGTTTTTAAAATTTCAAATTCATTTGTTTGTGCTTATTTTTTAACCTATTTTAATTTATAAAGGGATTCTGCACATCTGCAGGAAAATATCTTTTTAACAGTGTGCGTAGATTTTCCCTGTGATGCACTCGAGCTAAGTAAAAAGGTTTTAAGGAAACATGCTTGCCTATTAATATACAGATATAGATAGCCTAGGCTAATTTTATTGTTAACCGTGTTAACTTGAAAAAACCTGTCTTAAACAAACACAAAATCTTTAAAAGGTAACAGGTTAAATTGCATTATGCTTTGTCTAGCTAATTAAGTTTTGAGCTCTATACTAAGATGCACAAATTGTGCTCGGGTCCCCTCAACACCTACAATGTTATTGTTAATTTTAAACCATTGTTCTGTGGATTATAATGTAAGTTTTATCCCAGCAATATAAAAAATTACTTTGACAAAAACTAAATTAATAGGTAACATGAAAATTAAAAAAAATGTTTTTGGATTTGTTACATTTTAAGTTTTCAATACAAAAATTAAAAAAAATATTTGTTTTGATCTGTAAATTTATTTATAGTGTGAGGTTTTAGTATACTCATTTATAAACAAAAAAATTAATATTTTGTAAAATTTTATTAGTCCTGGTAAAAAGAATGTTTATACACTAATTTATTCAATATTTTTGTCAATAAATGAATAAGCCTCTATCTATTAACCCATGTGAAAAAACCCTATACTTTACCGGACATTAAAAAGTAAAATGTTAGTAATGTTACAATGAAAACATGTTTCTGTGTTTGTGTGTGTATTGATTTACTATGAATAAATTAACTGCTTTGATTCAAAGCTAAACCTAATTATAGAAAACTTGTTTACTTAATTAATATATTGCACTTTGATTTCAGGATTTGCAATGGAAATATATGCTATCGTGGATGGAAATGTATTGCCATATATTTTGGACCCGAACTTTGAAAAATACTTACCAATCATACCATCAGAGGTAAGTTTCTAGACAAAATAAAATAAGTTTTGTTAACAAAAAAACCATAAAATAAAATAATTTAACCACTGTGATTTAATAATGTTTGATTTATTTACATTTCTAAAACCCTAACTTATAGTTTTCACTTTTAAATCTTTTTCAAAAATTATTCTATAATTTAGGAAAATCCTGTAATTGAATGAGGTTATAAGTGATGACGCAATTTTGTGAAAAATTTAATCAATTTTGTAACACTTAATTTTATTTTAACACAAAACTTATAGTCAATAACTAAGTTGAATATTTTAAATATAAATAATAAGGAAAGGCTTGTTAATTGACTTGTAGTCCGGCCAAATTTGGGCAGTATTAAGATGTGATGTAGCTAAGATGCTCAAATGCCAATCAACCTCAGTTAACATTGCTAGTCTTAACCAAATTTTTTTTTCACAAAATAGTTGCAACAAATTTTGTATGTACCTAACTATTAGCTTAAAACTCATAGAAGTGGGGAACATTAAAGCCGAAGACAACCTCTTGTCTATAGTTATTCTAGTTTACAATTTTTAGTACCCGGTAGTCACAGTTGCAATAGCCTACACAGTTTTTTTTTTTTTTTTTTTTTTAAATGCAACACATTACAAATAAATAGAGTTACTGTTTAGGGACAAAACAATCTTATATTATACCTTACTTAATTATCTTTCAGCAGATAAGCATTGTTGGATGTTCTCTACATGGTTTAGTGTTATTGTTAATTTTTTAATAGAATCTAGATATGGTTTTCCCTAAAACGTATCCCAATTTTTTTTTAAAGGTTTATTACAGTAGTTAACGCACATAATTATTCATCTATAATTATGTTTTATAAGTCTGCACTTGATTTAGGTACTGTAATCTGTAATCTCACCTATGGAAACATAAACATTGTATACCTTTCTTTCCATAAAATGAATGACACACTTTATAAGGATTTTTATACAATACCTAATCTTTGAGCTTGCCAAAACACAAATTCACACGTTAAGTCTCAGTCACAAAATTTCTAAAACGTAACACTAAAACCTGCAGACAGCAATATGCAACGATGCATATGCTGATCAGTATAGACTAATGTAGCAAAAAAAGCAGGATTGCCAACGTATGAGCTTATTTAAAGTTCAACTTAAACTGAGATTAAAATATTATAATTTATCATTAATGTTTTTCAAAAGGTTGGCTATGTCAACTTTACTTGGAAATCTGGGACAAAGAAATACTACTACAACTTCGACCGACTGCAATCATTCAATGAAGATATTCTGGAACCTCCTGTCATATCTATTAAAACCAAGGGAAGAGTGCCTCGCAGACCTAAAGGTAATTTTTGTGCAACAAATATAACAACTATCTGCCAAAATTTGTACTCAGCCTTTTATATAAAGCTATCACAATAATATATTTCAATACTCATAAGTTTAACTAAAATGTTAACCCTGTCTGCACCTGATTTGTGGAAATTCAGAAACCTTTGAACAATACCTTTTTACTTTCCCCCGCCTATACTAGTTATGGGGAAAGTATTGTTTTTGTCAACATTTTCGAGAGAGTTTTAGGTGGAAATAACTGTTTTTGGTCCCCCTGATTTGGTTTTGATTACATTTAGCTGCATTTTATTAACTAAACACTAATTTGCGGCGAAGTAAAAGATCTTTGTATTAAATATCCCATTAACGTTTCATATAGAACAATGCATTGCTAACTATTGGGTTTGCACTAACCAATCTATAACGTCCTCTTTAGTTTTCAGTGTTCTTCTACCATGCAATGGAAACAGTTCCGGAATTGCAGCTTTTGGAATTGGGTTGTTGATTGAGAGCAGAAAAGGCAAACCTTTACCAGGAACTCCGTTACGGCTTCGACTTAGAAAAGAATGTGCTGAACGAGGTATTGAATTGAATTGAATTGAAAATAACTTTATTCATAAATCTTACAAGTATGTACATTGAATGGCGTCAAAATTCTTAAAACTACTTAAACTTACAACATAATATCAGCTGTACAGTTCATCAAAATTATACAGTACTTTTTGTGTTAAGTATATTTTAAGCTGGGATTTAAATTTTTTACTATCATCAATTTTCCTCAACCCCTCTGGAAGCCCTTCCAAAAATTTTCTTCCAGCACATGACGGTTTTTTGTTATAAAATTCCAATCTATGGGCACCAACAGCAATTTTGTTTCTATGTCGGGTGCCATATTCGTGATTATCCCCTAGTTTAGGTAACATACTTTCAGACAAAAGATTTTTTGTTAAAAGAACGGTATGGAAAATATAAATGCCGTACACAGTCATTATACCCATGGCTAAGAAATGATCACGTACGGAAACATCCCAGTTTAAATTCAACATTAGTCTTATTGCTCTTTTCTGCAAAATTAAAATTCTGTCCAAATTTTTCTTTGATGTTCCACCATAAACACTTATGCCAAATGATATTGCGGATTCAATGAAAGCAAAATAAAGCTTTTTCAAAATATCTGTTGAACAAAATTTAGACATTCTATAAATTGCATAAATTCCAGATGTGATTTTGCTGACAACATGGTCAACATGGGAGTTCCATGAAAGATTTTCATCAACTACTAAGCCCAAAAATTTAGTTGTAGTAACTTGATTAAGATTAGAATTTTTAAAATTAATCACTGGATCAATTGGATTTTTTTGTTTACCTGTTGAAAATACCATAAAGTTGGTTTTACTGGAATTTAAAAGTAATTGATGATAGTTTAAGAAAGCATCTATTGATTTTAGGCAATTCAAAGAGTTACATTCCAAACCAGAAACAGATGTACTGTTTGCTTTTAAACTTGCATCGTCTGCATACAAACTTATTTTATTAAATATATTGTTTTGAAATGACCCCGGCATTCCTTTGATGTAACAAAGAAATAAAACAGGTCCTAAAATCGAACCCTGTGGGACCCCATGTTGAATAATAGATAACTTTGAGCAGGAGGTTGAAAAAACGTTATTTTTTAATTGCTTCATTTCAACATACTGAGATCTCTGAGTTAAATAGGATCGAAACCACTTCAATGACCTGCTGTCGGCACCCAAATCTCGGATCTTCCCCAAAAGAAGCTGGTGTGAGACACTGTCAAAGGCCTTAGTCAGGTCCAAAAATATGCCCACTGTTTTATCCCCTTTATCCACTGAGTTTATTATTGAATCGATAAAATCTACTGCTGCAGTTATAACAGATCTACCTGGTCTGAATCCATGTTGTTCATCATCATGCAAATGGTTTTCTTCTAGATAAGTTACTAATTGGTTATAAACAACTTTTTCATATAATTTAGAAGATGATGACAGTAAAGATAATGATCGATAATTTGTTATATTTTTTGGATCTCCATTTTTATAGAGAGGGTAGTTGGGTTATTATGGATTAACAAAATTAATACCTTTATTGTGGTAGTAATAGTTTATATTTTTGCTTGATTTCGAAGATGTATCTGCATGAGCTAACTACTTTAATACAAATCTGCAAGTATTTAATGAGTTAACCATAAAAGAATTCCTTTCGTTCCTAGAGGGGCTTCACTTTACATCCGTTTGAAGAAGCACTATCTTGGATCAAAGAGCTAGATTTGGTTTGTTGACAACATGATTTTTTTCTCAGCAAATTGTTTAGTTATTTATTATATTTTAATGAATTTACAAAGGTCATCTAGACATTCTTATTTACATGGTTGGTAACTATTGTCCGTTCACAAAATTTAGTCGGTTTGAGGGGAAGCGATTCCGTCCACCTAACCCTAACTTTGAAACAACAGCCGACAGCTGATCAGTTGATAATAGATTAAGCTAAAGAACGTGGTGGGGAAACCCTGGAAACCTTCCCCTTAAACTGTCTAAATTTTGTGAAGGGATTTAACTACAATACCAATGGATGAGTGACTAAAATACATCAATGTCGTCAGGTCCGGACCCAGAATGTGACAAGAAGTGTGCCAATGGAGGATGGTGCAACAAGGATAAGATTTGTCAGTGTCAAGAAGGTAAATCTACTATTCGTGAAATATAGAAGTTACAGTAATATATTTGGTTGGTTAACAATGTGAATCAAAGTTTAACTATTGGTTCACCATCTAAAAGTTAGCATCCATCCTAAATTTAAAGTTGCTGCTAGTTTCTCAATAAAAGAAATTTTGATCTATTAAGCCATCAACAGGGTGGTGCTGTAAGATAAAGTTCTCTTTCTTTTTCTTATACACCATCTGTTTACCCAAGTCATACTGAATGGACAAGTTATTTTAAACTACAGCAACTGTTCAATGATTTTATGAAGAAAAAAAAACTTATGCTCAGTTCTCAAAATTTAGGTGGTTTTAGAGGAAGAAATCTTTCCCCTCCACCTCATGATTGCACCATTAAAACATAGCTCAACAGCTGAGAGTTGTCAAAACATTAATCAGCTGCCAATAAACATTAAGCGGTAAAAAGTGTTGTGGGAACGTCCCCACAAACCGCCTTACGGAAAGTAAATAAAAGAAACGTCTTATAACACTTGAAACATAAATTTGAATGGGGAATTCCCTCCTTAATCTTTCTTAGTGTAAATATTGGTGCTCAAAATATATTTAAAACAAGAAGTAACAGTACAACTTTTTTCAGGTTATGTAGGTCCTTATTGCAAGGCAGCGTTGTGCTATCCTCAATGTATGAACAACGGCAACTGCACGGCTCCAGGAGTTTGCAGTTGTCCAGAAGGATATCAGGGACGCCACTGCGAGGGAGGTAAGATAAGATAATATTTTCTTAATTTGAACCTTGGTACATCATTGTGCAAAACATCACAAAAAATAAACCTAGTTAATTAATGTTATGTGAAGATCTGAAAACTTTTCAGAATCGATAAACAAATTTATCTAGAAAGACAGCTCTCTTTGTCTAAGAGTCGTACATTTTTTACTGGACTTGTACAATAGACCGATTGCTTAATGTACGTTCAGTTCACAAATACTAGAAAAGACTGGAACCGGTATGGATCATAATCATAAACAAATTACGTTTTTGGCCTGAAAGTAAACAAACCCATATGTTAATTAATGCTGTTAGTATAGGGGTTTTGTTTAATTTCGGGCCAAAAACGCCATTTGTTTATGTTTATGATCCATACCGGTATTTTTCTAGTATTCGTGGGTATGCCCCTAATCTTCATGTTCTGGTTGGAATACAAGATTTGAAAAAGTTTATATTTTTAATACTAAATGTATTTGTGACTGTATTTTATAACAAAAAATACGAGTTACCCAAGAACTCTTATAAGTATTAAAACTAAACCTATGTATGATGAGCTGTGTTTAATCCTTAGGTAATAATGAAATAAATAACTTAAAGTGAGAAAATAAGTGCTTTTATTTACAAAATTTAAACGATACAAATGGCATAAGTAAGAAGTTTAACATGCTAATACTTTTGTAGTTTTATATAACTTTAGAAATAGAAATGGCCGTCTTACAGCCCAGTTTGATGGTGTCGCTAAGAAGCTTGTAGAAAGGTGCTTGTTCTGCTCCATGTTCAAGCCCTGATGATCAAGAGGAGATTATTAGATAGATATTATAAACCAACAAAGTAAAATTAAACACTCAAACTATATACCAAAGACACGTGTTGTTTAAAAAGGTTTCCAGGATTGGACTTCCATCTTTGCTATGAAATGATGTTTCAATTAAGTCTTCAGTCGAGATCGGGAAGTCTAGAACGTGACGATATTAGAACACAAACAAGGTGACACCGACCGGGAAACAATAACTGAAAATAGTAAACGTTACAGACGCACAATAATGTACAGATAATCTATCACTACGCTTTCTAAGATACACACAGCTAGTAATCACACACAAGATTGGCTAGTACAGCTGGTGAAAAGTCAGTAGCTTTTAACGCTTCGAATAAATGTTCTTGATCTTTAGGCTAAATTATCATCACCAAAGAAACAGCCTTAGTATAATAAAGCTACAGATCATCTCACCACATTCTACACTCATCCTTCGCTCATATTTGGGTTCAAATCAAATCAAATCATCTTTATTCAAACTGTACATACATACATGAATAGAGTCACAGAAATAAGAACTAACAAGTACATTATGTTTCTTATTTTAACATTATTTTATTTACATACATTGCTAAATCTATGCAATACAATCCTTTATTAATGCTGTGTATTTATGAATGTAGGTAGTTAAAACATTTTTTACTCTTTTGGTTAGTTAGTCCTACATAACAAAAGGCTAAAGACAAATTTATTAAATTCGCTCACCAGTCACTAGATCTTGCAATTTGTATTTTTTTCTTCTTTATCATTGAAATCGTTTTTGTAAATATATACCTACAACCAGCTCTAGTTTGCTGGTAGCAAATAAGCTTGATTATAGGATGGATTAATAGAGCTATAAAAAGAAGTCTTCTATAGAATAACAAGTTTTATCTTGGAGATATTTTCTTACTAATTTCCTAAATCCCTTTGTGTGTATATTAGTTTTCAGATTTGATGGTAGTTTATTAAGAAATTTACATCCGATTTGTGTTGCTTTCTTTGAGAAAAAAGTGAGGTTATGCCGGGGTATATCTATTTGATCTCTGTTTCTTGTGTTATATACGTGTATATCTTTGCGAAACACATACTTATGAATGTTATTTTTGGCAGAGATAATGCATTCTAAAATATACTGGTCATAGACAGTTAGTATATCTAATTGTGAAAAGTGGTTTCTTACAGATGTTTTAGGTTCCAGGTTTAACATTATTCGCAAAGCCTTTTTTTGAAGTTTAAGTATTTTATCTAGGTTTTGTGCACTAGTGCCCCCATAGATTGCTAGACCATATGACAGATGTGAGTGTATATGAGCAAAATAAATACATTTTAGTGTTTCTAGATTACATAAAAATGACATTCTTTTTAAGGCGTATAATCCTGAAGAAATCTTTTTTACTAAATGAAGAACATGAAGACCCCAATTCAAATGGTTATCCACAATTAAACCTAAGAATTTTGTGAATTTTATTGTCTCTACTTGACTTTGCTCTATTGATATGGACAATTCCGGATTGTCTTTATTTTGCACTGTTGAGAAGAACATTTTATTTGTTTTTCCATGATTTAAAAATAAACTGTTTTCTGAGAAATAGGATTGAAAACATTTTAATTGTTCATTACACACAATTTCAAGATCATTATAAGATTTAGATGATGTTATTAAATTTGAATCGTCAGCATACAGAACTAACTTGCTATTGCTACCATTAAAGCTTTTTAATATAGAGGGCATTTCTTGCACATAGCACAAGAATAACAAAGGCCCAAGAATAGAGCCTTGTGGAACTCCATGTTTGATGTTTATCATTTTTGAGTTATGTTTTAAGATTTTACCAGTTGTTTCAGACACAATCTCAACATACTGTCTTCTATTAGAGAGATATGATTCAAACCAATCTATATAACGATTTGTTATACCCAGATTTTGCAATTTATTTAAAAGTATTTTGTGTGATATACTGTCGAAAGCTTTTGTAAGGTCCATAAAAATACCAACTACTTTGTTTCCTTTATCAACTGCGTCAATTATAGTGTCTGTAAAATCCATTAAAGCAGTAGTTATGGACTTGCCTTTTCGAAAACCATGTTGCTCATCATCAAAGAAATCATTATTTACTAAATGATCCACAACACGGTTGTACATTACTCTTTCATATATTTTAGATATGGAAGTCAACAAGGACACAGGTCGATAATTTTTTACCTCAGTTTTTTCCCCTGTCTTGAAAATTGGAATCACTTTAGCAATTTTTAAACTGTCAGGAAAAACCCCAGTTATTAAAGAGCAGTTAATTATGTGTACAATAGGTTTTAAAATAGATTTTCTGACATATTTAATTAATTTTAGTGGAACCTTGTCATGACCACAAGATAGTTTATTTTTAAAAGATAAAATTATTTTACTTATTTCATTTTCATTTACTGGGCTACAACGAAATGGCTTTGTTATTGGTTTAAATGTGCCCAGTTACATCCCCATCTTAATTTATGACAAGAGATTCTACCCGCAAATTCACGGGTGTACAGAAGCCACTATTAAATTAATTTAATCAACTTTGACTTTATATTTCATTTAAAGGGCCCAAGTTTGAGAAATTGTCATCTGAAAGGATGTTAAAACAGTGGAACCTTCATACCTTACGTCCTAAAGGTGGCCGAGGTGGGCACAGTTGTACATGAACTCGCCGCTCTCTTTCACGACGTCTTTAATACTTTAACACTTTACTTTAATACTTTTCAATGAAATGGCGACCTGTTAAAGATCGGTGACAACCTCTTGGAACGAACAACATACATGGTTTGTTAATCTCATATTCATCGTGTTTCGAACACCTTTAATCACTCACTTGTATCAAACAGCTACAAATAGCTTCACTGTCCATTCACCACACCTCTTTCAATAACATAAAAGTAAATAATAAAATAAGTAAACAAAAATGTAAACAAACAAACTATATTGGCAATTGCATTGGTCAGCTGTTGTTCACTAAATTAATCGAATAACACGTTCACACACACAACATGTAAGGCAAAGCCCTTTGGAAATCAGCCTGTGGGGCAGAGCCCTTTGGGAGTTCATTCATATCAATACTTTTCGACAAATCTACACACTCTAAGATTCAATTTGATATGCCACATGCCTATATTTCTATTTGGTAAATGGCCTTAACCGTTTACATAAAATTTGATTGTATCACTTTAATAATATAATAGATAATAATAAACATCAGCAGAATGTATGAAAATTATAAACTGCTATGATAATATCTGTATGAGGCGTAAATTTCATCACATGTCCTTAATTTTGTTTGAGCATATCTGGGAGGGTGAAAGCCATGAAAGTGAATATGTGAAATAATGTTGAGTTGTGAATAAATACTAATTGATGTGATTATGTAAGCTACCTGTATCGTGGTGCTCTAGCTCATCGTCCCGGAACTTCTGAATGGTCTCTAGAAGTTCTTTGTCTGTGTTCGGATCTTCCATGAGAGTTCTGAGCTGGTCATTGTAATGATCTACGATCACTGACTCTACAGCCACTGTACAAGCCATGGCTGCTTTGGGTCCGAGAAGTGCGGTGCCTTGAAACATGTAGTTACCATGTACAAAGAGCAATGAACTAACACTTCGTGATTCATATAATAAAGTTAGAGTCGCTGGTTTAACTCAGGAAAAAGAGGAACATAGAGAACACGGTTTATTTTTTATTTTTTTTAGACATGCTAGAGTGAAAATTTAAAAACGTACGTTTTCATCTCCCTGGCCTTTTACTTCGTAGATACTGGATTTGTAGTTTATTATTATGTGTTTTAATATTTTTTGGGACGGGGGCAACATGTTACACACATTTATTTGGTTTTAAATAGGTTCTAGGTATTTTTTTCGTATTTTTAAAGTCTCGAAATTCACGACCATGACGTGTCCCTAGGGTACATTTTCCAACTTTCACGCTGTTTTTAGACTAATTATTCATGCCGAAATATATAAAGCCATATTTTTATGTCATCAATGGTTATTAAACTTACAAAAAAGGAGCATATTATAATTTTATTGTCATTGCAAACTGACTACCATGACAAAATAAGTCTGTCCCTCGATTTGGCGTCACGACCATTTGGGAAAAATTTTCAACTTTGGAGCACGACAGTGGCAAGCCAGGCGTCGATGGAGTCAGTTGGTTTTAGAGACTAGTTCGGGGTGTACGTCAGGATTGTAGTGCCGGTCGTTTCGAGTTGAAAGGAGGAATTACAAGATTAATAAAGGAAAGATTGTGTTTTTTGTAATTTTGGTGTGTCCATGACCGTACGTAGTCATTCGATGAAGTAGACATGGTGTTATTTTTTGTTTATAAGATATTTCAATTGCTAGATTAACCTAGAAGTCCACTTTGTATCCTTCAACATGAGGTGCAGGGCTACCGCCAGAACAGAGCCAAATAACACGTAATTTCACGACCAAAGTTTCACGACCATCGCGGTTTTTTTCACGACCAATCCAGCCTTATGGATTATAGTGTGTTTGGTCGTGACAATAACTTTAATATAATTGTAAATTGAACAGTTTAGTTCAATTGAAACACATAATTTTATTATATCTAACAGTATAATTGAAGGATTGTTTAGAAAGATTTAGATTATTCCAGACAATTCACGACCGTACCGCTTGTCCCTGACCATCACGTTTATGATTTCTATCATAAAAAATTCAAAAATGAAAATATCGTCATATTTCAATGTATACACAAAAGAAGCACACCTCTATACAAACATAACGATTTTTCGGGTCTCTGGTAAGTTTTTTCGGAGTTATACAAACTTAAAAAGATTTTATTGGCTTTTTTTCAATTTTTTGAGTTTTTTTTTCTTTTTTTCTAGAAAGACCAAATATACCAAAAGCTTAGTGACCTTTTTATTGTATAATGTTCACAAAAGTAAATTAGTTTATAGCAAAACATAGTTATAAAAATAATATTAACTATTTTTAATATTCATTTAAACGTCCGTTATGGTCGTGACAGGATTTTGTGTTTTTCCACTAAAGATGCTCTTTAAAAAAAAAAAACTACCAAAGATATTGCGTTACCATGGACATTTTATTAAACTTCAAATGTTAATAAAATAAAAAAATAAAAGTTTTGAAAAAAGGGGAAAAAAATTTGCAAAGTGCTTTTCCTGAAAACGTACGTTTTTAAATTTTCACTCGCTAATGTTAAGATATTTTACCTGCTCCGAGTGCAAATCCTGCGATATTCCACAGTGGAATCAAAGCCGTCGGTCGCACCCTGTATTTGTTTATCAATTCTTCGAATTTCGCTTTGTGGAACTTTTCTTGCTCCCACATCTCCTGGATCTTTGGCCCAACAGAGGTGTTTCCTGAAAATGGATAAAACTTCAATACAAAGTTTCACAAATGCATGAATCACAATCGCTCAAGTCAACAAAAATAACTACACTAATATTACCAACTTAAGAGAAAACTTGTAACAGAAAACTTTCATAGAACAAGATCATTATTTTGTATTCAAATACATTTCGCATTTCAACATAAAGAGATTGAATAAAGTTTTATATTAGATTTGATCAATTTTTCCCAAGTTCAATAGCTTCCCAAGCATTTGAAATCAGGCATGGGTATTTCATACGCCACATTGTGTGTATTCTGTTATTAAAATCTTTAAATCAAATCTTACCAAGAACTGCCATCTGCCCAGCATAGATCCTGTCTGCTCCGAGCTCACCAGCATGGTCTACCCTAATTATAGTTTCAAGCTCCTTAGTAGCTCGCTTAGCTCCCCGGCGAGCTACCACTGACGAACTTCCAACTCGTAGTAAAGCTCGCTGCATTCTGACCTGTATACATAATGGTTTATAGTCGCCACTCTGTTTTTTTCCAGGTATTTGTGCAGAGAAATGTCAAAACGGAGGGAAATGTGTGCAGAAAGACAGCTGTGACTGTCCAAAAGGATATTACGGTCTTCGTTGTGAGTTCTGTAAGTAACTTAAATTATATTTAAATTTTAATCTTCAATCCCTTTTTAATGTTGAGAGGGGTGTAGGGGAGTGCGACCAAAGCACTACATCACTATCCGATATACAATTTGTAATCTTGCCTTAGGCAGGCCTATTTCTTTTGGAATGAAAAAATGTGTGGTAAATTATTAAGAGGCTTCATACACTTTAATTTTGTTGAATTAATTTAGTACAAATTAATTTCACTAAAAATATGTTTCCTGCTTGTATCAGGGTGTCTAGTAGTCGGGAAAATCGGGAAAGTCGGGAATTAGTGAGTGAAAATTTAAAAACGTACGTTTTCATGTCCCTGGCCTTTTACTTCGTAGATACTGGATTTGTAGTTTATTATTCTGTGTTTTAATATTTTTTGGGACGGGGGCAACATGTTACACACATTTATTTGGTTTTAAATAGGTTCTAGGTATTTTTTTCGTATTTTTAAAGTCTCGAAATTCACGACCATGACGTGTCCCTAGGGTACATTTATCAACTTTCACGCTGTTTTTAGACTAATTATTCATGCCGAAATATATAAAGCCATATTTTTATGTCATCAATGGTTATTAAACTTACAAAAAAGGAGCATATTATAATTTTATTGTCATTGCAAACTGACTACCATGACAAAATAAGTCTGTCCCTCGATTTGGCGTCACGACCATTTGGGAAAAATTTTCAACTTTGGAGCACGACAGTGGCAAGCCTGGCGTCGATGGAGTCAGTTGGTTTTAGAGACTAGTTCGGGGTGTACGTCAGGATTGTAGTGCCGGTCGTTTCGAGTTGAAAGGAGGAATTACAAGATTAATAAAGGAAAGATTGTGTTTTTTGTAATTTTGGTGTGTCCATGACCGTACGTAGTCATTCGATGAAGTAGACATGGTGTTAATTTTTGTTTATAAGATATTTCAATTGCTAGATTAGCCTAGAAGTCCACTTTGTATCCTCGAACATGAGGTGCAGGGCTACCGCCAGAACAGAGCCAAATAACACGTAATTTCACGACCAAAGTTTCACGACCATCGCGGGTTTTTTCACGACCAATCCAGCCTTATGGATTATAGTGTGTTTGGTCGTGACAATAACTTTAATATAATTGTAAATTGAACAGTTTAGTTCAATTGAAACACATAGTTTTATTATAACTAACAGTATAATTGAAGGATTGTTTAGAAAGATTTAGATTATTCCAGACAATTCACGACCGTACCGCTTGTCCCTGACCATCACGTTTATGATTTCTATCATAAAAATTTCAAAAATTAAAATATTGTCATATTTCAATGTTTTATACACAAAAGAAGCACACCTCTATACAAACATAACGATTTTTCGGGTCTCAGGTAAGTTTTTTCGGAGTTACACAAACTTAAAAAGATTTTATTGGCTTTTTTTTCTATTTTTTGAGTTTTTTTTATTTTTTTCTAGAAAGACCAAATAAACCAAAAGCCCAGTGACCTTTTTATTGTATAATGGTCATAAAAGTAAATTAGTTTATAGGAAAACATAGTTATAAAAATAATATTAACTATTTTTAATATTCATTTAAACGTCCGTTATGGTCGTGACAGGATTTTGTGTTTTTCCACTAAAGATGCTCTTTAAAAAAAAAACTACCAACGATATTGCGTTACCATGGACATTTTATGAAACTTCAAATGTTAATGAAATAAAAAAAATAATAAAAGTTTTGAAAAAAGGGGAAACAAATTTGCAAAGTGCTTTTCCTGAAAACGTACGTTTTTAAATTTTTACTCTAGTATTGAATTTCAAAATGGTCTTGAAAAGTCGGGATTTAGTCTTAAATTTGATTTCAAAGTCGGGAATTTTCATGATTTTGCCGCGATCGTCGTCTTGCGTTTACGTAACCGCGAAAGCCAATGATGATGTCTACACGGCCTCGGTAAATATTAACGATTTTGCCGCGATAGTGGACGACGACGATGACGTTTCTGTGACAGCGGTAGACGACGATGACATTACCGTGACCGCGGGAGACGACGATAACGTTTCCGTGACCGCGGGAGACGACGATGATATCTGCTCAGCTGCGCGAAATGTTCATGATTTTGTCGCGATCGCGGACGACGACGATGACGTTTCCGTGATCGCGGACGACGACGATGACGTTTCCGTGATCGCGGACGACGACGATAACGTTTCTGTGACCGTAGGAGATGACGGTGATGTCTAAACAGCCGCGGGAAATGTTCATGATTTTGCCGCGATCGCGGGAGATGACGATGATATCTGCTCGGCTGCGCGAAATGTTCATGATTTTGTCGCGATCGTGGACGACGACGATGACGTTTCCGTGATCACGGACGACGACGATGACGTTTCCGTGACCGCGGGAGATGACGATGGCGTTCCGTGACCGCGGGACACGACGATGATATCTGCTCGGCCGCGGGGAATGTTCATGATCTTGTCGCGATCGCGGGATATGACGATGGCGTTTCCGTGACCGCGGGAGACGACGATGGCGTTTCCGTGACCGCAGGAGACGACGATGACGTTTCCGTGACCGCGGGAGACGACGATGACGTTTCCGTGACCGCGGGAGACGACGATGACGTTTCCGTGACCGCGGGAGATGACGATGACGTTTCCGTGACCGCGGGAGACAACGATGATGTCTCCACGGCCGCGGGAAATGTTCATGATTTTGCCGTGATTGCGGACGTCGACGATAACGTTTCCGTGACCGCGGGAGATGACAGTGATGTCTAAACAGCCGCGGGAATTGTTAATGATTTTGTTCGCGGACGACGACGATCACGTTTCTGTAACCGCTGAAGTCAATGATGATGTCTAAACGTACGGTACGCGAAAGATTTCATGATAACAAAAACCAAATTTGCTAGTTAGAATTTTTTATTGCTGCATTATTTCTTTACTTGAAAACACCACATTATCATAATACTACTTTATGACAAAGACAGGGGTTGGTGTAGTATTATTTAGAAAATTTGGTTAATCTATAAAAATTGGTATCGGTATCAAGAATCGAGAATCAATACATTTTGGTATCAACACCCACTAGTTTTTGAAGAAACTAGTCTTGAAAAATCTGGAATTAGTCTTGAAAAGTCTGGAATTAGTCTTGAATTTTATAATGGAAATAAACTAGACACCCTGTTGTATCCATCTTATTCAATCAATTTACTGCAAGAGTGCAAATAATATAATTTTAAAATATTTGTAAACAATTGTTTGTGTGTGCTCTATTTTTAAATCACTATGAAAAATCTCTAATTCTTTCCAACACCTGAATTTTTACCAAAATCATCCTCCGTAGTGACTTTTGACTCTAGCATCAACAATCAGTATTTTTTTTATAATTTACAACTGGACCCGGCTATCCTTAATAGTTAGGCTTGATAATTTCGGATAATTAACAGCTGATCTCCATAGCTATCTCACTCCGTTTGACACTTACACATTCATTTTCAGTTTAAATTACTTACGCTAAGACACAACATCTTAGTGATGAACACAGCGTTTTACCAAACATCCATAACTTCCTTTCAAAGCAGGCTACTTCAAATACTTTTAATTAATTCTAATCTACCGATGTTACAGCTAAATGCAGCATCGCCTGTCTCAACGGGGGAAGATGCCGAGGGGTCAACAAGTGCCGGTGTCCCCCGGGGTTCCGTGGTGATCACTGTGAGATCGGTCGGCACATAGCACCCGGCACCTCATGTCCCAAGGCTTGCGGTCACGGCACCTGCACAGCTGATAACGTTTGCGTCTGCGACCAGGGCTGGTTCGGCCGATTCTGCTACCAAAGTAAGTGGTTCTTTTTGTACTCTCAATTGACTATGGGTACTGAAGATTTTAACATCATCACAATCACTGTCCTGCTTTGCCTAGCTTGGCATATGACCACTAAACGTTGAGGATGGAAAAATTGTTATAAAAATTTCAGCAAACGCACAACTGCATAACTATTGGCAGTAGATGTTTGAAAGCCTTCTAAAAAACAAATAAACAGGTTATAAAAAGACAAAATGAATCCAATCCTATACAACATTTTTAACAGAAGGAAAATAATTAAACAGCTGTTTGGGGTGCGGGATCATAAAATGTTATAAGCCTGAGGTGCTGGGGAGGTTAAAAACACTGCAGTATATTGTATATTCAAACACCGCACCATGTAATGTATGGATTAATGTCAGTAAGGATTAAAAGACTATTCAATTTGATCAAACACAGTAGATTACACATATTTGGAAAGTACTCTTGATTTTTTTAAAGTAATACAAACAATCAACAGGTGAGCTTTTTGCCAATTTTAGTGTTGTAGGAATTGTTTCTGTTCAAAATGTCAAACTAGTCATTAACAGTTTGCTTCTCATTTTAGCGAAACCATGAACTAACCAACACGTATGTTTTATCTATATGGCAAAACCAAATAATGTATTAATTAGGCTTTTAGTAAGCATTGTTGGATGTAATGAAAATCCAAAAATCTAAAACTCATTGCAAACATAAAATAATAGTTTTTGCTTCGGCTGTACAAAATAAATTATTGTAAGTAGTTTGTTCTTATTTAAAAAAAATAAGAATCGACAAATGCTTTTAAAGTTATCGTTTTAATTTTAACGTTAAAAAAATTAATTTCTAACATTTTACAGGGCATCCACACAAGAGAAAACACGACTCTTCCTATGCAGCTGAATCTAGTTCGGAGGATGATATGGAGGAGGGGAGAATTCGACATAGAGTATAAGAAATCAACTTTTAACAGTTAAATATTATATGAGGACAACGCAGCGTTTTGATTGTAATGTACCTACAAAAAAATGGTTCAATTTTTTTAATTTGTCTTTTTTATCAATGTTAAATGTTATTTTTTGACATGATTGAAAGGAAAGAAGAATAGATTTTTTTGTATGTACAACTTATATGACTGATATGTTTCAGAAATATGGATGTATTTTGTAGATATGCAATTTGTATTCTACTTAGTATTATTCCTTTATTAGTATTTTTGACGACTGAAAAATTACATAAATTTATGAATATTTATCAAGTGATACAATTTTCTGATTAGTAACACAACTTCTCTCATTGACAATGTACATGAAATACTCTTTTGAGAATGTATATAATGACTTTTAAATGGTTAAATCTGGAGAAAAAGGTTGTAGAGTATAAAATTTAAAGTTGAAATGTACAGAAAAAAACTTAGGCCTATCTGCTTTTCAAATGTAGCCTACATTAAATTCTTCGTAAAAAAGGATTCCATTTTTTATTTCATTAATATTAGTCATCTCAAGTTAGTGGGCAAAATAAAGTGAAAATTCAACAAAACTAATACAAAAACTTTGCAAACTGCAGCTGTATTTTAATGTTACTATAAGGTTAACATTTTTGTTCATACAAATAAAGCGTTTTATAATATTTCCAAATAAACTTAATTAAAAAATGTGATTTTTATATGGAAACAGTATTTTTTTACATTTTTTCTTAAAGGAACGATCTATTGAACATAGTTGTACAAAGATACATACACTAACTACTTTTAAGATATTTTGTTGATGTTACAAAAATGTAAAATATATAACAATGTTTAGTGATGGTTCAAAGTGAATATTACTTTCCCGTTTGTGTTTCTATACATTACAAACAGTACTTATTATCAAAAGTAAGGTTTAATATATAAAATACTAGCTGTAACCCGCGGGCTTTGCCCCGTTTAGGTTCTTAATTTTCAAGATTATCTCGTTCGCATGGCTCAATCACGTCCTGGTTGAAGTTTGTTCGCTACGCTCACTCACCTTTAGGTTGGAGCTCGTTCGCTACGCTCACTCACCTTTAGGTTGGAGCTCGTTCGCTGCGCTCACTTGCCTTCAGGTTAGCTCGTTTTCTACGCTAACTCGCCTCCAGGTTGAAGTTCGTTCGCTACGCTCACTCACCTTTTGGTTGCAAATTAGCTGTTGTCATAAATGTAAAAGAAATAATAGTGCTGCACCCTGTTGGTAATCCTTGTAACTTTAATGCTATTGAACATCATAGAACAGAACCAACTTGTTTAATTGAAACAGCTGTTAAGATTCAATAATTCCATTTCTCATAAGGTTAACATGGGAAACTCCAGAGCCACTGGGGCGGAGCCCGAAAGGATTTTTGAAATAAGAATATGCCTATATGTTAATCGGGAATGTGAGCTATCATCATGCCAAATTTCAGCCCAATCCGACCAGTATTTTTCGAGTTTACTTTTCCCATACACACATACACACATACAGCAACCACCTCTTTTTTATAATAGTATAGATAGATATAAAGGCTACTTACAGTCTCTGCAATCCTGAGTTAATTGAGCACTACGGCCGTTTCGGAGATAACTCCATCGTCGGGTGCGTAGTCATCAATCATCATACACTAAACTGAACTACATATTTACATTTTTTACGCGGTTTCTTCATTTTCATTGCGTCAAAGTTAAATAAATGCAACACAAGACAACGCGTGCACCGCTAAAAACTGACGACCGACTGCTCAATTAGTGCTCAATTAACTCAGGATTGCTAAGACTGTAAGTAGCCTTTATATATTTATTACACGCAATCTGCCACACTGAATAATCTTTAATGTATCAAGTTTGAGACATTACTTCAATAAAGGATTGAGATCTAGCAATGTGCTTCAGGTTGAATCCCCTTGTCTGTGCTGAATTGCAAACAACATTCATTGTCAGCTGTTTGCCTAGTCCTGTCGGTAAATTAAAATCGTTAAATTTATGTATGAAAACAGCCTAAAATATCCTGATGGGGTGACAATAAAAAAAAATCATAGCTGTTTCACTTTTAAACAAGTTATTAAAGAATTTGATATTTTCACTTGGCAATTTACTTAGTAACAGATGGTAATAGGCCTATGGTAATGAAAATAAATGTAAAATATAATCTTTTAAGCCGTGTTTACAAAAGGCCACTTGGCAGCAGGTTGCTTGCCTCTGGTAACTTGAAATACATGAGAGGAAACTAACCTGCCTACTCTACTGGCCAAACGTATATTTGGAGTAATTATTTTTTGTTTTTATTTATATAATGAATAATGAATAATGAGATTATTTCCCACAAAAAACCACAATGTAACAATACATGAGATGTAGAGAAATATATTTATTCTTGTCTATGCTGGTTGCATTTTGTCAGAGAAGAGATATTTTGAATATTTTAGTCTAACGGTCAGAAGGAAATGCTATCCTCTGTCAGGTAGGCTACAAAATATCCTAATCTATCATAAAAAATAGTTGTTGGCTATCTTACTGCTAATAATTTTGATAAACTTTCAAAATAGTTTTTTGCCTCTTTACAATAATCCGTCTGAAACATTATGATATTGGCCAATATCGTAGGAGCGCTTTTGCTGCCACGTTGATGCCGCTCCATCCCGGCAAAGGGGTTCTTTTGGAGGTAGACATACGGATGCTAATGACGTTGGCGAGTACCCGTTAGCCGGACACTCAGCTGCCAATACAGATGGTCGTGCTAGCGACGCGGCGCTAGTGACCGGGGACCTTGTCATGCGGAGCACTAGCGTAAGGCCCGGTTCACACGAACGACAAACCTAGCAGACTAGGCTTGGACTAGGTAAGCACTAGGTAAGCACGACTGGGTAGCGGACCACAGGATCAAATGGAACCGTTCACACGAGCCTAGGACGCCGACTAGCTAGTCGTGTTCAAGCTTGATGTCCCAAAACCTAGTCGGGCCCCGCTTCCCAGTCCGTCGTGGCAACTACCCAGTCGCCCAGTCGAACTGGGTAGCAGTACATGTAGCCTTATGGGAGCGTTCACACGAGCGATCGGGTAGTCGAGCTGCAGCTCGCATTCTTACCTTTGTTCTCATTGTGCACTAGTGATGGAACCGAGTGGTTTTGATATCGATATTTTCACCTAGTCCGTAGACATGTCGCTCGTGTGAACCGGTGTGATCCTGTAGTCCGCTACCCAGTCGTGCTTACCTAGTCCAAGCCTAGTCTGCTAGGTATGTCGTTCGTGTGAACCGGGCCTAAGCGGGACGCATTTGCCACCCGACTACTGGCAGCCAACTGGAAAACCGAAGTCGGCACTAAGGAGTTCTTCAAAAGAATCAACTGACATTCTATAGTAAAGAATATCTCTTCATACTTCCTGTGTTCCTGAAACATTAGATGAAACTGTTCTGTCGACGAACATGAATAAAGCACAGGACAGGGTGCCACATCCTCCTGGATTCTTCTGATAATACTCTTTGAAAATGTGCAAAAAGCTTACGTAACCGAATGAACTTTTTCGGGCGCTAACTCAACGGCATCTACAAAAACCGGCCTATTTTTGTTTATTTTTGCAGCGGCCGCGGCAATAGCGCTCGTATGATATGAACCTTACAGTAAAGAAAATACAGCTAAAAACAATTATCTCCTAATTACAATCTTATTAGGCCTACCTCCTAATTATAGGTACCTATTTAAACTTTTACTTTTTTTATAAGTAGGCTAATTATTTATTTTTTTTTTTATTTATTGTAAGCATATTAACATTTTAAATGTGGTAGGCCTACCATAAACCCTGTCATTTAAATTATAAGCTGAACCATTAATTGTTTAAGAACTTTTTTTAGATTGTTGTTCAACGGCTGATATAGTTTGTTGTTTGAAAAACACAATTTGATTTATTGCAAAAAAAAAGGTTGATAAAATACAAATAATACTGATTATATTTTATTGATATCATGGAATAATGTGTGCTGATTGCTGATTACCTTGTTAAGAGTTTGAATTTTCCCTCCTATCCTTTCCGATGTAAGAGAGTATTTGATTGGTTAATATTTTATCTTGAACCAATGAAGACAAGATATTGGTGTGAGGTGTGGTCTGATTAGTATTTCTTTAAAAATCCGCTAGAGCTCAGAACAACGCTGTTTTTGACCAATCATGAGTCGTTTCTTTTTTTGTGACTTATCAAGAGAACAGTAAAGAACACCGAAGAACTGACTCTAATATTCATACTGAGGTATTGTATCCGCTGTAAATACTACTATAAATATTATTTAAGTACTTAATTACCGCTTCTAATGATCATGTAATGAATAAACAGTGGTTATCACGTATAAAAGCATCGTCTGCTAAAACGCTAGTGCGCAGACTCGAGAATCATGGCGTCGAAAAAGACAGAATACTTACTCCCTAGCACTAAAGGGAGCTATCGATCGATAATCATGGATGACATCAGGGACTTATACAAACTAGTGTCAAGCTTACCTTATGATATCCTCAGTGATGTTGGTTCAAGCCTAGTGTCCCAAAGTAGTTGTATTAGCCCTAGTAGCCTGTAAGAAGGAACGTAGACATGATTTCCTGCTGAAAATGGTCTTCTCTTCACGCAGGTGCGTACGCAGCCGTAGTTCTGAAATTTAACTGGGCCTGCTCGAGATTCCTAAATGGCAGACGCGCGATTCACTTTACAAGTTTACTCGTTTAAATTACATAACAGATTTGTCATGCCTATCTCAAACGTTCGAAGACTAAAACCCCTAAACCCTGAGAATACGATAATTATCGCGAAGGCCTGATGCAACATCAGGATGACGTATGCTTAGTGTAAAAAGGTCGACCAATCAATAAACAAAGCAGACGTGTTGGTAAATAAAGACCTGAAAATTAGGGTCTGTTACCAATCAATTATGTAATTCTAGCTGTCCCGTAATTTGGGCATCAGGCTTAATATTTAAGTTACTTGTAGAATAACTGAAAATAATAGGTTTGGGTAACAGTTTTAGCTAGGCTACCTATCATGGTTGGCGATTAGGGTAGACCCATAATCCCTTTTCAATTCTTTATTGATCTACAGTAAGCTAGGCCTACCTCACATGAATAAAGATAATACAATATTTGTACAGTCGTCTTAAATAGCCTTAACTTAACTTAAACTTCTATAGGCCTAAATAAAGAGGCCAATGTAAATATTCAAAAGAAATTTAATTCAAAGTACCGGTACTTAATTTAAATAATATCTAAACAGCCTATTAGGACCTACATTAGGCAATGTTTGTATTTTTCCTCATTTGGCCCAAAAGTAAAAAGTAACTTACATTAAGTTATTCTTACCGCATAACTCAGCCATTTGCGTTTGTAATTAATAGTATAGGCCTAGGCTAAGTTTGGCTAGCTAACATTGTTAACTTGTAAGCTACCTCACAGATAGGCCTAAGTTAAGTCGAGTCCGATTGATTTTTTGATAAGTTAGGTGAAAATCTAATTTAGGCTCTAACTTAAAATCAAATTTACAATATAATTACGCTAACTTTATTTTATATCTTAATCCTCAAGGGGGCGCATCGATCAGAATGACACTAACTTGTGGGTGCATTGGTCTTTTTGAGAAAATTTTAACATAAAAAAAATCTACTTAGCCTTAAGCTCAGTCTGTTCTCCAATGTACTTATAAATTAACATTGGCATTTGTCGTATCAATTCTTAGTAAGGAAAATAATACGGTTAGAGGCCATCGTTAACCCTCTACAAGTGTCCATAGTTTAGGCCTTAATGTCCACCTATTTTTGGCGCATTTGCAAGGTTTTATTAAAATGGATCTGAGAAGCTTAAAACAATGTTAATTCTAATGTTCTATATACCATTTTGTTTGGAAAATCATGGGCTTCAATATTATATATAAAACATAAGGAACATTTTTTCAAAAAAAAAATTTTTAGGTAAAAAAAATATAATTTCGAAAATTTTCAAAAAAAAAATAAGTTCGCGCTCAATGAAATTGTATAAATTATAGGCCTATAAATATTTGAAAATAGCCACTTTGTTCTAAATTTTATGAGGATTACAACTATATAATAATATAAGGAAATATATCTGCAAATAAATAAGTTATGGGCAAAAAACTGATTTCAGTACATAGCGTTTAGCTAAGAATGCATAGCCTAACCATAGCTAGGAATCTGGCTGATAATTTACATCAATATCACTACCTACTTCTTCAGGATCATCAACCAGCACTTCAAAACCACTTAAATCTTCTTATAATGCACCACGTATATCACTACTTTTGATTTTTAACACTAAAACAATGATAAACGTAATAAAACACATCAGTCATCGGTCCGGGGGAACCTAGCTGTTTACAAATACACGCACGTCAGCTGTCTGCTACAATATTTTCGGAACTAAAATGAATAGCGCTTAGAGACAGACCTCTGGAGAAAGCTTAGAATATTACGGAAAGAACGATACCTAACTCGATCCAGTTCAATCCGATTCAGTCAGTCATAGAGCCTTCGCCGTAAACGATGTCTGCATGTCGAAAAATCGACAAGTAACACTACACAAAGTGTGCTGCTTGTTGAATTTTCGTCAAGTAACACTGGGAGGGTTAACTGGGTCTCGACACAGAATATTCATTTTTTTATTATATTGTCGACAGTTGGAATGATATTTAACATGTTGCTTTTCAATGGTAGGTAGAACTTTAAAAACTTATGGTAGCTGTGGTTTGTCAATTTGTATTATTCCAACAAAAAGCTGGTGGTATACTCCTGAGCTGTCTAGACTTAAGGCATTAGTTTTAGCCATTAGAGATAGGTATGTGTCGACTACATGTCAGGAAACTAAAGAATGTCTTAGACGCTTGTACTTCAAAACAAAGAATACGTAGGCTATAAGGTTAAGATCGATGATGCTAAGAAACTCGATAATATAAGTAAGATTGAAGGTGCACTAAATCCATGTAAGGCGGCTTGGTCGTTAGTTAATAGTAATAGAAGCCTCTCAAAGCAAAATACAGCCCTATGTAAAGCTAGCCCAGACGATTTCAACAAATTTCTGTTGGGTAACGTTGAGAAACTGGTTTCGGAGATTCCATCAGTGGCTGACGATCCTGCTGAAAATGTCCCACGTTCAAATGTCAACCTTGTACGATGGCAGAGAGTAACTCCTTTGGAGATAGTAAAGATCGTGTCGGGGTTTAAATCCTCACGTAGCCCGGATATCTATGGCATGTCAACTGTTGTCCTCAAGGCCATAGTGGATGTAATTGCTCAACCTCTATCCATGATTATAAATGGCTGTCTGAGCATTGGATTTTTTCCCGATCTTTTGAAAGTTGCACGAACGGTCCCCATCTATAAAAAGGGCGATCCTTCAAACCTAAACAGCTATAGGCCTATTTCTGTAATTCCTGTGTTTAGTAAAGTAATAGAAACCATCATCAAGAATCAACTAGTAAATTTTTTTGAATCAAACAACCTTTTTTCCGATCTTCAACATGGATTCAGGCGTAATAGATCTACTGTGACTGCGATGGCCGAACTTGTAACCAGAGTGCAGGATGCTTTTGAATCTTCGGACAAGTTGGCATTGACACTTTGCGACCTGAGCAAAGCATTCGATTGCATCTCCCACAAAATCCTAATTGACAAACTCGAACGTTATGGTGTGGGTGGTGTCGCCCTACACACATTCAAATCCTATCTTGGTAATAGAAGGCAAGTGGTCTCTTTGAGTGGTGCAAAATCCCAGGCCATGACTGTAGCCCATGGAGTTCCCCAAGGCTCGATTATGGGGCCTGTACTGTTCCTTGTCGCCATAAATGACCTCGAATTAAATGGTATGGCCCTTAGATTTGCGGATGACACTACCATTTTCTCGTCTGGTGCAAATCCTACTCTTGCACTTGAGACAGCTGACATCCAATTTGAAGAAGCGAAACACTGGTTTGCGTCCAACAAATTAAAACTGAATGAAGACAAGACGCAGAGACTTACTTGTACTCTCAGTCACCACGTACAAGATGTACCAAACGTAAATCTTCTTGGTTTTGCAATTGATCCAAAACTTGCTTGGGATAAACACATCCAATCAGTTGGAAAAAGACTGTCCAGGGTGGTCCATCTACTTCGGAAGTTGACTAGGCTTGTCAGTAAACCTTATTTGATTATAGTGTACCATGCTCTGTTCCATAGTATTTTAAGCTATGGTCTCCTTCTCTGGGGCCATGCACCATCATGTCTTGAAATTCTCAAATTGCAGAAGAAAGCAGTACGTATTTTAACTTCTAGTAAAAGAAATGACCATTGCAAACCTCTGTTTGTCAGCACCGGTATTTTAACTATTGTCAGTCATTACATTTTTTTGTCAGCCGACCATGTGAAGGCAAACCTACATAAATTCCCTACAAGAAATACTGTTCATAGCCATGGTACAAGACATCGCTCCGACCTGGACATACCGTTCTGCCGGCTGTCTAAAACCAAAAACTCTTTCCCAACGCTTGCCCTGAAGATTTACAACCACCTGCCTACGTCAATCAAAAACCAAGGGGAAATGGCCTTTCGTACAGCCCTGAAAAACTTGTTGAGGGAGAAACCATACTACAGCCTACAAGACTATTTTAATCAAAAGCTCTTAAGTCAATAAGCCTGCTGCAAAATCATCCACCGCCAAAGTACTTTTAATACAGTTCATACTTCAATCTATGGACGTTTTTATGTATATAGTGTAAATAGAAAAAAGAAAATTGGCGCAACCTATCCGGCTTTGCTGGTCTCGGTCAAGGAGGAGGTAATTAAAGGAAATCACGTTACACTGTTTAAGCCAATTTCTCATAACTTACAGGATATAGGCCTAAGCTATTACTGTAGGTCTCATTGTAAGACCCCCCGCGACCAATAGACCCGGGACCGATATATTTTTTTTACCGATATAGGCTACTTACACCCGTGACCAAAAACACCATCCGTTAAAATTCATATAGGGCCTATATATATTTAATAAATAATATATAAAATATCATGAGTAACTTACCCCTTTTTCTTATTTTAGTTTTAAAAATATTAGCCTAATTATTTTTGTAATGATTTTATAAAAAAAGTTATAGGCTAGGTACCTATAGGCCTACATATTTAAATGTGTCTGTTAGCGCGATAACTCTGAGCAAAAATAATCCGATTTTGATGAAATTTGGTACAAACGTGTAAACCTACATTTATTGGAGCAAGTTCGCGAACCAGCATAATCGGACCATAGGAACAAGGGTTTATGGGGGTTTTATGTGGTAAAAATTGATTTTTTCCATTTTTGACTCTAAAAACACAAAATTTCATTAATTTATCCAAACCATTTTGTAGAGCTTAAAAAAAGAAATGATTTTGTATATTGAAGCGTTGTTGTACATGCCCAACGGCTACGGAGATAATTTAAAAAATATTTCAAATTCCCATGTTATGTTATTCTTTTGGAGGATAAATAAACTTTTGTAGTTTTCTTGTTTATGGATATATTTTAATCAAATTTGGCAATTTTGTTTATTTCCCACTAACCTAGATTCAACATTTCAATAAAGAAACACACCTCAATAGGTTCCCCATATCAGCAAACCTAAGTACTCACTAAAATTAATGTTATTTAAATGGGAAATAAATCTGAAAATCTTTAGGGAATATTTTAGTATAGCCTAAATTTTGCTAGGTAAATGGCAAATGGTAATTTGCTTAGTCTGCAGGTTTGCTGCGACGGGGTATTTGTTACTTTGACGGGTAGTTTGAAACTAACCCCTTCTCACTAATGCTATTTCATAGATCAACCCTTCCCTGAAGGAGTATCTAGGAGGGATGTCCCGGTCCACTTTCCCCTTCCAGTAATAAGCGAAATAATACGTTTCGGTCTTTTCACCGACGTGCACCCTCTGGAGTGTTAACTCATGCTGTGTCATTGAAAAACTTAGTGTTGAAAAAAGACAGAACCTTAAAGTTTTAAAATAACTTTAAATAGCCTAAGTTATAAGTTAATTAATTGGCACTGGAATTTATTTAAGTTACAACTGTCTGCAAATTGTGTTTTCTAATAGAGTTCAAAACTTGTTCCTGAGTCAAAAAGATGGGCAAAAGGCTAACTTATCTTGATTGAAGTTAACTTTTTAAGAATAGTCTTGTGTGTGGTTGAGACGGTTATTACATAACGTATGTTAGGTGAATACGACTACTAAGTTTTATACAATAACTTAAATAAAAATTTGTTTGTTGTAAGTTAAATGAGATGTAAACCATAAAGAGTGGTGGGTAGTCCCGATCGACCAACAACATTAATTGATTCAATTATTAACTGGTAGTGGGATTACAAACTGTTACAGCTCAAAGTTTAAATTAAAACCATGCCTAAATGAGTATCCTAGGTATTTAAAACATCATTAGACCTATGTTAGTCAGCATTAGGTCTATTATGATTTGACACAAGTTGTTGGTCACAAACATCTTAAGTTATAAAATTGCAAGAACAATTTTCTTAACAAAACAATTTTCTTTTCAGACTTTACCTTCGGCAAAAGAATCTTAGTTGCCATCCAGAATGGGGATCTGCAGCTGAGGATTATTGACAGAAGCTTCTGCTGAAATGCAACATAGATCTCACTCTTGTTATTATATTTAATATTTGGATTTTTCTTTAGATTAAGGTAAGTGAGTATCAGTAGAATTTTTAATCCTGTTTCCTCGTTGAATAATTAACAGGTAAGAGCTTTTATTTCTACAGTATTCTTTGCTAGTCGCGAGTGTTCACTATGCTTCCTGAGAAAAGCAAGCTGGTCTAGGGGTAGAGCTTAACGACTCCTTGAGATCCCATATTAAAATCTCGGCAATCATCAATGGCTTTAGTTAAGAGGTAATGTCGTGATCCTGTAGAAGTTAAGTCGCCTTGAGGAAGTTAACCGTGTTGAACGAGGCCAACGAGCTCCAAGGGTTAGAGCTTATTTTTATTTTTCTACACCTGTGGCATTTTTCTTGGAGGTAGAAGAGATACACAGACACTTTTTACCACTCCAAATATTTAGCTACGGTTTGTGATAACTTAATGCTCTAATGCTGTTTTATTGTTCTGTAATTCAAAATAATTTTCTCCTTACGAGTTAACTGAAATAATAAATAATTTTTCTGACTTCTCATGTCATAGAAAGTGGGGAGGGTCCACTTAAATAAACAGCATCGGGATATCTACCTTAAAAATATCTTATTCATTACGAGTTGCTATTGGTTTATTTTAGGTTCAAGATGATGGACACAAGTGCGCCGGAGTCGTTGTCTCTCACCGTCCAGTCGGACGATGACGACGATGGCTGCATGTCGGGTACTAGCTCCACCTATGGCGACAGCTCTGACTTCATGACGGCAGCGATGAACGATGACGTGACGGCCCAGTTAGCGGCAGCAGGTTGGCATAAACAGCACAGTCACGGTTTGTTTCGCTTTTTGTTGTTTTCCTAGTCTAGTCCTTTTTGCCTGGGTGGGTGTGATTCAAAGGCCATTTAAATGTGAACAGAGTGGTGTGGGCACGTGATAAGATATAAGCTATAAGCTATTAATTTTTGTTTGTGTCATGCCAGTGCATTTTTAATGCAAGTGTCATAAACCCGGCTTAGGAAAAGTGGTGTAAACGCCAAAAACATTTGTGGATATGTTGGGGATCGAACCAGTCATTTTAGTTTTGAGATTTTAACCATTGGACCAGTAGTAACAAACTAAAAGTATTATTTTAAGATGATTTAGGTACTTGTTCAAAGCATAAAGTAACACTTTTATATTAGATTTGAACAATTCTTTTGTCTTAGGCCTACCCAGTATGGTCTAACAATAGAACTGGGTAGGCCAGTTGATTTAACTAAGCTTACTCGTTTGCTAGTTGCAAACATCCAGCCTGTCCAATATTCTACAACTAACCTGTTAAGATCCAGTTCGTGCTCCGAATCTTAAGAGTTAAGGATAAGTTTAATTGGTCAATTATCATTGCCTATACCTAAAAAGTACTGATAAATTTGTAGAAACATTTTCGATGCCCAGCCCAACTATAGATTTTCTTGGTTTTAAACCTGGGAATTTTTAAGAACCACTTTAACTTGACCTTTGAAACACACCAGACTTCCAACAGGCCCACAGGTACGTACTGGCATGTTTTGCTCTGTGTTGTTTGCTGTTCGGCTTATTTTTGTTTGTTTCATTTTGTTTTTTGTCTGTTCTTAGTTGTGTGTTTGAATTGCATTTTGAGTTTTGAAACATCATCACGTACATAGTCACAACACATAGTAATTAACTCCAAAATATCCAAACCTTACTCATCAAATTTCATGCCAGTCCATACCATCTAGTTGTAAGGCACTGTACAGTTCAGCCTACTTTTTTATCTGCTGAGAGGTTAAAGTACCCTTGATAAGCAAGAGGCACTTTCCTGTTTTATGGAGATATTAAAAATCTATGTAATGTTTTTTGCTAGAACCTTCGTGTCCATGATTTTTATCTCATCATTCTTTACATAAATCGAGAATCTCCGTGTCAAACTATATTCCCTTGTTTTTCAGCGTTGTAGGTAGAAATCAACTATATTTTGTTCATCGTACTTCCATTCAAATTCATACACAGTCCACAAACTGAGCTTGTTGATTCCAACCTTAAAACTTAGCTTCCTTCTCAGAATTTTGCTGTAATTAATTTTTTCATCAAAATGTCGTAGGTACTAAAAACTAAATTGTAAAGTTTAGCCAGAAGGTCATTTAAACAAATTAATTTGGTTTGTTGAGAATTTTTAACAATTAACAAAATCTTGAATAGGGCTCTTTCAATTTTTAAAACTTTAAAACGATCCTTAAACAATAATTCTTTTCCTGCTACTTCTTAACTCAAAACTTGGCCACAGAATTTGATCCTGGCAACAAATTTAGGCTGATCTGTACAGTTTAGTGGTAGTTTATAGTCATAATTATTTTTATTGCTTAGTGTCTCGGTATTTGGACAAATACAAGTTGTGATGCTGCAAATGTTTAACTATCACCACATCTACTCACAATAGTGTCCAGTCTTGTCTATACATAAGTTATATATACATACAGCCTGTGCAAGTTGCTTATTCGTCGCTGTAGCTACACTGCTAGCCGTTTGTCGTTGGTTGTCACTGAGATATTTTGAGTGGTTTGTCTTCACTGTTTGAACATGTTTTTGTTGTTTTTTTTTACATTGAAACCTGCTGTTTTTACGATACAAAATACTTTTTTTCATGCTGGCTTGCTTAAAACTAAATCAAGTATTAAAAACTCTGAAATATTTTGAAGATCTTATGACGAAAGCTGTGTAAAATATTTTCTACTGACGTTTTTGTGAGATTTTAATTTATTGTAATTTGTGATAGGCCTACGCTTGTTTACAAATATTACATTTTTGTAAACATCCAAGCCTGAGCATGTTTTGTAGTATTCTTCAGTATTTTGATAAAAATGTTTAGATATTTAGAGGTGATATTTTTCAGGGCCTATAGGCATGGCAGCAGCAGCGGCCATTGTGTCTGCTAAGAAAAGGAAACGTCCACATTCTTTTGAAACCAACCCGTCGATACGAAAACGTCAACAAAATCGGTTGCTCCGGAAACTAAGGGTGAGAGGGATTTTTATGTAACATATTGTTATGTAAACAATTAAAAAAAAAGTTTTCTTTTCCTTTTATTGTTGAGCACAAATTTGTTATACCTTTGAAAAGCACAAATTAAGCAATAAATCATGGATTTGTTTTTACAATTTGGGCTCATCTGTTGAGGCCAACTTCACACACATGTTAAATTGCTATATAGAGCTTCTGGTACTGATAAATTCGTTATAAGTGTTGAGGTAACTTATATTAGTCAGGATCCTACAATCAACTTCTTAAATCAAGGTTAATGACATTGTTTGTTTGTTTAGACCAAAAGTTAATAATGTCATGCCATGTTGAGTAAATTTTAACTAAAACTTACACTTAAAACCATTTAGGCCTATAAAGGTATATCTTGAACAGAAAAACCCTAAAACACCTGACATTCTACAACCTGGAGATGAGATCAACATTATTTACTAAACTAGTTTACTTCTTTTTCTTAACTTTACTTTTAATCTTTTAAAACAATGTTTTAAATACTATTACTTTTCTTTAGGTAGGTAGTTCAAATAGACAAAGACAAACTTTCCCTTAAATATGATACTGTAATAACATTTTGTCCACATCACCACATTCATACATGAAATACATTAAGGCAGTCTTCAGGTTTGACAAGATGCTTACTTTTAGTATTTCAATTCTCAAGTAAATCACAGTGTAATTTAACATGATATCTTTCTGTTTGCAGCAAACTATAGACGAGTTCGCTACCCGGGTAGGCCAGCAAGCCATTGTCTTGGTAACAACGCCAGGAAAACCTAACAACAGCTTCAAGTGCTTCGGAGCCAAGCCCTTAGAGGATGTGGTAAGTGTTTACACAACTCTTAAAGCGGAGAAAAGGCGGGGGAATATGCCAAATGATTCTGGTCAGGTTGAATAAGGCTGCTTCAACATAGGAAGCGGAATTCCTTCAGACTTGACAGTCTGAGCGGGTCTGACAAAAACAAACTCTTGTGGAACGTCTCAGCCTCCAACACTGGGGCCTAGGGTGGTCCTGGGAAGGAGGAACAGGTTTGATCTGGTCTAACAAGAATCGAACTAGTCTTTCCTCTCAGCCGCTTCAAAACTTAGGCCTAGTTTGGTGCTTTAGTTAATTTTGCTTGAGCCATGAGACCTGTCAAAATCTTATTTTTTATGAAAAACTAAGATATTTCCACGTATTTTCTAGGTTCATCATAACTCATTGGTTTTATTTTAATGTTTGCAATACAAACCCATAAGTAAAATGAGAATATTAAATTTGCCTAATATTGCATCAAGTAAATTAGTTGTGTAAAGTTAGTTTTTTGGTGGTTTACACTTTATTGAAATGTTATTTATTTTTTATAACTGAGTCTTAGTGTTTTGATCAACTAGGTCTATAGAAAAATGTCCTAAAAGAAATACTGTTGATGCAATTATTTTGTACTATGACGTATTTAATTATATTACTACAGTTAGTAAGATATCATTTACTCGTTGAAAATCTATCTAAATCAGACATATAATATCCCTCCCACTACCAGGTGAAGAACCTGAAGACGGTGATCATGGAAGAGTTAGAGTCAGCGTTGGCTCAACAAGCACCTCCCCCGGCACAAGAGGACCCGACGTTGTACGAGCTGCCTCCTCTCATCATAGACGGCATCCCCACCCCTGTGGAGAAAATGACGCAAGCACAGTTACGAGCCTTCATCCCTCTTATGCTCAAGTACTCAACAGGTAAACATTACGTTCCTGTGTAGCCAGTTTAAGGATAAAGGTGTACCTAGTAAATATTATAAACTTAGTTCCTCGTTTCTTTCTTTTATCTTCTAAAATATTATACTTCACTCTACATCTTAACATTAAATTGCATTAAAAAAATGTACTTGACTAGGCTGATTAACCTACATATTTATTTTTTATTTGTTTAAAGGCATTATAAAATAACCTGGCAGAAAATGTTTCACTTAAAATTTAAAATGTTATTTAACGTTCTTACCACAAACCACTTGAAAGGAAATGGTAACAGATAAGTAAATAATCTAGATGTGCACAGGAAACAGTTATTTATTTTTATTTCCTTGTTAGAAAAATATTCCTCATACTCCATTGAGGTTGTGATTTCATCCTTAGATTATTTTCTACACTTAAATTTGATCTATTCTCAATTTAGGACACTATCTTTCTCTTATTGATGATTAAGTTATTATGTTGTACTTACTTCTACAGTGATAAAGACTTCCAAGAAGCCTCCAAAGCTCCAAAAAAATAGAGGGACGTATGCAAAGTTTAATTTGTAAAATCTCGAAACTATTAGTCATAAAGATTATAAGGTACACTAAAACGTTATATGCTACCACACCATTTTACTTTTTTTACAGAATAATAACTTTTTGTATGAAAAAGTTGAAGATGTAAAGGTTAGAGAGTTTAAGGAAATTGGGTCATTATTGGTTGATCTGTTTCCCATAAGTTACAAAGAAAATATGTTACAAATTAGAGGTGGTTTATAAGAAATTTAAACCCCAAGGGGAAAATAGTGTTTGTAAGTTGCTTAAAATCAGGGTGTCTACCAGTCGGGAATTCCGGGAAATTCGGGAAAAAGTCGGGGATTTTGAAAGGTCGGGAAAAGTCGTGAAAAAGTCATGAATTTCGGCCGAAAGTCGGGAATAATCTAACCTTTCAAAATTAGGGATGAACGGGTCCCAAAACTTTAAAAAAATGTTCTGGATCTTATATTCCTGATCATTGGGACGGGATTACATTTGAGGGGTGGGGGATGAAACGAAAATGCATCGGAATTCCAATTCGATTCAGTGATGATCAAAATAACGATTTGAATCATGGGCATTCAGTGTCCATAATATACGTTTTTGAATCAGCATCCATTCGTTATGGAATCAGTATCTATATACGGTATTGAATCAGTATCCATATACGTTATTGAATCATTATCCAAATAGCTTTTTGAATCAGTGTCTATACGTCATTGAATCAGTATCCATATACGTAGTTGACTGTTACATTGATAATGTTACTTTGACTATCAGTATCCATATAACTTATTGACATTATTCAAATGATTGACATTAATTATATAAGCTATTCATTGAGATGAGACATTGCTTAGCCATACAGGTTATTGCCATCCAAGTACATGGCATACACTGAGACATTGCTTAGCCATACAAGTTATCACCATCCAAGTACATGGCATACACTGAGACATTGCTTAGCCATACAAGTTATTACCATCCAAGTACATGGCATACACTGAGACATTGCTTAGCCATACAAGTTATTACCATCCAAGTACATGGCATACACTGAGACATTGCTTAGCCATACAAGTTATTACCATCCAAGTACATGGCATACACTGAGACATTTCTTAGCCATACAAGTTATTACCATCCAAGTACATGGCATACACTGAGACATTGCTTAGCCATACAGGTTATTGCCATCCAAGTACATGGCATACACTGAGACATTGCTTAGCCATACAAGTTATTACCATCCAAGTACATGGCATACACTGAGACATTGCTTAGCCATACAAGTTATTACCATTCAAGTACATGGCATACACTGAGACATTGCTTAGCCATACAGGTTATTGCCATCCAAGTACATGGCATACACTGAGACATTGCTTGACTAACAGGTTATTGCTATCCAAGTACATGGCATACACTGAGACATTGCTTAGCCATACAGGTTATTGCCATCCAAGTACATGGCATACACTGAGACATTGCTTGACCATACAGGTTATTGCCATCCAAGTTCATGGCATATACTGAGACATTGCTTGACCATACAGGTTATTGCCATCCAAGTACATGGCATACACCGAGACATTGCTTAGTCATATAGGTTATTGCCATCCAAGTACATGGCATACACTGAGACATTGCTTGACCATACAGGTTATTGCCATCCAAGTACATGGCATACACTGAGACATTGCTTAGCCATACAGGTTATTGCCATCCAAGTACATGGCATACACTGAGACATTGCTTAGCCATACATGTTATTGCCATCCAAGTACATGGCATACACTGAGACATTGCTTGACCATACAGGTTATTGCCATCCAAGTACATGGCATACACTGAGACATTGCTTGACCATACAGGTTATTGCCATCCAAGTACATGGCATACACTGAGACATTGCTTGACCATACAGGTTATTGCCATCCAAGTACATGGCATACACTGAGACATTGCTTCACCATACAAGAAGTTATGTATACCTTGTAGTTCTGATTCTATCCTCTTATTTTATCAATGTAAACCAATTGAAAGATTCAGTATTTAAATCTTACAAAGGTTTTTATTTGTTTACACCCAAACATATCTTTATTTATAAAATGAATCAAATAAAATAGGTAACATACTTAACAACATGATGCTGCAAGTAAAAATTTTGAAATAGGCAAGAAGCTCACTGATATTTCCAGAAATACTGGTTCTTCTAATGTATGATTGAAAACAGATATTTCACTCCACTGAGAAGTATGAATAGAAAAATTCCATGTTGCTTCGAATCGAGTTACATCAACATTTTTTTTAAATTGAATCGTTGCTTTGAGTTTAAATGTTTTGCTGCTTCACACACCCCTACATTTAATACGGGATTTTCTTGGCATGTGATACGTTTTGATCGTCAGTGATTTCGCTGGGTCGTAAGTGACAACATATGTTGACGAAGGTACCGTGACCGCCAGACGGAAAAAGGTGTAGTAACATGGAGAATGGACCGAGTTTTTGGTCGGGATTTATATAAAAATGGTAATGAAAAGTCGGGAAAAAGTCGGGAATTCCATTTGAGAAATCTGGTAGACACCCTGAAAATGTTTTCAAATTGTCACTGGAAAAGGTTAATCAAACACAGTGCTTATGTTTTGCCATGTAACTCTAACATATGGATTGGTTGGATGGGAAGTGCCATTACACTTGATTTCGCTTCCCAACAGTATACAAAGAGAAAAAAAACAAGCATTACATTATCCAATGCTACATCAAAACTCTTAACTTGTTACATTTTGAAGGGTGTGCGATGCATCAAAATTCCTATTTTATTCAATTCAGTGGTGATCAAAATAACGCTTTGATTCATGGGGTAATCAGTATCCATATAAGCTATTAACTGTTACATTGACTATCAGTACCCATATTATTTTTGACTGTTACATTGACTATCAGTAGGCCTACATCCATATGTACGAGTTTGACTGTCACATTTACTATCAGTATCCATATACGTTTTTGACTGTTATATTGACTATCAGTATCCACATACATTTTTCAAATTGAGTTGCATCGATTCAAATCGAAAATATTTTGAATCAAATTTTTGCTTTAAATAGAGATTTTTTGCTGGTTCGCACACCCCTATTCATTTTGATTTTACAGAAACTCCTTGTTTTTGCAGGAAGGGGAAAACCAGGATGGGGTAGAGAGTCAACGAGACCGCCTTGGTGGCCCAAAGAGTTACCTTGGGCAAACGTTCGGATGGACGCTCGACCGGAGGAGGAAAAACAGAAGGTAATCATAATCCAGAAAGAAGTCATTGACATTAGCAAGAAGTTTTACTGTGGGGATTTATAATTTGAATATTTTTACCCGTTGGTACCCTTAAAATATAGATACACATAGGTAGATTTTTGTGTGTAAATAGTCTCAGACAAATATCCAGAATGGCACAAGGAGTCGTCGTAGAAAGTTTTGAAAACTCATTGATTTGTGCGTTCTACTGAGTGTTGATCACCTTCTATCTACTGGCCTTACAACTTGTGAGTGACTTGAAAATAAAGCCACGTTCATACGAGGCTAGTAGACAAGCCGGTTAACAGGCCTCAATGAATTTCAAGTCACCTGAGGTAGGTTTTGTACAAACGTGGCTTAGTTGAATTGTATTAAATGTGTATAAGTTGTCTCCCACATTACTCTAGATTTTCCAGTACTACCATGGTAAATTTAAATCAGAATTTAAATTGTAGCAAATTTCCCATATAGGGAATAAGCTATACATATATATGAACTTGAACGGATGGTGTTTTTGGCCTCTGGGGACATCAAAACAAAAAAGTAAATTGCTCTCAAGTTCAGGACTTACCATGAGACCTACAGTACTACTTAAGTAAATTTATATCTAAATTCAAATTTGTTCATGCGTGAAAGCTCCTGTTGCAAAAATTGTGCTTCCAAGTTCACCGTTGTTCAAAACTAATTGAGTAAGATGTAACTATTGATTTTTTTTTTTTTTGACGATACAATTCGTAAGTTGTCGATTATCTTCACAACCAAGTTTTTGTTCCCATAAGTTGCCAGATGCGATTGTTCAGTAATAGTGTTCTGGAGTGATAATCAGGTATTTGTTGGTCTGAAACAACTGTATGCATTATCTTATCCCTGCAGTTGCCACTATCTATATACATTTATGAAATTCGATTGGATATTGTTTATGACTTTTGGGGACACCAACATGAAAAGTAAAACTTACCATGAGACCAGTGGTTATAGACAACAAACACTGAAATAAATTAAACTCCTGACATTGTCATAAGATGAATATGAAGTCAATACCTAATTGAATCAACGCTTAGTTTTGAATCTTGAAACTTAACAATCAAATATCAAAACTGAAACTTTTCTGGTGTTTTGGTGGTTTTGAGATTTGAGATTGAGTTTGGACACATCACTAAAGCTCAAATCCTACAGTAATAATAGATCTAGTCAATAGTGGCAAGTAGTTAAATATATATATTACAGTCGGGACCACGTAAGTTTGCAGTTGAGGGAGGAGCCTTTATCATATGGTTTTTAATGAACCAATGAGAACCATGTTGTGTTGCTAAATCTAATAATACCAGCTGATTTGAAAGTATTGCTTAGTATATTTTAATTAGTGTTGTCACAGCCAATGTGGCAACGTTGCACTAGCCTTGTCTTGTGATTGGCTGCCACCAACTGCAAACTTGTGTGGTCCCGACTTCAAATAATCCATTGATAAGAACTGCATTAGTTTTGCATGGTTGTAACCTGCATGTCCGTCTGTGTGTACTGCCATGAGCAGCTCGTATATCTGAGATGCAGTGCCGTAATTTGCAGATCTCGTGGACTCACGCCTTGCGCCAGATCGTCATCAACTGCTACAAGTACCACGGCCGGGAGGACCTGCTGCCGGCCTTCACTGATGACGAGGACAAAAACGGAAGCTCGGTGGGCGTCAGACAAAGGGCGGACACCCCTCCCCCCTCCCCTACAACCACTCTGACGACACAGGTTCACCCCCACTTTGGCTGAGTGTTGTGTCGTCCCCTCCTCCTTACCCTCCTGTAGCTCGCTGGACGTATGTAAATGTCGTTGCAGTTTATTAACGGCCAACAACTTTTAAATATTGAAAAAGACATGCAATCAATGTGGACCAGCTGTTGTCCTAGATATAAAAGAAAACATTCAGGAACTTTCTACATAACATTTTATTTATATAATACTCTTAACTAATAAAAAAATGTTTGCTACGTACGGTATTATTTCTTTACTTTCTTCAAAATTGCTTTTAGTGTAGGCCTACATCAGTTTTTATACCTGTAGGTAATTAGGTTGGTAAAATAAGTGATTAAAAATCCAAAAATTATTTTAATAAGCGAGTCCCCTGTCTATTGGAGCATGTGATGTTTTTGCACGATTTGTCCTTTCCCATCCCTCCTCATTTGTGTTCGCTGGTGTTTATTATTTATTTATGTAGATTAGTTGGTTTTATTTAACCATTGACTTTAGATGCTGAAAAAGACATTTTAGATAGTTAGTATATGGATCAGCTGTCTTTTTTACTTTTTTATCAAAAGTAGTATTAGTAAGCAGACATAAATATATATAAAGATATAAAGATACGGTATGTGAAACATAAATGTGTTGTGTCAGTAGGTGTTTTGCAAGCATGATCGTGCTGTGATGATTGCCAATTTAGTAGATTTTCAGTAATATAATCATTCCATACTCCTCACTGGAGGAGAAATTTTTATTTTTGATATGGTACCCTGAGCAACAAAAGTGGGAGGTGATTATTTGTAAAACGATATGGCAGACTACCTAGTGCTCATTCTTCAGATAGCATTGTAATTCGAAAAATAAAACAACAATAAAGGTTACACAATTATTCCTAAACTGGTTCTCTACTTAGGGGTCTGTAGGCTAGGCTTTTTTACTAAGTATATAGGTCAAGTCAGATCTTATTAAAAGCATTGAACATTGTTTTTGGTCTCAGGCCAAAATCAGGTTACTTTTTGAAATTGTCAAAATATTTAACTATCTCCTGATGGTAAAACCATGAACGTCCTGCAATTGGAGCAAAATTGTACACATCTTCTGCAGTCACTGAAAAATCGTGAACATCTCCTATCATCACGACAAAATTGTGTTCCTGCAGTCGAGATGGTCATAGCAGAATAGTGAACGTCCATCTGCAAACGCCCACAAAAACTTAAACATCTGCTGTCACTATAAAATTGTGAACAACTCTTGCAATGGTGGTAAAATTGTGTATATCTTATGCTATCGTAGAGAATTCATTGTCATTTCCCACAATGACGGCAAAATTGCCAATTTTGATTTGACATCTTTGCAGCATTTGTCTTGGCCTGACCCAAAAACATTGAAGACTTGTAGACCCCTACCTTTACTTCATATTGCTAAATAGTTACATTTATGTAACTGCTTTTAAAATATTAATAATTACCGGTATATCAACTAATCGTGTATAATGTAACTTATCTAATTTTCCTTGCTGGTAGGTGACAACACAGTACTCGCCAACCGTCCTGCAGACCATCAGCAACCCTGACGGAACTGTCAGCATCATACAAGTAGACCCCAACAACCCCATCATAACTCTGCCTGATGGAACTACGGCTCACGTTCAGGGAGTTGCTACTGTGAGTTATTAAACTATATTTGATATTTGTGCTATCAACGCCATTGGAATTTTTATGTTCGTACAAAGAAAGGGTATACAACCTGGTTGTTTTACTACATAACGGCAACATTTTGCTAGATAGAAACCCATACCCATAATTGATAACCCTATAAGCAAATGGTATCTGGGTCTAGAATTGGTCCTTGCTTGGAATTGAACCAGCAATCATTAGATTTGAAGGCGTGCACTCAGTCGCATGTGCAGTCAAATAATAACGTTTTACTACTCTAAAGGGGTAATTTTTATCAATTGATATATAGCTGAACTGAAAAAATTAGTCTAGAGACTTGTATTCCAAAGCAATTACAGTATATATTTTATTAATTATATACTGAAACAAAAATTAAGGTTTAACACATCATTTTTTGAGAGGCTGTATGCTTTACCATGTAACTGTATTGTCCCAGATTCACACGGGAGGAGGGGAGTCAGGTACGGTCCATGCAGTTCACACATTAGCAGAGGTGGCTTCAGGGGACGGGGGTGTGGCTGTAGAGCTCAACAACGTCACGGAGGCAACTCTCAACCAGGAGGGCCAACTGATACTGACCGGGGAAGACGGTCACGGTAAGTACCAACATATGTTTTAGTAGTCTGACACGATTTCAGTAACTGGTGCATAAAATTATAGAATAAAAAATAGCATTTGATTTAGCACATTATCCCTCATCTACAGCTATATTAGATAGGTACGAATACCCGTGGATAACCTATAGTTAGGACCCATCAAATAATTGAGAAAACTTTACCGGCTTTGCCAGTGAAGTTTATAACGAGATAAAAAAAGTGTTTTTCTCATGATTAGTTAGCTACAACTAAAAATTGCTGCTCAATGAACAGAGAATTAACAGGCTAATACGACATCTTATCTATACTCTTAGTCTTTGGAACCATCTCAAAGTTGGCAAAACATTTCTATTTACTGACGATTCAGCCTCGATGTAGAGTAACTTAACTTCCGCTTAGTTGACGGATCACCTTCGATAATACATAAGTCTTTGGATATATCATCTGTGTAGAAGTCAAGTCAAATCCTGAGGATGGTACTTTACATAAAATCTTTTTACATAAAGGCGGAAACGTCAGTGGATAGTGTTTAGTTGGTTTTGACTCTGCCTTTGCTATGTGACTGTGAATACATGTCATCTGGTTGACTGTTTGCAGGATACCCAGTGTCAGTGTCGGGTATGATCTCAGTCCCTGTGAGTGGAGGTGGTGGCATGTACCAGACTGTAGTAGCGAACTTCCAACACATACAGACCAACTCTGATGGCACCATGCAGGTCGTCACACCCATCATGCATGTGCCCAAGGTGAGACTCTGATCACAGCATTGGATTTACCAGAACAGATTACAACATTGGATACTGTTCTTCCATTATTTTTGTGACCACAACTTGGCGGCCCCTTTTAAGCTGGATATGAGTGCAAAATAAGTGTCCACAATGCATGGAGAAGGTCCATGTAGCAATGTTTCTGATAAACATATAAGCAGTTTTCTTTGATTCTTATTATCATTGCAGTGGATTATGTACCTTATAATTAGAAGTTTAACTGAAATTAAAAATGTTATGTATGTGGGAGCCTGAGATTTTTGATCGAGCTGAACTCACTTTAAGCTTTCTTTAGTTTTTTATGTGATGAATGTCATATAGTTAATTAACTGTCACAAACGTTATTTTTGAAAATGCAATTTAATATTTAGACTAGCAGTATTAATTCTGACTAGTAATCATTTAAATTGTATAATGTGCTTGTATCACAGCGTCCCAATGTTTTTGCACTAATACCATCATCAGTTTCTTTGGTTATGTGAAAATCATGTATGTTTCCCGTGATTGTGGAAAAATCCTGTTTATATCTTGTGGTCACGGAAACATCAATATCGTCATCTGCGATTGCAGCAAAATCTTAACTGTCTCCTGGGGTTGTAGCGACATCATTGTCTCAGCTCAAGCTAGGTTTTTTTTTTACTTAGCTTGTAGCTCTTTTGAGCTTTTAGGTTAGGTTCAGGTCTAATCTAAAATCAAGTTGCTTGCAAAATTCTAACTTAAATAAATGTATCCACAAACAATCCAGGTCGTAAAATTTTGACATCATTACATATGTTTGTGACATGACAGGTTGAGCCTGGTACTGGAGGCACACAGCAGCTAGTCAATATAGGCGGAGAGCCACAGATGCTACAGGTTTTGTCACTGAAGGAGTCCGCAGCACTTAGCAAAGTTCTGGCTCAGAGTGGGGGAAACATCAAACCTGAGGAGGCTCCTACGATCACTGGCGACCAGTAGCTGTTTTAGGTCAGTAGACATCCTCCGATCCGTATATTTGCCTATTGATACAACTAGACATTCCATCCCCAAAGTTATCGCCGGTTTAAAAACAAAATTAAGATAATAACAGAAAGTGCGGATCTAAATTAATGGGGTTTGTCAAATGCGCCAACTTTATGACTTATTGTAAGCTATCGCATCATTTATGTCATGCTCACGCATTAACTGTCTCAGTAACAAAAGCGAGGGGAAAAATAGATTGTTCAAGGAAAGGCGAGGCCAGTATTTTGAATTGTAATAAGGTGGATAGCAGCTAGCTTACCTTGAAGAAGAGAATTTAGGCCATAGAAAACACAGAAGATACACTGAACACAAGATATTTCGTGCTCCATATTTCTAATTCTATCACACTCTCAGTTTACTCGCAATGGCTTTTAAAAGCTAGCTAGTATTTTGCTCCATTCTCTTTCCAAACATTTAATACGCCTTTAGTGAGTGAGGGACAGCTCTTGTACTCAAAGTTTTTAGTGAATTGTTTGTTACAGGTGCCAATTTAATACCACATTCGTCTTAAAAATCAGCATTGGAGACAAGTTGTCTACATATCAAGTTTCATATTCAGTAGCTGGGATTGTCATTCACCGCTTGGCTTCTGATGGAGAAGTCTGGAGATGGTCTACCACAGCTTAGAGTACTTCAGTTTTTGTTCTATAGTGATGATTTAACAATATACTAATTATATTATTTTATCAGATAACCGACTGTATAAAGTTACTGAAGGTTTGCTTTATGAAATCTGATAAATCGTAGCTATTAATTTAATTTTTTTGGGATTCAAATTTTGTCTACTGTAGATTTTAAAGTTTTTCTGTGTTGGGTGATTTTTGAAACAACAGTTTTTAGGGTCTATATTTTATACTCGCTACAAGATTGGTTTCAGCGACTGTGGCACTCTAGCAAGTGAGGATTACATTCTCAATACCTTTTGCTTTGGGGGAGCGAGCTGGTGTAGTGGTTAGAGCGCCAGACTTCGGTCCTGGGTTCAAATCCTGCCAAATCACCAATGGATTTTATCTAAGTGATAGTGCCGCAACCCCTAGGTCTAGCCTGAAGTAATGTGCAAAACAATCCCGGACTCGTGCCTAGCGTCCTAGAAAAAAAAATACCTATCGCTTTAGTCACTTACAGCCATAGTTAGACAACTTGTACAGTTCAGTGATTAGTTCCTCTCGGGAGTGCCATACCACAGTTACCCTCATTGACTACGGCTCGAAACCAAAAAGTGTGTTTGCGCGAGTGGTTGTGTGTCTGTCCATGGGTTTATTCATTACGGTGTTTCAAAGGCACTCGCTTAAGAGATGAGTGATTTGATTTTTTTCACAGGGCGTTAACTAGTAGACTGTAAAAGGCAGGTCTCCAAAGGATTTTCCAATATTGTGATAATTTATTTTAGATGTAGAAGTTACCTGAAGGTACGAAAATATGTCAAATAACACTTGTAATAAATATATTTACACATACTGTTTAATTATCAATTATTTAAAATGGGGACGCCACTATATGCGTATTTTAACCCAAATATGAGTGTAGGATGAGTAGCGCGATGTGTACTCACATAAATACATATAAAAGATTATAAGTGTTGATCAATTTCGATTGGACACTCCAATCATTACAGGACCCAATAAGCGAATGACGAGGTGACAAATTTAATAACTTCTTGATCAGCATAAGAAGTTATTTGGAAGATAAATGCTACTTTGATCTCCGAGTCATTTGTACTGTGGTAACTATACATACTCTGATGTAATCTTTGGAAAATAACTGTCAGGAAACTTCTAAAACAAAAATCTAAACTTAATTGGTCCAAGTAGCTTACCTCAGTTTGTTCGCAGACTACTTAAGGTTCTCAACAAAAATTACCCTTTGCCCTCATCAATGCATCGCTTATCTCAAAGCATCTTTATGGTCCCAATGTGGAATTAGTATAGGTATACAGGAAATGTATATGTTACATATTGTATGTCGGAAGATTTATTTTGCTACCGATACTAGTCAATGGTTTTGTTACATGCACAACACTATTTTTGTAAAGATTAACAATCGGATAAAGATTCTGTAAAGTTTTATACCATCACAGTGTCATTAGGACTCGCCAATTTTGACTGATTATTCATAGACTTTGATATGAATAGGTTATGAATCGATGTTAAAGCTTTAGTAGTAGGTTATATCATTATGTATTAAAATCACTTTTATATCAGATATGGATTTTATGCATTGTTTTTATGATGCTGTTTTTGTGATGATTTTCAGTTTCACTACATATAATAGTATACATTCATTATATGTAAACCTTACAGCATGATTTATTGCCATTTTTTTCTCTCTGTCAATTTTGTTTTTAGCATTTTTTTTCTTATTCACATTTAGCATGTTTTTGTGTGATGAACTAAATTATATATCTTAAATATTAAAGATATTCAAATTTTTTTCTTTATTATTATTTAGTTGTACATTTTATAGGAGGGACATTTATTTTTCTCATGTAATTCCTACAATTCAAATTTGCTATTTTTAAATGCACTGTTGAATTTGTTTACACCCGTCATAACAAACCTGCCCAACATAATTTCATCTTTGTCCTCATTGAGTTGCTGTTTTGGGAACAATCAGGTAATTGAGCCAAAATTCTACTAGAACATTGTTCGACATTGAGTAGCCTGTAATTAAATTTATCTTTGTACTAGTTGATTAACCCAAGCCTTGAAAATGGGTTGCTCTCAAAATATGAAGGTAACTTACTGGAGAAATACCTATTGTCATTATTGATTTAAGTTATTTATTAGAATATGGTTCTGTAGTTTTAGTCAGAAGAAATGACAGGCATGCTGACAGACCCTTCATTTTTAACAGAATAAATCAATAGGGTTTTTAATCATCATTGCCAAACATCAATACTTTATCTGTTTAAAATGGATACTGCCTTGTTCAAATTTGCATGTTTCTTTAATATTGGGCATTTTTTAGTACTGTAGTGTAACATTAAATAGTACAAATTTGTTATATTTTGTACATAGTTATTTATTGAGATTAATATATTTTTCAGTTCAGTTTTATTTAAATCAAGATCTTGAAACATTTTTGGGAGTTTTTTTGTGTAGGTAAGCTAAAACCAAACTTATTGACCATTCACTTTGAACAACTTCACCATCCATCAGTTTTGAATGTTGTACAAACATTTTATTCTCTTTAAATTTTACACTATAAAAATGAAGGTTTTTTTAATAGTGTGTATCACTAAACAAAAGTGGATGTTGTTTTTGTTCATTGTGAAAAGTCTTTAACAGGGAAATTCACCAAGTTATGTAACAGATATGCATTGTAAATTAAATGTTCCTTTTGAAAGCTGTACATATTTATACCGTAGGAACACCTAGTAACTGTTGCTATTTATGTTGGATGTTTTATTTGTTAGTTAGACGAGTTGCGATGTGCAGTGCAATATTAAAGAATCGATTATATTTTATTTTGTTTTGTTTCATGTGACTGTGTTTTGCCGTTGTATAATATTCCAAATGTCTGTTAGTAATCTTATAATAAAGTTAAGTACCTGTTGAAGGTACCTAAAATTGATGGTGTTATTGAAAACCTGGTTAACCTTTTTGCTGGGAAGGAGCTAGTGGAGTATGTTTTTATCTATGTTGGCACCGATTAAGATCTTGCCAAAAGTATAAGAACAGCTGTATTTGAAGGCCCAAGAGTTCCCAGAGTTTTTACAGGATATCTTTAAAGTGTATATGATGTATATAGACAAATCATCTGTATAAATCAGTTGTAAGTTGTAACCGATTTTTTATTTCACAAAGTTTATTCGGCTAATCACAGATTGTTGTATACTGTAATGTTCTGTTTTCTGTCATTATTTGTTTCTTTGATGAGCCTATGAATTTGTCTTGTAAAAGTTTGTGTACTTTCCAGAAATTGGAAATGTATATCAACATGTTGGTTAATTTCAACTTAAGTTATTTACATTTTAAATTCGGACACAGATTTCACTCCGTTCACAAAACTTATGCATTTTTTTCTTAATGTGACCGCTTATTGACTTGACGTGTTGGGAAAACCTCAGCTATTGAGTTTAGTTTAAAGGTAAGATCAAGTGGAGGAGATAGATTTCTTCCCCTAAAACTGCCTAAATTTTGTAAGCGGAGTTTGATTAATTGCTATGTTCCCAATTCATGTTCTTACCCAACATTGTTCATTAAAGGTGGGTTTGATACTTAGGAAAAGAAATAGTTCCTCCATTGATCCAACAGCGAACAGCGGCTTATTACTCTGTTTCGATAGGATGTTTAATGCACACTACACAAGCACCCTACACTATTTAGGACCTTGGTAATCTTGGCTTAATTTCTTTAAATTTGACTCTCTGACCTGAAATCTTGATTAGGCTACATGCTCAATTGTAGGCTATAGTTTTGTTGCAAAGTCTTAATAAGGAACATCAGTTTATAAAGCCTTTTTATTATCACGTTGGGGTTACGGGATAGATATATCAAACAAATTCACGAGATATTGTTAAAAATAAAATGCTTAGTATAACATGTGTTCATCAAGAGTTGTACCAAAACAGTAGTTCATCAGCTTAATTTAATTTGTAAAAATAAAAATTTTTATCTCAACAATGCTAAGGACAATATTTTAGGCCTCGTATGAGGAATCGTAAGTGTTGTATCTGCTAGTGGGTGGGGTGTCCAGAATAAATAATCTGGCGTGAACTTAATAGGGTTCATTTATTGAGCGGATAAGCAAATACAATAATACATGTTAATGTCTTCCTTTAAACTAGAATACTAATATCACAGAGAAATTCCCATTATTAAAGGGTACAAATTTAAAGGCCTACTAAATGGACCAAGGGTCAGGCAATGTAAATCTCCAAACAGCCTATCACCACATACCTGCTAATAGCAACAGCGGGAGAGTCATGTCCAGCTAGTTGTGTCCTGGACGGTGAGTTGGATGACTCTGAGTGTAAGTTGGTGGTTCTCAAGGACCTACCATATCTAACCTCAAGAGTGGTGGGCTTATGACGTAAATGCTGGTTTCCAGAATGATCTAACCATATTGGGCACTGGATATAAGTTGCAAAATCTCAAAATTGAAAACTATTTCTTAACTTTTTGACTGAGCTCACTGCTTCAGATATATACGGAATCAAACTGTATAATAAATTAACCCATAAGGATAGGCCTACCTGTTTTTGAAAGAATAACCAAGACAACCGATATGAGCCTTTAAATTAGACTAACACAATCGAAAGTCAGGTCAGCACGATATATTGTCGTTTTGCTATTTCCATATCAGTTACGGGAAAAAAGACTCACAACAAATGTATTTCCATAGCACTTCGGGAAAAAGATGAACGATATATTGTCGCATAGCACTGAAAGGGTTTAAGTTAAAAGAAAAGCACCATTGTATTTTGGAAAAAAACTTATAGAAAATAGGACGTTTTGCTCTGGAACTTAGAACTAACAAACTCGCTGATTCAGGTACAAATTTAGACCGGCAGAAACTTATTTACACATGGAACTTGCCAAATGTTTGGATTGAAATATCTAGGCCTATACAAGAGAGAAGAAACGTGTTTTCATACAAATAATTGATACCATAAAAGTTGGGGATTCTGCGTGTGTTGGATGTTGGCTACAGGCCCGCAGGTTGCATGTGATGCACTATGGGCCCGAGAGATAATTTTGCCCCTCTCCATATTAACTTGTGGGAGAACTTCTCTCTTCATTGGGCCGGGCCTATTTAAATAAGCGGCCCAGGTTGGCTACCACTGTCTGATACACACCCCTACCTCCACACAGGGAATCAGTTTAAAATTTAGAATTTAACTTCTAAAGGCCTGTATCCTAGTCCCAAGAAGGCTATGTCTAAATACCTATAACTTAGGCCCACATAGAAAAAATTAGAGGCTATGGAGTGAAAACTACATAAATTAATTGATATCTTTTTTATTTAACTTCTAGAACATACAACAATGTCGTAGCGATGGAAATTTCACAAACGGTGTACCTTTCTATATTGTTTTGAGGATGCTGCGGAAGTATTCTTAGTGGATGTCGTAGACGCTCTGGAGGGCCAGTTCTGGTTTGTCGTAGCCCAGCTTCTCTTTGGTGTCAATGCCCAGCTCATCAAGTGTTGGTTTGACTTGGTTCAATACATACTCCCAAATATCCTTCCTACCTGCTGTCTTGAACTCGACGGTTTCCAGGAACCTGACTGCCAAAGCGTAATCATTAACTCTTCTGCACGCCTTCATCGCTGCAATGACAATTTTAGGATCTGGGACAAGATCCATACCAGCCAGGTCGTTCATAGCTTTGCGAATCTCCCATCCATCGATGTCTGAACGGTTTAAGTAGGCTTCATACCTGGCATCAAACTCCTGATCCGACTCAGAATGATGGGCCATTGATCGGCTGGTAACTCCTAGAGGTGCCTTCGGAAGGTTCTGTCGTAAAACACCTCTAACAGCACTGTGTAGTGCCATTGCTGGTGCTCGAAACATTTTACTTAAAATAACTAAAAACTTACAATTTCAATAATGCACTGCTAGCTACGGTCACAGCAGACAACCTCAAGGGCAAAGTTTTCTCGCAGTCGCAGTGAAGGAAGATGAAGAAGAGTGCAGTGAAAGCAAAAGCAATGGAGGAAGTGAGGAAGGTTGAAAGAATGTATGAGAAACATAGAGAAATGAATGTCAGCTGACTGAGACAGCTTCCATTCTGACTATACAAATGAATGTCCCATTGATTATTTTAATAAAATGTTGATTTGGCATTAATGCAATTTTTTATGACTACTTGTTCATGGGACTTCTTTTTGGTTGGTAAAAGTTAAATTCAAAACATTACTATGGTATAAATCTTTTATATGTTAACCTATTTTATAATTATAACGCAATTTAAAAAATTCAAAATTGTTGAATAGTTTCAAATTAACATATATACCAAATAAAAAAAAAAACCATAAATAATGAATGTCAATAATCAATGTGTTTTTTAATTCATTTTGAGTTAGTAGAGATTCTCGGTTTCTAGCTAAAAAAAATTGTCTGTTTTATGTATTGAATATGTACAGGCTCTTAGGTTTTAAATATTTGTATCCTAACATATTATTTTATTATTAATAATGACTGTAATAGATTGAATGTATTGCTCTGAGCTTGTTCTATGAGTATATGTTTTGTATGTATGTTGTATAATGTTTTATGAGTGAATTTATTGCTACTAAAAAATTACATCAATTTACAATACATCAATTTATTTAAAAAAAAAATAAAGATACTTAAATGTTGTTGGATCGTAAATGCATCACCATCCAAACAAAGAGAATTACAATTTTTTGATTGTACAGTACCATTGGTAATACTTTGATTGATTATGTGGCCTAAAATTTGTTTAATTCAGTAAAATCTTGTAATATATTTATTCAATGGTAAAATGATAACACCTATCCTTAGAGTACTTAGAAGCTATATCGCTTAAGTAAAGACTATGAATAAAAGTAGGACCGTCACGCTCAGTGAAAAAAAATGTTTACAAGCACAAGCCGACGAGCCTAACCTCAAAAACACAATACAAACTACAAACACTTACTCTTACTAAGATACTTGTAATTGCAATTGTCAATTGACAGTAATTGAAGTTTTGTGTATCAATCAAACATACATACCTGCTACTTCTTATAAAATAGACAGGGCATATTATTATAAAACATGCACAATTGTTTGTTATCGTATTGTTTCATTTTCATTTTAAGTATTTTTGTGTGTAAGGTAAGTAAGAAAAACCTACGGAACAGTTTCTCTGTCTCTCTTTTCTGTTCTAGTAAACAATATAGGCCTAAAACATTAGGTACTAACGGTACAGTTTCTTAACTGGGCTATGCTATCGATTGAAACTATCGATTCGATTAGTAAACTTTCATGCGATTTTTTCACCATCAGCAAGTTTGGTTGGTTAGGTTAGGTTATGATAGTTAAATTTTATAATAGATATATTTAAAAATATTGATTATTAATCAATATTTTCAATTTGATAGTTTCAATCGATATTAGCATAGCCCAGTTAAGTTAGTATGCTAACTGTCTCCCAGACGTGTCTAGGCATCATCATGCCTTGCGGTCACGGAAACCTTTTCATCATTGTTAGCGATTGCTGAAAAATATTCATATCTTCTGCGGTCTTCTTGACATTATTATATTTGTTGACACATGCCATAGGCTATCTAGTAGAAGCTCAAGTTATTTTCTGTAACATACCCCGATTCTCAATAACAATTGGGCTTTACCGGTACAGACTAGGCCTAAGTTTATCCAAATTTTTGATTATCCGAAAGGGGTAGCCTACCGTTCCAATTGATTCGGGTGATTGGAGTTTTTAACCCTCCGAGTGTCATGCGTCGCTGCAGCGACGCGTAACGCACTTTGTATAGTGTCGTGCGTCGCTGCAGCGACTCGCGAACACTGTTTACGGCGAAGGCTCTATGACTAACTGAATCGGACTGTACTGGATTGAGTTAGGTATCGTTCTGTCCGTAATATTCTAAGCTTTCTCCAGAGGTCTGTCTCTAAGCACTATTCATTTTAGTTCCGAAAATATTGTAGCAGACAGCTGACTGAGCTGACGTGCGTGTATTTGTAAACAGCTAGGTTACCCTCGGACCGATGACTGATGTGTTTTATTACGTTTATCATTGTTTTAGTGTTAAAAATCAAAAGTAGTGATATACGTGGTGCATTATAAGAAGATTTAAGTGGTTTTGAAGTGCTGGTTGATGATCCTGAAGAAGTAGGTAGGCCTAGTGATATTGATGTAAATTATCAGCCAGATTCCTAGCTATGGTTGGGCTATGCATTCTTAGCTAAACGCTATGTACTGAAATCTGTTTTTTGCCCATAACTTTTTTATTTGCAAATCTACTTCCTTATATTATTATAGATTTGTAATCCTCATAAAATTTAGAACAAAGTGGCTATTTTCAAATATTTATAGGCCTATAATTTATACAATTTCATTGAGCGCAAACTTATTTTTTTTTGAAAATTTTCGAAATTATACATTTTTTTACCTAAAAAATTTTTTTTTTTTTTAATCTTCCTTATGTTTTATATATAATATTGAAGCCCAAGATTTTCCAAACAAAATGGTATATAGAACAGTATAATTAACATTGTTTTTAAGCTTCTCAGATCAGTTTTAATAAAACCTTGCAAATGAGCAAAAAATAGGCTGACATTAAGGCCAAAACACGTGACACTCGGAGGGTTAATAGTTAACTTACTGTTTTAACATAAGTACATGTAACAAGGGTATCGATGGTATTTGAAAATGACCCTTGTTATCATAGGCTACTTGTACTCGAGGATCTTTTTATAAACGTTCCACTAACTTTAAGCATTTCTGTTTTCAGAGTGCTCATACCAATAATTGGGCAGTATTGGTAGACACTTCCAGATTTTGGTTTAACTACAGGCATGTAGCTAACGTTTTGTCCATTTACAGAAGTGTTAAGAGACTTGGTATACCTGACAGGTAGGTACCAGTAATAACAACTTCCCATAGGCCAATTAAGTTATAGACTACCAATACTTAGCTTGTTTGAATGTGTATCATTGAAATTAAGTTTAGGGATTTGAAAATAAATTCTTATCACAACAAAATTCAGAAAGTGAGGAACGTTTTTGTTTGACGTCAATAGAGGAGCTCTAATCTCGCAATTTCTTATAAAGACGTGTTCACCTCCTCAATGACAGTCCACCCGTCAAAACGGAAGTGTAATTTTTTTTGCTCGTTACGCCAGTGGAATTTTTGTTAAGAAGTAGGCCTAGGCCTATAGTCAAACGCTTTTTAAGGCAAAGAGGTCTAAACCCATTAAAAGTTTTGTCGATGTGCCGGGAATTGAACCTGTCCCTCCTGCACCAAAGTCCAAAGCTCTAACCACGAGGCTATTAACACGACCAATTTTGTTGTCCGTTGTGTCACAATACTGTAGTTTGAAACGTGTGCTGCAAATGAAAATCCCGCTGAGTTAGTTGTGAGGTGCGGTCTGTTTATGGTGACCATAAAATTAAAAATCCTAAAGGCCTAGGAAATTTTATTGTTAAGTGAGAGGGAATTTTATGAAGACAACGCAATTAAGTTTTATCTAGAAATGGTGCATACAGTTTTAAATCATCCAAACAAAATTTGACACCCAAAATTTTGTTTTGCATTATATTTCCCGACCTTACACGGCAAATCGCTCTCAAGATATCATTAATTCATTCTGTTTTGAAATTCCCTTTTACCACCTTACAGTCCAGTAGCTCCGAATGACTGTAGGCCTATAACAAAATCTATACATTTAAAATTATCATCACAGTCATTTATTATTGTGGAGTTTGCAAATGGCAAAATTTTAGGACTTTTAAATTTTAAATCTCGTTAGCTACTGTGATACCTAATTGCATCAAATGGTGACTCTGTAAAAAATTATTTGGCTTAGGGCCTAGGCCTACCTACTTTAGTTGTGTTTTAAATGTGTGTTTTTTTTAATGTCCCAGGACACTAGCAACGAGCCTGGGATTGTTTTCACACTATGCCTACTGTACAAGCTAGTCCTAGGGGTTGCGGCATTATCACTTACATAAAATTCATTGGTGATTTGGCGGCATTTGAACCCGGGACCTCAGGGACCGTAGTCCCGTGCTCTAAGTTTACCACTCGACCAGTTCTCCATACATTTTAAACTTGTATAATAGATTCCTTCTTATACAAGTTTTGTTTTTATTTTTTCAAACAGCAATAGGGGAAAGGACAAAATATTATTTGTGGTAAAGAATAACTTAGTCCGCATCAAGTGCTAGAACGTTAAGTTAGAATGTTATTGTTGTCTGATCGTTATTGTCATTCTATCTTATAGGCTTGGTTTAAAATTAAACTGATTTCCTCTGTGCAGTCAAATAATTCTGATGGTCGCAGACGACATGGCATGTAATCCTCGAAACCCCAGACCAGCTACTGTGTTCAACAACGCCAATCAACACATCAACGTTTACGGAGATGATGTAGAGGTGGATTACAGAGGTTATGAGGTAAGTGTTTTCCTCCCTGGGATTAAATATTTTAGAATTTTTTTAAATTTTTTTTGTTCAATTTGACACATTTTCTCTGATTAGTGATTACAAATTTTGATTTGCCATCAGAGTTTGATGTATCGTCTAGGCTTACATACCAAATTTCCAGTCAAGGCTTTGACTTTGTAATCCACTTCAAGAACGAGTCAGGGTTGTGACAGAAAAGACTATTTGAGGAAGAAGGGATAAAGTGTAAGCTCTTGATTATCTGTAAGTTTATTTTCCTCTTCAGGTCAAACTTGGTACAGATAATGCAATTAGATGTGTATTTAATCGTCCCTTAAAAACCTAACCTAAATGATGCCGCAGGTTACAGTAGAGAATTTTGTGCGTCTGCTGACTGGTCGTCTACCACCTGACACGCCCAGATCCAAGCAGCTTCTGACAGACGAGGGCAGCAACGTCCTGGTCTACCTGACGGGCCACGGAGGCGATGGATTCCTCAAGTTTCAGGACAACGAGGAAGTCACAAGTCAAGAGCTGGCTGACGCTCTGGAGCAGATGTGGCAGAAAAGAAGGTCTGTTATCATTTTTGTAGAATATTCAGTAGTTTTTTTTGTTTTTTGAAAAACTTGAATTATATAAATTAAATAATGTCCTTGCATGTTGAGGCTCATTCCTGGACTTGGATGTTGATTCACAAGTTCTAGCTTTTGTGTGTTTAGGCTAATCAATTGTGCTTTTAGAAGCATTTGCGTGCTTTGCTTTTGTTCTTTGATTTGTGCTGTTACATTACTAATATCGGTATTTACACAAATTCAAGGTTCCAAACAAATTTTGAAAAAATATTTAATTTTGTATTTTTTGGCCTATTTTTTAGCACTTTCTTCCCCTGCAACGTTTGGAAAAAATCCCATTTCACCCTGAAAAAACCTTTAAAAAATTGTGTTTTTAAAAACCAGTTTATAAATGCAGTTTAAGTAATGCGAATTTATTAGTAAATATACTAGGACCAGGACCGTAATCATAAATATGTACCTAGATATTAAAGTATTAAATTAAGAGTTAAGTCCACTTTTCTATTTTACAGGTATCATGAAATATTCTTCATGATTGACACCTGTCAGGCGGCGTCAATGTATGAGAAGTTCTACTCACCAAACATTCTTGCAGTAGCTAGTAGTTTGGTCGGGGAAGACTCCCTTTCGGTAAGTTAATAATTATATTTTTTGATTATTTCTCGCTGTCTGATAAATTGCAGTGATGCACTTTGAGTTGAAAAGTCAGCAAGATGTTCTTCAATTAGTAACTAGAGTTAAAAACCACGTAAGGTCTATAGTCGGTATGCCATATTTTTTCACTGGCCTAGAATGGACATAAAAGTGACTTAATGTCATGATAGTGACTGCCACCTTCTGGTGATGTCATGACTCTGACTGACACTTTCTGCTAATGTCATGATAGTGACTGCCACCTTCTGCTAATGTCATGATTCTTACTGCCACCTTCTGCCAATGTCATGATACCAAACATAAGTTGTCTATTAAAGAGTGTACATAGAAAGCAAATTTGATATTCTTACTTAGTTGTAGTGTTTGTGAAATCTCTCCATATGATTAGTATACAAACTTACTTCCCCTATTTTACCGCTATGTATGCTTAGAAATGATTTTCTAAGTGGCATTGTTCCAGTAACCTTGCTTGATGTTTCAGCATCACGTGGACCCAGCCATCGGTGTGTACATCATTGATCGATACACTTACTATGCACTCGCATTCCTAGAGAAGGTCCACCCTGACAGTGCCAAGACTATGGGAGAGTTTGTAAGTTAAATATTTATTTATTTCTCATGCATGTAAATGGAGAAAGTACGGTACCTATATTGTTTTCGTCAACATTTTCAAATTCAAGTTTAGGGTGGATATATCCATTTTGGGTCACCCTGAACCCATAAAGTGGTTTTCGTAGTGATGTTTGTGTGTGTGGATGTGTACGGTGCTACAGACCTCTGGTCCGATTTTCATGAAATTTTGTGTGTTGGTACTAATCCATGGTCTGTCTCTACAGGGTTTTTTTTTTTAATTTTTTGAAGTTTTGACTTTTAATGGTGTTTTTTCCATAAAACACATAAAATAAGAAAAAATTTTTTTAACATTTTATTAGGTTACAGCCGGTTTACCTTAAACAAAATGGTACAACCCTAATGCTGTAAAAATTATGGTTCAAAAGTTTTCCCATAAAATATTAATTATAGCTACTCCCACCGCTTACCCATGATAAAGGTTGTTGACAAGATAATGGGAGAAAATATGTGTCAGATTGCTGATAAAGTTTGTTAGATTAGAAATTGATTTTTAACCTCACGGTACTAACAGTCATTGCCTTTCTGTTTTGATTTTGTGTTGGATTGACGAATAGGATAAGATAATTGTGAAACTGAAATTTTGAAGTATTATAAGCCTTTGCTTCAACGATTTTGTACTTTTTCATGCACAAAGATAATTATTCTATTCCCAATAGACAATGTCCAGTAGCATATCAAGTGTCAAATCAAAATCCTTTAAGTAATGAGACCTGTAATATTATATTACTTTCTTAGAGTGATCTCAATTCCACGTCAGCAAAAACGTTTGCTAAAAAAATTGTAAATTCTTTTCTTGCTTAGATAACTATATAGCAGAAGAGGACATTAAACCTTAAACTTCATTCAGAAACAATTGAAAAAACAATAATATCTCTTGTGTCTTATAAATTCCAGAATATTGGTATGATTTATCTAATGCTGTTGTATCTCGGTCGCAAGTAAAGTCCAAGAGTATTTGATTTGGTCACGTCATTCACCAAATATTAGAAGAATTATGCTAAAAAACTTAAACAACTGTTTACAACTTACAACTAAATAAAAATGCAAAAACAACTATTGATAAGGCCTACACTTAAATAAGGGACGGTGAATTCACTACAGTTGGACATTTTTTGGAGGTCAAACCTTAACCTCTCCTACCTGTTTGTGTCCAATGAGACACTTACTAGCTAGTACTATTTTATCCAATTTTATTTATTTTTTTATTTTTTTTTTTAAATAAAAGAGGTTGGCGGCCTCTTTTAACCTTGCATTTGCCCGTCCACATAGACTAAAGCGCCCGTGCGTGGATCGTTTACAGCAAAGCAAGGAGTGAGCCCGTACAGTACAAAGGTGAACTGTACTAATAAAATGTTATCGGCAGTGACCAGGATCCGAACCCACGACATCGCTGCCTTGGGCCCGAAGTCCGCGACGCTACCGACTGAGCCACCGACTCACTAACTTACAAGGCTCATTATTACTTTACAAGGCTTATCACTAATTTTAATGATTGCTCCATATAGCTGGCCGTCTGTCCCAAACGAGTGTGTATATCTACGGTTGGAGTCAGGAAAGATCTATTTGCCAGAGATCCTCACACGGTTCCGATTACTGACTTTTTCGGCGCTCTCCGACCCGTTGAATTCATCTCTACTGACAATTCTATTAATTTGACGATTCCTGAGAAATTTGAAAGGTAAGGAAGTTATATTTTTTAATTTTCAATTGGTTATGTATCAGGTATTTAGTAGCAAAAATGGTGATAATATAACTTCCTGTTTGTAGGCGAGTTATTGTAGTTATATCTGCCGTGGAAAAAATTGTTAAAAATTCAATCACAGCATTTTGAAAAGTATTTACTGAAATGATAAAGTTGAAATGCTCGTATCTTCGTAAGTATAATTGAGGTGTTGATATTTTTATTTTTATTTCCCATATAGGGAATAAGCAATTTTTATTTTTGAGCTCTATGATAGGTTTGATATTTCTGTAGTTATCTTGTTATTGTGATGCAATCGAAAATCGTTAAGGTTCTTCTGGTACTAGAAAGATGTAAAAACAAAAAAATGAATCAAATAACAATTTGAGTAAAAAAATGTTCCGCCTAGAAGCTTGGACAGGTTTAGCCTAGATATAGTTTTCAGTGAAGTATGTTAGTACCATTGTTTCTTTCTACATTATGAGTACAAATGATTTTAATTAAATTTCTTTACAGCCATCTACAACATTAAGTGCAACATTAAGTGCGACATTAAGTGCATCTACAAAATACACTACTAGTTACACACTCTACATAAATAGCTATTAGGGATCTTAAATCAGCACACAGAAACATAAAATAATTAAAATGATGTTCTTTCAGGAAACAGCAGCCTGAACTACCAAAGAAAAAATTTGTTTATGCATCACAGTTTCCTAATGTCGCTAAGTCAAAAGTTGAACTTTAAACTAGTTTTTTTTTAGATGTGATCATGTACAAATTGTAATGTATTTATGTGCATTTTCATTGTGAATATACCATTTTTTAATGTAATTTAGGTCCATGTCATTCATGTAAAATTGTCATATTTAGTTTAGTTTTTTTTTAGTTACGATAATAACAAAAGACTATTTGCAAATCTGTGAATTATCCTGAACTAAAAGTTTAATGGTTGTATGCTGAAATAGAAGAGTAATTTGTTTTTATCACAGTAATAACTTTAATGAGGTATGTTTTTCATAGAGATGGGTTGGTTTTCAAATCCAGTTGTCGGTTATATAGGTTTTTAGCAAATTAGCCAAAATGGAAAATTGTTGGCCAGTTGATAATGTTTGATTTGTTTTAACAGTTGCCACGCAGTAATTTTGTGACGAATGCAGGAGATGATGCTCTTGATTTTATGGCGATCGCATAAGACATTGACAATAGTCTTGGGATCCCAGATTATAGTCATGATGAAATTGTGATAAATTACACTACATTAAAATTATGATTACTAATGCTACCACTGTTTTTCAAAGTCAAAACCAATGATTAATTTATTTTGGCTTAAAATAGTTTTGTTGAACAGTGCAAATCACAGTTTTGTTAAGCTGTGTGACGTTTGAAATTTTGTTCCATTCTAATAGTTTGAAATTAAATTTATGAACATAGAAGAGATGACGTAAGAAATAAAGGCCGGCACCTAAGCAATTTTCGCTGTAAGTGGCAGAGTTAGACCTCTAAAACTACCTAAAAATTTGATTTAAATTTTAAATACAAATATGTATTAAATGCAAGTATGCATTCGCAAAACCATTGCCGATTACCAAAGAGAATTTTTTTTGTAAATTGTGCTCGCTTAGTTTATGAAAACATTGTCACTAAAGCTTTATTACTTTTGCCATTTGCTAAATTTTTTTTTTTATTAATTGATGGGACAATTATTTCATGTGTACTCAAATAAATACTAGTGTTGGTAAAGCTTGGGGTTTAACCCTAGTTATTGGTGAAGTTGTTATAAACGACAGATACAGGCTATCAATTAATCAATAAAGTCGCAAGTACCTAGTCTAAGAATATTGTGTAATAGAATGTAATTTATTTATTTATTTTTATTGTGTAATTGTATTATTTTCAGTTTAATATTGAATAAAATACATTTGACACAATCAAAACATTTTTCAACTAACCCAATTCCACAAAGCTTCTACGTCACTAGAAATAAAGTTATATTGACTCCATAAATACTTATTTTTGGATTGTGTTGAAGAGATTATGTCAGAGGGATTTACAACATTTAGGGAAAATACTTAAAGGAAAAGGGACTTTCATACCCCTAATTTCCCTTTGTTCCAAGCACACAAACACGTTTCAGGTAACACACAATAAACTTTATTTTTTGCCCTCCCATGTTGCAAAGAAAAATGAGGTAGATACGTTTTATAGAAAAATAATACTGTATTTCTAATCAAAGTGTTTTTCCTTAAAAAAACTATCTTAGATTTCTAGAAAAGGAAAGTAATAGTTACAAAATGATAGCTGTGAAGTAAAGGTCTATGAAACCTTTGTGAATGATTTTCTTAACAGTCAGGACATGAATAAAGTAAATGTGTTGGTACTTGATAAGAAGTTTTTAAAATTTAAACAGATAATGAGGTTATGTTTATGCGTTCAGTACATCAATATCTGCATGGACCAGTACCAGGGGATACTTCTTTTTCACAGAATTCTGAAACAGAAAAATTTTCACTAGCTTTTTAATACTCATTTCTGTACGTAAAGATTTGATTGATACTGATGCAATTGCTATGAGGATATCAGGCGTCTTCTCTGGTATGTATGAAACACAAACCTTATACTACACACAAATTTGAATACTCAACTGTCACTTTAAGAATATATTCAATCGAGGATTTATACAGGGTGTCCCATAAGTAGTACAAAGAATTCAGGAATAGTTTTACTGGGTGAAAATAAAACGAACATAAAAATAAATTTGTTTCCAAAAATCCTTCCTTAGCAAGATATCCACCATTTGGTTTTATTGTTTTAAATTTATTTCTCAAAAACTATTTAAGATATCTTTAGGAATCTTGGTACACAATTGAGTCAATTCATAATGTATTAAAAAAAAATAATTACAAAATATTTTTTTTTTAATGGCGGCTATTTTAAACTTTATAGCTTAATCCTAAGTTGCTAAAAAAAACGGCTAATTGTATAAAAAAATGCTAAGAAATTTTTTTTAAATTTCAAATTCCCTATTAAATGACATTAAGTTGAAAAAAATTTAATTACAAATAGCTGAGAAATAGATTTTTAGTTGTACAGGCCAGGCAAAAAAGGCCTTGCGGTCAGGGTTGGCCTCATTTCGCGGCAAAAATTGATTTGGGTTTTTTTGACCCAATAAACCTATTCCTGAATCCTTTGTACCTACTTACCGGACACCCCGTATATTAGCAACACTGTGAACAACGACAGTGCCCACCATTCAATCTGAAGACACATTTCCCCCCATCCCTCTTCCCATCCTTAATCTTCCTCAGTGACTGTTAAACATTCTGATTTTCTTGTACTTTGTGTTAAGTTTTGTGTTTGTTATGCCACAATAGACTCTTTCCCATTCAGAAAAGCCTGCCAACCCCAAAAAAATGTTTAAAACCTAGACTCTTTTTAATGTTACAGTGTTACAGTAGAACCTCTTTAATCCGAACTAATTGGGACCAGGGGTAGTTCGGACTATTGAATAGTTCAGATTACAGAACATATTGTTGTTTTTACATAACAATAGCTAAAACATGGCTAAAATTGATCAACATTAATTTGGGAAAAGTGAAAAAATGTTTTATAAAGTAAAATATAATGTTTATTTAATACAGTAGTAAACATGGTGAATAAACAGTACTGTAAATTAAATACAGTATACAATAAAGAACTGCTGTACTGTGTATAGAGAACAGCAATGAGGAGTTCGGATTAGTGGACGTTCGGATTACAGGGGTTCGGATTAAAGAGGTTCTACTGTACTTCCTTACCGTATTAAATGTGTGTTTTCTAAATAGTTGCCAACGGAATTTCTAATATGAAAATACCTCTCCCCTAACATATATTATAGCCTATACTACCAGCCATTCTGCACCATCTATTTTATACTTACTGACTTTCCCTGAGGTCCAACCAATTTTTTCATTGTTTTTCTCATTTTCTGCCTTCAGCCAATCGTAGAGGGGTTGGAAGAATTGTAGTAGTGCAGTAGCATCTATTTTCCTTTGTCCTGTGATAATCTCCAAGGCATCCTGCCAAGTTTTAGAGGCTCCCAGCGACATCATTTGTCTGTAGAATCAATCTTGAGGGTTAACAAAATTAAGGATACCTTAAACTGCACTGGCCATTAGAAAAACTACTACACTATTTAGCAAAGATGGACAAAGGATATCCTATTGTTATCCAAAAGCAATGTAACATTTAATAATTGTTTCAGAAGTTTTGGATGGAACTATGTAATGTTTCTATTTCTGAATGAAATTGAATTGAATTGAAACATTTCATTTGATGAGAAGCTAGCAATTAAGTCAATGAGTGTATTGCTTTTAATTCTGAATAGATAGGATCGTAAATCTTATATTTGTTTTGTAGTTCCAAAGTAAAATGATAAGGTTCAATATTGTAAGACTTTAGGCTGAACTACAGAAAAAAACCTCCAAATAAAGAGGGGGGGCATTTTTTCCACACGCTCGACTAATATACTCTGGTTTGATGTGTCGATATGATTTTAATATTTGTGTATGTTGCACTGTATTTGCGGGAAAGCAAGCTGGTCTAGTGGTTAGAGCGCGGGACTCCGGTTCAAACCCTGCCAAATCACCAATGGATGTTATCTAAGTGATATCGCCGTAACCCCTAGCCTGAAGTAATGTGAAAAACAATTCCGGGATCGTGCCTAGCGTCCTAGGACAGAAAGAAAACAAAAACTGTATTTGTAATCTCATAATTAAAAGTTGATTCCATTTAATTTGAGTTTATTTAGTACAGTTCTTTGACGATTGGAGTGTGTAGACTCAAGCGCATTATTTAATCTGATCACCAAAGCAGGGTAAGTGTAGAATGAAGGGAGATGATCTTACTGACTAAGACCAGCTGTTTCTGGGCCATTTATTAAAGCCCAGAGACCATAGACAGTCGGGTCAGGTTTCAAACCAAGCTCAATTCATAGTAGCTTTGTGGATATAGTGCTTGCCTGGTAATCAGTAAGCCGCCGGTTCGACCTGAGAAAATTCAGTATAGCATTTTGATGGTTTGAAACTAGACCCAGCTCTTCCTGATCATTGGGATTTTATCAAACGGTCCTGATCTTTGTTAGTAACAAAGCTATCATTTTATTCATCATACATTCATCCCTCCGCTCAGCTTTGTCTTAAATCTTAAAATACACAACCTGGTGTTTAAGCGACGTAACCATCTAAAATCCAATACAAAAATGAACTTTGGATGAGGTTTCAGATGGCTATTTGTGTATCACTCACACACATTTCACATCATAAGACCTCAGTTACTCACTTAAGTTTCTCCCCGGCTGCCTGGTTGCCAGATATGTCACACAAGTAAAGCGGTTTTGAGTCGGGATTGTTAGGATCGAACTGGCCAGCCTCTATACAGAGTGCACGGTGCAGCTGGTATTGAAGAATCACATTCAAGAAGTATCTGGAACATTTAAAAATTTTTACAGTCCAACAAGTTACGGGAGACGATTATGATGTCTTTGCGATTGCGGGAGATATACAGGATTACGGGGATCATGGGAGCCGATGCTGACGTTTTCGCGATCGGGGTAGATGTTGGCATTTTTTCCATGATCACAAAAAAAATTGTAATGTCTTCATGATCGGGAGAGATGTTAAAAATTTTGCAGCGGGAAGTGAGGACAATGTTATCGTATTCGCTGGAGATGTTCAAGACTTTGCCACGATCGCGGGAGATGATCACAATACTGCCGCAATGACTAATTATAGTTAAGATAAAATTATGATAAATGCACACTACACCAAATTTATGATTACTTAAGCTAACTCTGATTTTCTACTGGCAAGTTCTCAATAAATCTTGGGATATTTAAGACTATAATCAAGTAGGTTTGAAGTACATTACACTGTCATCTTAAATAATAGTTATATGATACTTACTTTACGTATTCCTCGTCGTTGTCAACTTGATGTTTTGCGCCGGCGTCAAAATCTTGTTGTCCACGATCTACAGGTGGGGCAACCCCTTGAAGTTGAGACCTAAACATTTAATCAAAGTTGTAATTCAGCTGAGAATATCAACAGTAAATTCAGAAGACAACAAGCTTTCTATAAGTCTTTTGTCATAATATTGTATGAAATGTTATCCTGGCTTGATATTTATATCATTTAACTTTGAAAGGAATTTAATTAACTACCTATCTCTGTATACAATTCACTATTGCCATTTTACAATTAAACATGTCACGTTAAATCTAGAGCATTATTTAACTTATTTTTTAACAAGTAAATAATTTTTTCATTTGGTTTCTCTAACCTGATGTTCCAGTATTCACAGTTGTAGTTTTCCGGAGTAATTTTTCCCTGGAATATTCTCCAACGCCACAAGTCCAGACTGTAGGCGTAAGGCAAGAACAGGATGTCGTACAAGGCTTGCTGTTGAAGGTAATTAAGCTCCTGTTTTTTGTCTGATTGCCAGTTAGCGTCTAACAGACCAAGGGACTTCAAGTGAGTGGGGCAAGTAACATACTGGTTCAGCAATTCTCCCAGGGAGTCTGTGAAACCTGGAAAACGTGAGAGCTTTAGATACTTATTACCACTACTAATGCCATGGCCTTGAAGGTCAGCGTTATCAGATAAAACCGTTTGTTATTGGCAGGATTTGAACCTGGTACCTCAGGGACTGAACCCCTGTGCTCTACCAAGTTCTGCTCTACCAACTCTACTAGAGCCACTCACACTTAGAGTAGTAGAATTATCAAACAAGCCTGCAAGTATGAAATTTAATTGGACATACATCAGGATACATATTTATAGGCGAACATGCGAGTAGAGGTGTGATGAGTGAATGAAACTATTGTTTTGTTAATGACTAAGATCAGCTGGTATTTTAGCTAGGACTATTTAATAAAAAACCCAATAATATAGGTTGGCTGAGCCAGGTTTCGAAATAATAAAAAGCTATAAGCTAATGCCTTTTCTTTGGATTAAACCGGCAACTTTCTGATTTTTCCAACTGTTCTTACAACTAATTTTTTGTCAAGTCTCATCATTGAGGTTATAATTTTACCTTCATTAGGCGATCTCTGGAGCAAATAAGGCAAGTCCTTCCATGCCATGAAGTTTTCAATCGTTCCCATCTCGTGGTGAATTCCTCCTAAGTCTTCCAGAGTAGGAATAGTGCAGTATTTTATCCTGAAACGTCAACAGAAACATTTTACAACTGGGAGTGTATTATTATTTTGTGAAATAAACTACTTAGTATTTTAAGAAGCCTTGACTCCTATATGCACTTACAATACAACTAATTCTTTGGCATTTTCAAAGGCATAATTATTTACAAAATCAAATCTAAAAAGAATGTATACATCCTGTGTTATCTAGTGGATTGGGAAGAGAAAGTCAAATTAGTTTGTACAAAAATCAAATAACATAAAGTTAAATTTTACTTTTTGGATAGACTTGCATTCGTGTTAAAATCATTTAGTCAAAAACTAATACAATTTTATTTTTATCCCTAACCATATGTTATAGCCCATTCAAATAACTTACGCGGTTTGAGGGGAAGTTCCCCCGCTATTTTTTTACATAATGTATATGTTGAAGCTGATTGATGTTTTTGACACACATCAGCTGTTAAGCTATTGTTTTAAAGGTAGGATCAAGTGGAGGGGATCGATTTCTTCCCCTAAAAACGCCTACATTTTGTGAATGCAGTATAAGATCTAAAGTAATGAAGTATCTAATTACCGGTATGTGCATATCATAATCATTCTCACTCAAGCGCAAGTGCAATTGTTACATTATACTTCACCTGTAATCTCTGCCATTGTAGAAGTCATATGACTCCTCATCACAATCAATGTCAACACCAGCTGGTCTCTCAAAGATTGAATCCTTCCAAAACTTTTCTGTCATCTTGCTCAAGCCCAGAGACAAGAAGAACTTTTCTGCTGTCTTAGCCATCTTCAGACCAGTGTAGTTCTGTTTTGAAAATACTTGTGTAAAACTTTACCCAGTAAGAGAAATGTATAAATTATTTAGTCTTTAAAATATTTTTTGTGTATAGAAATAGTAGTTTATTAGCAGTAGATTAATAATATAAGGAAGAAAAACAATATAGCAACATATTTTTTAATTCCAAATAGACCACAAGAGGAAGTTGAAAAGCATATGGGCAAAGTAAAATTATGGCAAATTTGCTAAAACCTGGTTGGATATTAGGCTACAGATGTCCACTGAGCTAGTAACTGGAGTCAGCACTGAATGAGAGAATTTCGAAACGTTGGCCGTGGCCGCCATTTATACGAAGGGATACATAACATTGGAACTATAGGGGAATAGAGAAATGTAATAAATCCATGAACCAATGAGGTGGTTGATTCCCCTTAGTTACCAACATTACAAAATGTTATCGAGTCTTAATTTTCTAGCAGAGTTTCCATCCAAGTGCTGTCTCCACTTGTATTTCTAGCTCAGTTCAGTTGTCTCAGGTTCTAATGTTTCTGTGATCTTACATTTTGTGTGGGAAATGGCTATAAATAATTTGTAATAACTTCTATTTTATGTCCTACTTGATAAACTAATAATAACCACTTAAGGCATTAAAAGAAATTTTTGACTTTTCAAATATTAATAGAAATAGCTATTAATAGAAAGAGATATTATGTGACGCATGTGAAACGACAAAGCTAGGTTATCAAAACAAGAGCCAAAAATGTCTAACCTGTGCTTTCAGCTGGGGTGATACATCTACAGAAGGAACATCTGGGAAGGGAGCTGTGATGCTATAGATGCTGATGCCATCCATCCCCCAGATAGATCCTGCAAAATTATTTAGACTAAGAATTTGATTTGGGGTTCAAACGCAACAGAAAAGGTAAAGGATTTCTTCCCAATTGACTAGAAACATCACTTTGCTAGGATTTGCACACAAGACCTGGTCAAGGCCGGATTCAAATTCTCAAATCAATAGTAATGTATCTAGACTGATAAGACATATTGCAGTAAAAATACTGGTAAACCGGTAAACCTATAGCTCAAGCAAAGTAGTTACACAGAGAAGGAAAGTACAGAGAAAACTTGCTAATGGGTCGACCGTACGTTTCCAGCTCTAGTATGATGTGCAGGTCTGCAGGAAATATACTTTTGACGAGCAAGGAAGAGCATGCAAGAATGCATGGAAGAGCGGTAAACATTGTTCGGAAGTTCCAATCTCGTAGGGCACAGGGTCTTCCTCCAACGTTAAAGCCGTACGTAGTATGTGATGGTGAGGGTTGAAAGGAATGTAGGAGGGTTAGGAGAAGTGACAGTGTTGGACTTAGCCCTAGACACCAACTACTAGTGCTAACTACCAAATGAGTACACCATTGAATGTTTTCTGTGTACCATCTCTGTTGTAATTATTTCCTCGACTTTCATATTGCAGCCCATATGTCAGGTTTCACATATTTCTGTTCAGTTATGCTAGCATAAATATTTGTAGGCTGGAGGTGCAGGTTTTTTTAAATCGTTATGGCTGATATATTGGACTTTGGGGCTTAATCTTAAAGAGTTGGGTTTCAGTTTTAAGTCCAAATTAGATATGATTTTTTTTAGACGTACCTCAAAATAAAGAAGTCCGTTCTGCCTCAAGAAACATAACACCTTTACACAATATACACAAAAATTTGGATACATCACTGAGACACTCGAAATTCAGCCAAGGAAAGCTTTGTGGGAAATTAGTGAAATACAGTATTCTAATTTTGGTGTATGTAAAGACTTTTTTTCAGAGTGGACTTGTTTTCCATACAGATTAGTCTGCTGTTCTGACAAAATTCATAAAAACCTACCCTACGCCCTAGTGCTTTAAATCTTTAAGTTTGAATTTATTTGTCAAGATATTGCAAATTGATTATGAAATACCTTATTCAACATCTAAATAATTAAAATTTCAGAACTCACCAAGTAGACTAGCAGGTATTGGTCCTTCTAAGTCGATTATGCTGGAGTCTTTGCCATGAGCTTCCCATAGTTTCCTCCGAACGTAAGCATGAACTTGTTTCACCAATGGGTCGATCTGAGTCGCCAAGTCTGCACAGACTTGTTCTAAGTTTTCTGTCTCGAATTTGGATTGCCAACGAGCTGCGTTGTCGGTAAAATCTGTAATTGAATCTCAAATGTACAATCGGGTGGGGAAGTTTTGATTTAGGTAGATAAGGTAATAAGGCTGTATGTAGCTTTGAAACCATGCTGGGAAGAGATAGAAAACAATTTTACTGTATGGGTAGCCTCCTTCAAATCAGAAGACTTTTAGAGCCTGGGTAAGATTCAGTTGATTATTTCGTCATTGTATTGATGCTTTTTGATACGGTTAAACAATTGATAGCAGCATTAAACATGTTTTGACTGTTCTTTTATGTACAAAACACCTCTGACTTTCCACAATACATGAACCAGAAAAGTACTTCATCAACTCCCTAATTTTGTGGCTGCCCTGCCCACCGCTGGTCACAATTTAGTGTAACTAACAAAAAAGTGCATTATTAGTAACTCATTCAACACCAATAAAATGGTTATTGTATGAGCCCCCTAACAAATGAAATTGTAAGATGATCAAAAACTTACTGTTTGCTTGGGCAACTTTATTGATCAGTTCCACGTACTGCTGGAAGTAAGGTTTTTCTGCTCTTCCGACAGTGTTGTGCCATCCTTCCCAGTAGAAGGACATTTCACAAGCGTCCAAGAAGTCCTCAGGGAACTTTGGTGACACGTCTGCAAAATAAAAAGTTTTAAAATAGTTTAAAACCTCAATCAGTATATAACATGATGAAATATTAGATTTTCCGACTGTCTAAAAGCTAAATCGAACATTCGTAAAATATGTCTCCAGGAGTGGAAACCGTTCTACCATAATCTTCTATGAGTACAATTAAGCAGCTTTTAAACAAAAGTTCAAATAAAAAATGTTCAAACTTTTTTTCAAAGCACGTGATCTACATTTTCTAAAAAAAAATTATGTAGCTCTAATTAAAATATGAGTTATGGTAGTCCAACTCACCATTGTAGTTCAAAGTTGCTTCCGTATTGGTCGATTTGTACTCTCTCACTTTTGCTGTCCCATAAACATTCAACATGTTGTTTATCACATCAGACAGCTAAAAAGAGTTAAACAAAATAACTGCTAGTGTAATTATACTGACACTATCTCTCAGAGGATTCTCTGGAGGAAAAGATTGTCTCAATAACATGGCATATGTACTAATGTAATTTCCATGTTACGATATGTGCGATACATATCATACTACATGTGTGATACTAAACTTGCTTGTATCGCCTGTTTTCAGATGGCTATCTTCACAACAATAAATAAACGGTATCAGCATTCTGACACATACTTTCTCCCATAAGATTGTCAACAACCTTTCTCATGTGTAAGCGGTAAGTGTAAATATACGGAAATGGGATTTGTAAAATTTTCTTCAGAATTTAAAGGACTATAACATACTAAATTTTTATCAAAATTGTTCTAGCCAATTTTGGGAAAATCCGATTTTCCGTTATTTTATGGGGATTTTTATGGGAAAATAACATAATCCACCATAAATTTGAACCGTAATTTTTACAGAAATGGGATTTGTACCATTTTGTTCAGAATATAAAGGACTATAACATACTAAATTTTTATCAAAATCGTTCGGGCCATTTTTGAGAAAATCCTATTTTTCCAGTTTTTTATGGGGTTTTATGGGAAAATCCCCATTAAAAATAACATTTTCTAAAAAATGACGAAAACTATCAAAATTGAAAGGATCATAACATACTCTGTTAAATCAAAACCGGATTTTTGTCTAAAATCCTATTTTTGTTATTTTATGGGGTTTTTATGGGAAAATAACATAATTTACCATAACTTTTGAACCATAATTTTTACAGAAATGGGATTTGTACCATTTTGTTCAGACTTTAAAGGGCTACAACATACTAAATTTTTATCAAAATCGTTCGGGCCATTTTTGAGAAAATCCGATTTTTCCAGTTTTTTATGGGTTTTTATGGGAAAATCCCCATAAAAAATCAAAATTTCAAAAAAATGAAAAAAACGCCTGGAGATACCACGGATTAGAACCTACATACCAAATTTCATTGAAATCGGACCACAGGTGTAGTCCCTAGCTCTGTACACATCCAGACACACAGACACACACACAGACACACACACAGACACACACACACACACACACACACACAGACATCACTTCGAAAACCACTTTTTTGGGTCCAGGGGGACCCAAAACGAATATATCCACTCAAAACTCAAACTCGAAAATTTTGACGAAAACAATACTTTCTCCATATACTATGGTATAGGGGGAGAAAGTAAAAAGAAGCTAATATTACAAACAATTTTGGCAGTGACGGCAATAAAAGTCCGCGTACAATGTTTCATAATATTATAGTTCCACATACCTTGGTTCTGTCATCAGGACTTATTGCTGCTTCATCCAGTTGTGACAGATAGAAGAACTGTCTTTTCAAAACAGGGTCTGAGAAAGACTTCCAGGGAAACTTAGATGCTTCCGGCCACACGCTGGCTAAGTAGAGGTTGTAGTTTTCTTTTGCTGTTGCCTGGAACATAACTGTGAATAAACTCAAGTTTTCCAGGTAACTAATAGGCGCTAATATTAAAATCAAATCAAACTATACGACTTATAGACAAAAGTGCAGAGAAAAAGGTAGCAGCATTGGACATAAAGTACCAATGTTGCTGAAGAAAATGTTTACAAAGCCAACAAAATTTGAGGATTTAAAATATATCTTGACAGGAACCTAAGGAATCTGGTTCAAGCACAAAATACATGATGGTTATGACATAGAAAGATGTTTGAGTTGCGCTGGACTGGACATAAGATAAGTAAAGGATATGAAGCATATTAATCCATAGGAAGGAAGCTTCAAATAGAAGAAGGTTCCCTGGAAGAATATTTTCTCATGTTTCTACATGAGAATGGTGGAGCCAATGAAGAACAAGCAGTTAATTCTCTGCCAAATAATTAATTTCTTCTAGCTTCCATTGTATAATTTCACATAATCTCTACTATACTAACCAGATCCTTGGCTGCTTGGTCTGTCAGGGTCGTTTTGTAATCCCACTCCTTGTATTTTGAAGTACTTTCTAGGTGTTTCAAATTTGCATTAACTTTCTTAAGGAAAGCTGGAGCTTCCTTTTCTGTGTACTGTGCCTTTGCCTTTGCCCATACAACACTCAGCAAAGCTGCTAGTATCACCGACGTATCTGAATAAAATGAAGCAGATTGAATCATACAAATGTCAAGGAGCGGTCAAGGATCTAAAAATGTCAATGTAGTTTTAAAAATGGTATGGTACACAAACTTAGTAAATCTTGGTCAAAATATGACAATTAAAGATACCTAGATTGTTACTTATTTTAAAATCTAAAGACATTATTGATATTTATAATCAAGAAACGTTTTTTGTCCTTGATTTTGGGTAAATTTCAACTTATGATTGATAATATGTTGGTTTAAAATCATGTTAAATTGTTATAGAACAGAACAAATACATAGTGAACTTAAAACACACTCTACAGGTAACATATTTAACATTTACTTGATTTCTCATGGATGTAGTGATTAATAGATTAGATTTTACCAATTACATGATGAATTCAATTAACTCAACTAGTCATAAAATTATTATTTTACCATTCTAGATAAATTGAATACTTCACTTAAAGATATAACCTCAATTAAATTTCCCTTTATTGAGTAAAGATATAATATTTACTATGTATTTAGGCCAAATTTATGATTAATTTGCAAAAAAATTTTAAATTGCATTTTCCTACATACAAACAAAGATTTTTATTTTTATGGAACTAAAAACTTATCAAAACTAACTAATGTAAAACTACTAATGAGAAAAGAATATTAATATTTTTAGATTTTATGGATTATGAGCTGACAAGTTTATTCAATATTGTTTTTATGCTAAAAACCAAAAAAGCTTCAACTTTAAGTACTATAGTCCTAGTTTTTAAGCAAATAATAAGAACTAACTAATCAAAATATAAAATAGACTTGAAAGTTCTATCTATAATATAAAGACTACGACATTTTGTTGATTCCCTCATTCTTAATTGATAAATGGTTAATGCAAACCAACTTACTTGTGAGATGCATAGTGTCGAAGTGAAAGTGGTACTTCGAAGTACCACACTGAAGAGTAACCTCTCACATTTGCTCACTCAATATACTGTATAACCAGAGGACAATGACAATAGAACCCACAAGTTCAACTCGTGAAAGTAAAATATCCTTTTGTTGAAAATAGAGAAAGTTTGAAAAGAATTGAAAAGAATCCCCAAATTTTGCAATATTTGACATCGAGTGAAATTTCAATAACTTCCATCTCCTTTCAAAAGCTGTTGACATAGAATGGGAAGCCATACAAAATTATGTTGACTTGTCAATGTGTTTCTAAAGTCAATAGAAGTGGGTGACAAAACAACTTGAACAAAACTAGCAACTTTGTATCCAGTTATTGGTTAGTGAACAATTTCTAGTTATACAGGGTCTCCTGTAACTCTCTGGACACATGTATATAGCGACATAGCGTTATTGCTTAGGTCAAGACAAATAAAAAAAAGATAATTGAAAAATCAGCTGTTTTGCAAACTTTTAAAAAAATCAGCTGTTATGTCAACTTTAGAAAAAACAGCTGTTATGCGAAGTATTAAAAATCTGCTGTTTTGCAAAGTATACAAAATCAGCTGTTTTGTAGAATCAGCTATTTTGGAAACAATTTTAAAATCAGCTGTTTTGTCAACTTTTAAAAAATTAGCTGTTTTGCCAACTTTAGAAAAATCGGCTGTTATGCAAACACTTTTAAAATCAGCTGTTTTTAAAACTTTTAAAAAATCTACTATTTTACAAACAAATAATAAATCAGCTGTTTTGCCGAATTTGGGCAATTCAGTGTTTTGCTAAGTATTAAAAATCAGCTGTTTTGCAAACAATTTTAAAATCAGTTGTTTTGCAAGCCTTTAAAAAATCAGCTGTTTTGCCGACTTTTGAAAAATCTGCTGTTTTACAAACAATGATAAATGATATGTTTTGTCGAATTTGGAAAAATCAGCTGTTTTGCAAACGATTTTAAAATCAACATTTGAAATAACAGCTGTTTTGCAAAGTATTAAAAATCAGCTGTTTTGCAAACTTTTAACAAATCATCTGTTTTGTAACAATTTTAAAATCAGCTGTTTTGCAAAACTTGTAAACATCAGCTGTTTCGCCAACTTTTGAAAAATCAGCTGTTTTGCAAAGTATAACAAATCAGCTGATTTGCGAACTTTTAAAATCAGCTGTTTTGCAAAGTAAAAAAATTAGCTGTTTTACAAAACTGTTTTGTCAATTTAAGAAAGTCCGCAGTTTTGCTGACTTTTGAAAAATCTGCTGTTTTACAAACAGATGATAAATCAGTGGTTTTGTAGAGTTTGGAAAAATCAGCTGTTTTGCACAGTATTAAAAATCAGCTGTTTTGCAAACTTTTAAAAAATTGCTGTTTTGCAAACAATTTAAAAATCAGCTGTTTTGTCGAATTCGGAAAAATCAGCTGTTTTGTAAAGTATAACAAATCAGCTGTTTTTGAAAAATCAGCGGTTTTGCAATCAATTTTAAAATTAACATTTGAAATAACAGCTGTTTTGCAAAGTATTAAAAATCAGCTGTTTTGCAAAGTATTAAAAATCAGCAGTTTTGCAAACTTTTGAAAAATCAGCTGTTTTGTCAACTTTAGAAAAATCAGCTGTTTTGCAAACAATTAATAAATCAGCTGTTTTGTCGAATTTTTTAAAATCAGCTGTTTTGCAAAGTATAACAAATCAGCTGTTTTGCAAACTTTTGTAAGATCAGCTGTTTTGTAAACCATTTTATAATCAGCTGTTATGTTAACAATTTTAAAATCAGCTGTTTTGAAAACTTTCGAAAAATTAACCGTACTACAATCAAATGATAAATTAGCTGTTTTGTTGAATTTGTAAAAATCAGCTGTTTTTACAGTATTAAAAATCAGCTGTTCTGCAAACAATTTTAAAATCAACATTTGAAATAACAGCTGTTTTGCAAAGTCTAAAAAATCTGCTGTTTTGCCAAATTTTAAAAAATCATCTGTTTCGCCAACTTTGGAAAATCGTTTTGCAAAGTATAACAAATCAGCTGTTTTGCAAACTTTTGGAAAATCAGCTGTTTTGCCAACTTTAAACAAATCAGCGCTTTTACAAACAAATGATAAATTAGCTGTTTTGTCGAATTTGGAAAAATGTGCTATATTGCAAAGTATAACAAGTCAGATGTTTTGAAAACTTTTGAAAAATCAGCTGTTTTGCAAACTTTCAAAAAATCAGCTGTTTTGCAAACAATTTTAAAATCAGCTGTTTTGCATAAAGTTTTTAAAAATCAGCTGTTTTACAAACAAATGATAAATCAGCTGTTTTGTCGAATTTAGAAAAATCAGCTATTTTGCAAAGTATAACAAATCAGCTGTTTTGCAAACCGTTAAACAAATCAGCTGTTTTGTAAAGTATAACAAGTCAGCTGTTTTGTCGAATTTTTTAAAATCAGCTGTTTTGTAAACTTAAAAAAATCAGCTGTTTTGCAAACAATTTTATAATCAACATTTGAAATAACAGCTGTTTTGCAAAGTATTAAAAATCTGCTGTTTTGCAAACTTTTAAAAAATATGCTGTTTTGTCGAATCTTTAAAAATCCGCTGTTTTGCAAAGTATAACAAATCTGCTGTTTTGCAAACAATTTTAAAATCAGCTGTTTTGTCAACTTTAGAAAAATCTGCTGTTTTGCAAACAGTAAATAAATCAGCTGTTTTGTCTAATTTTTAAAAATCTGCTGTTTTGTAGAATTTTGAAAAGTCAGCTGTTTTGCAAAGTATAAAAAAATCAGCTGTTTTACAAACTTTTGTAACATCAGCTGTTTTGTCAATTTAAGAAAGTCAGCAGTTTTGCTGTTTGCAGTTTGCAGTTTTGCTGACTTTTGAAAAATCAGCTGTTTTGCACAGAATATTAAAAATCAGCTGTTTCGCAAACTTTTAAAAAATCAGCTAATTTGCAAACTATTTTAAAATCAGCTGTCTTACAAAATTTTTAAAAATCAGCTGTTTCGCCAACTTTTTAAAAATCAGCTGTTTTGCAAACAATTAATAAATCAGCTGTTTTGTCGAATTTTTTAAAATCAGCTGTTTTGCAAAGTATAACAAATCAGCTGTTTTGCAAACTTTTGTAAGATCAGCTGTTTTGTAAACCATTTTATAATCAGCTGTTATGTTAACAATTTTAAAATCAGCTGTTTTGAAAACTTTCGAAAAATTAACCGTACTACAATCAAATGATAAATTAATAACAAATCAGCTGTTTTGCAAACTTTTGGAAAATCAGCTGTTTTGCCAACTTTAAACAAATCAGCGCTTTTACAAACAAATGATAAATTAGCTGTTTTTTTATCAGTTTTTCAAGTTAGAGACGAAGTCAACAACTTAAAACGATCGAGAGCTGCAAAACCATTTCGTCCTGTGGTACGAACGCCATTTTCACCACACTATACGCCTACAACTTTGAGAAAATATATGCAATAAATGCAAACTATCATTCAACACAACTACAACTTATGTAAAGACATATTTAGATGAATCAGTAAAATAATAATAAATAGTTACTAAGCAGCGGTGATAATTAAACAAGTCTATTGCAATGCATATACAGCTTAAAAAACAATGTTTTAAGTAAATAAGCGAACAGCTGATTTTCTGTCCTAGAGCCGCAAAAACCTGCTCGGTCCCCAAATAACGATGACAGCTGGCATGGACGGCAATACGTAGCTTTCAGCCTCCAATTAACGTTTGTAAAAAGGCTAAAACAGCATAGTGTGGTAAAAAAAATGCCACTATCTTGCAAAAGCTGAACACAATAATCGATATCAAATATCGGAATCGCCTCGATCGCAACCGTAAAACAGATGTGTCAGTCGGTATCGAACTTTGTGAAATATCTGTCCGATTTCCATTTCCCCCAGAAAGGAGCATTTTATTTATTCTCTGCTTAAAGGGTCTGGCCACCGCTGACCACATCTTTGCCCTTTCCAATTTATGAGTTCTATTCTCTTTATTTTTATCTCAATATTTCATTTTTCCCGATTACATTCAAATTTGCCATAGCAGCATTGTGCAAGTGACAGCCAAGGGTGCGGAATGGCCCTTATGTATCGTGTTTTTTATCCCCATTCCCCTTCCAACGCAATTCTGAATATTTTTAGCATGTTTCGAAATCAGTCAGTTTTAGTTATGTGTTTTTTGATTGTTTTCTTTTGGTGTAAAGATTTGATCGTTTTATGTAGCTTGTTGAATGTTGTAAAACAATAGTTTGTGGGTTTGTGCTTTTACCAGGAGATTGAAATGAAAATTGAAAATTCAAAAGTTAATGTAAGCCTAATACTTGTATTTTATATTGTTATTTGATACTGATTATCGTGCGTAAATATATCACCATAGGCAATAAACCATTATTGGTCCATTGTCTGTGATAGTAAATCGTCCTTAAAATCTTTTTTATAGAAAAAGTTTCAATTCCAACTGCTTGGGCGAGTAATGGCATGGTTATGAAAACGAAATTACACTGTTAGCGTGTTGATATAATTAAGATTAACCTACGAGAGCAGATGCTGCAAAATGCTTTTAATATCTCAGGAAATATTGTTATAAATTACGAAATCAGTTAGTAGGTACAATAAGGAATAAGGTATATTTTGGAATAGTTTCGCAATGGAATTGATAATCAAATCATGTAAGGCATGATTATTTGTAATGTTTAGTTATTTTATCTAGTTACGAACGATTTTGAGCGTTAGTAGAGAAAAATTTTAAATTCGAATGTTCAGAACATTATAACAATTGTTAATGTACAGGAAAGGTAAGTTTTTTCACGTAAATTAATTTTGAAGGAGGGAAATTAATGGTTGGAATAGGTAAAGCATTTTTTTGAGTACAGGAAAAATTAACTGATTTTTTAAATTTCTTATTTATTTTTGAAGAAATTCGACGATTTTTTAAAATTTAAAAATTATAGTCATAGTCATATTTGCTTCATTCAACAGGAAAAAAGCTATTGCACATGGATGGTGTCACCCAACTAAATATTCAATATTAAAAAATATCTAAACCAATAAAAATAAAAATATAAGACTACTAATTAAAAATATCAACCAACAAATTCGCCCAGAATATAAATCGGCGTAGATAACACGTTTTTATTTACTTCTCAAGTTTGTCTGTATTTGCTTGTTTGGAGGTTAGCTCGTGATTAAGGTTACCTTTTAAAAAAATTACTATCATAATAAGCTTTAGCTTAGCTGTATAATAAAGGGTCATTTCGTTTATGAAAAACTTACGTGGGAAATCAAACAAGAAACACATATCTAGGTCACATGGAGAAAAAAAATCATCAGAATCTTGACTATTTCAACCCGAGTAGTCTCTGACTATTTACATCTGGCCGGCATCAATCAAAGGTCGGTAGGATCCAAAGACCACCTGAGGGTAAAGATAACATCTAATGTTGGCAACACTGTAGCCACGACATCGTGGGACTAGTGCACAGGTGAAGATGTTATCTTCCCTGAGGCTCGACCAGGGTAACCACCCCCACAAACGTAAAAAACTACGACCCGAATGTCAAAACATTGGCTACCGTGGCAAGCCGTGGGAGTTCAAATTTGTCCCCCGGCTAAAGGGGTGTGAAGGTGGTAAGTTTTTGTGACAAATATTTGTATTTTGTGTTTACCAACGCAGTTAGGGTTTCTTACGTTTTACGTTCTCCCCCTCCCTATACATGGTATGGTTACCGATAAACTGTGGTTTTCTTAAAAAATTTAAGTTTGAGTTTTGAGTAGATATGTCTGTTTTGGCCCCCCCCCTGAACCCAAAAAGTGGGTTTCGAAGTGTTAGCATAATTTGTAACATTATGTGTGTACCCGGCTACAGACCACATCTGATTAGATTTTTTTAATTAGGTTTAAGTATGTGGCACAAAATATAGAACAGTGGTATGGATAATGATGTTACTGACCCGAAAGTAAACATTATTTAATTACCCATTACTTAAATTGAACAGTCCAAACATTATGGTTATTTTACTAGTTAGGATTTGGACCAGTTGCATAATTTGTTAATGTTACAATTATAAAGTTTTGCTGTAATATTTGTAGTATGTGGGTACTTATCTGTGGTATCTTAATGTGTTTTTGATTTTGATTTTTATGAGCGATTTTCTTATAACGAACTTTAACACGATTAGATAAAAAAAAAAAACTGCTTTAAGGATCTTGATAAAAATTATAGTCCTTTAATAAGTCAATAATTTAACCTTTAACTCCTTTAAACAAAATCGTAAACCAACATAGCTGTACATATTATGGTTCAAAAGTTATTGCAGACTTTGTGATTGTCTCCCATAAAAATCATAGTTACTCCCACTGCTAGTTATACGATAAGGGTTGTTGCCAAGCTAACGGGAGAAAGTATATATCAGATCAAGATTGCTGATTCAATTTTATTTCATAAGAACGATTTAAATAACAACTTTGTTACCATCTAACGATGTTTTGTTGGTTAGCTCAATCGCTCAATGACAAATGACATCTAGATTCAGAATCGATACCAGTTTGATTCGGACCTGCTACCTTCGGATTTAAAGGCAAACACTACTCAGGTACCCAGACAGTTAATTATCTTCAATTAATTCAAATAAGAAAATTTTTACCCTTAACGTAGCAAAATCGTTTAATAGGCTATGGACCCATCCATACACTCATGAGTTTGCATTATCATTATTGTATTAACATAACAGCCTAATGAAAAAATTTGTCCAGAGTAGGTATTGCTTGGAATCGAATCAGTGACCTTCAGATTTGAAGGCGAGTACTATAACCATTTATCTTAGATCATTTGAAATAATAATTTATAGGATAACTGTACAATTGTAATCAGTTATCAAATAATCATTTAATGAACGCCCATGTCGACCAGTAAGAGCCCTGTGCATTTTTATTAATACAGTAAGATTAAATGGAGTGAAATCTCCTACTCAGAGAGTGTTCTCATCAACTGAGAGACTTCTCCTCTTTGTTTTCTTAATAGACGAGTGTCAAAACCATTTCATCAGTGTACTTGAATCGGCTATTGATATAAACCATATATAGATATAAATATTTAAATTCGTTTTAGTACTGTCTATTTGACTCGGAGAAACTTTGTTATTCTCATTATTTGTCTAGAAAAGTCTTGTATTTACTAAATTGTTAGATTTATATTGCATTATATTAAATTGACTATTCATTATTCATTCTATTGATACAGTACTCATTTTTATTTATTCATTTATTTGTTATGATATATTGTAATACTTTTTCATATTGAGTTTGTGTTACTATCTATATTATACACATATTTATCTATATTACAGAAATGGTGGCCAACTTATCGTTTGTGGTGATTTTTTATAAAATGAATCAATTTACTATGAAAAGATTTTCCTGCAGGATGGATTAACGAATACTAAATCTGACGTGTTTAGCGCTACCTTTGATTTAAATGACCAACCGATTGGCTTTTATGCGTTGGACAGACATTTTCAATAACTGAATCATAATTAATTATTTTAGATATTATTTACATTGCGTTTAATTCTTATAGGAATATGTTGCATACATAAATCAGATATGTAGATAGATGACTTTTAAATATTAGTTTAGCGTATTAACTATTCAAATAATTATAGAATTCAATAATATTCATTATGTTGGGATTGGAAAACTTTTACCGTCTCAAATGATAAAGCTGCAATTGTATAAACTTTGTAAATTATAAAATTACTGATCTTTTGGAATTATGGTTGAGTAAATTAATTTTATAAAATACTGTACATTATGGAGGAGTAAACTATTAAATGTATACGTAAAAACAAATCATATATTATGAACATGTACGGTACTGTATACAATAATATACAGTATATTATATAATTCCCGTACATAATAAATGCAGTTAAGATAACCAAAGACCATAGACAAAAGTAATGCAAAACAAAAGAATTGTCAAAAAGTGTCACTGAAATGACGCTCGCTTGAAAATTAAACCCCAAACAAAGAAAAAACTCGGAATTGTATTCCGTATAAAATTAAAATATGTGAAAGTCCAAAAACATTGCCTCTTTTTTGTAAAAAAAAAAAAAAATAATACTGTATCTAACCTTTTAAACATTTATAAAACATAGTCTGTTGTTAAATTAATTATACACTTCAGTTATAATGATGAATTATTACATAATTATAATTAATGAATCGTTCCGATTGAAGCTAGACCCTCAACAAGTATATAGTATCGTGTAGAATCTGTAAAAGCCTAAGAAACACCTCATCTTTTACGGAAACAACACAATAAAATAATTAATAACTTAAATCATAAACAGTTAGTCGTTAAAAGCAAATACATTTTTAAGTGTGGTACTTGAAGAGATGAATGGGTGGAACAATAGTTAGTTTTGACATTTTTATTCTAATTTATATGGACACTAAGCTATGTTTATTGTTCTGGAGTAGATAAATACAAAATATATTCATATGCGTAACTAGGATGATCCTAAGGGATGGGGGGGGGGGTTTACACTGGTGGGTCTGGGGGTTTAGGGGATGAGGGAATTGGGGGTTCTCGGGTGGTCTATAATGTTTGAAAATTAGACCTGTAAACTCTTGTTTTTACCTATTTAGATTTAATGACATATAAAGCAGTATTTTTTATATTTATTTCTGTTCTAGTGCTCTTGTGCCAAAACATGTCTATTATTTTGTAAATGGTGTACCATTAATATGCATAAATAAATAAATAGTAGAAATAAATTTTAATTAAAAAATCTCGTTTATTAGGTCAAGAGGGGGTTCAAACGTTTAAAACCCCCCTGGATACGCCACTATATTCGACACCATTATCAGAATAAACTACTAGTCTAATAGTCTAAACACAGACACAAAATAAAACAGCCTTACTAGAGAAATACATCGTACATTTCCGGGAATTAAAATCCAACCAAGAAAACAGAAAACAGCTCTGGAAGAAAGATAAAACTAGAAGCTGAACGCTATTGTAAAACAATTTCGTCCATTGTATTTGTATGGATGTAGCCGGGGGAATAAAATTAGTTATTGTTGCGGAGGCGGGGCCCTCGTCGACCAATGAGAGCGAGGGGCGTGGCCAACAGGGTGGGGGGAGGGTAGGTCTACTTGTCTGTCAGTTGGCATGAACCTACCGTCCAGTGTAGACATGCATAGCGGCGTGGACATGTCTATACATCATGATATGTCGTTGCATCCGGTGTTGGGGGCGATTCCTCCGGCGTTCTTTCTCCGCGCGTCCGAAAGGTACCAAAGGACGCCGAAGTGCGCCCGCTGTCGCAATCACGGGGTAGTTTCTGCGCTCAAGGGCCACAAGAGATACTGTAGATGGCGCGACTGTGTGTGTGCCAAGTGTACGCTGATAGCTGAGAGACAACGGGTGATGGCGGCGCAGGTGGCTCTGAGGAGGCAGCAGGCGCAGGAAGAGAGCGAAGCGAGGGAGCTGGGGCTGATGTACCCGGCGCCACCAGCACTGCCAGCGCCACCGGGCCCGCCGGCGCCCCCGGAGATGATGCACCAGACCATGTTCCCGGGGAGCCCTCATAGTCCAGGTAAACTTGTGGTATCAAGTAGTATAGTTTTAAAGAAGTAAATAGCTAAACCGAAGTACCGTTCAAAAGAAGCAACTAGAAGTAGAGGTCAAAAGAAAGGTTCAAAAGAAGTAGCAACCGAAGTAACGAAGTTTAAAACCATACTAAGAGGAAAAGATCTTACAGCCGCATACTAAGAAACTTGACAGTTCAAAAGATATAGCGTCCTAAGTATCATCTGAAGTAACATATTCCAAAAGAAGTAGCCCACTTATTTAAGAAGTAAGAATTATAAGAATTAAAGTGGTGTCATAAGAAGTATACAACAGTTCAATAGAAGTACAGTAGCAAGCAAATCAAATCATTTTATTGAGCTAAAATTGACAATACATATTGCATTAGCTAAGTCATGGTACAAACGTACAGAATTAAAATTATAAAGTTTTCTTTATTCTTATAAAACTTTTTACAGTAAGGTATTTACAAACTATGGCTAGACAACAATAATTTACAAAGCTCAGCTGTCGCTATCTAAACGCCAGGGTTTACAGCAGTCCAGTTTCTGTGGTCCAAGAACTCTTGGATGCTGTAACAGGAGATATTAACTAACTGTCTGTTTATGCATCTTTTAAAATTTGAGTGGTCTGATTCCAATTTAAAATGGAGTTGTTGTCAAATTCACATAGTCCAAAAGATGTAGCGTACTAGCCTAAGACTTGTAGTTAAAGTTTTAACGTCCTAAGGTGTAAAGCAGTTCATAATAAGCAGCATTTTAAGTGACATAATCGAAAAGGATTGCAAGAAATTCAATTCACAGGAAGTATCATTATAAAAAATCTATACAAATTACACCCTTATATAAATAAAAAATATTCTATCATTGTATAATTTAATATTTTTATGATTGCGTACCTTTGACATGTTGTAAAGTTTAATGAATGGAAACAAATTGATTAATATTGTCTATAGCTTGTGCCAATCTATATTTTTATTAGATTAATGACAAATTTAGTACCGAAACAATAGTAACTGGATCAGTTTCGACCCCTCACATCGCCATTGAATTGGCACTATTCGGGTATGAATTAAGGCGAACAAATTATCATGAAGATTGCCAATAGCCAGAAGATCCCCCCCCCCCAGTTTGACGCAAAGAATGTTGATCGTATGGATAGTTGGACGACGTACATATCCAAATAGACGCAATTCTTACAAAAGGATTACACATCTTGTGGGAGTTGTCTTGCGTAAATTAGGATACTAATTTAGTGTAAGTTCTTCATTTAGGCCTATTTGTAATTCTAATACATGATATAAGACGATAAACCCACAAAATGAAACTTCTTCTGTAAATTGTAAAGGCCATGTTAAATTGAGAAACAAAACCAAGTAATCACTATTTACTACAATAATAACTATAATTTAAAAGATTTCATTAAAGTAACATACTATGTACTTAGTTTTTTAATTAGCTTTTATATTATTTTATTTAATCATTTCTAAATTCGTTTTCTAAACAGTCCTGCATACTTTTACACAGCTTGAGCTTACTGATTAGCATTATTCGAGGTGGTGCGATTCCCAGCGTATACATTTTGTACATTTGTTTACCGTCTTGAATATTGATAGAATATTGGTGGAAATATATCAAATAGTGTTCTGATGTATATTTTATTTGTTTAGATGTTTTAAAGCGACATATTTAACATATCTCCCAGGGTTTTTTAATTCAACATTATATAACGTCCATTTCTCAATAATAATGATTACTTTGATACCCCCACCACTGCAGACCTACAGGATAGGCGAGTTACCAATTTAGATTCAACAGTTTATTTATTCCCAATTAGAAAGTGTGTTTTTATTGAAATAAAAAAATATTGAATTTGTTGTGTAAAATAAATAAATTTCCCAAATTTGATTAAATTATATCGATAAACAACCAAACTACAATATAGTTTTTTATTCTCCACTAGCTGACCCGGCGAACTTTGTATACTGACAAACAATCATTTAAGTCGTGATAGTTTTTGATCAATTTAGTTTAGGACTTTATTTATTTATTGCAATTAATTCCATCAATTTATCATATGAAGTACATTATTTATAGTAATAACAATATATAAAAAGAAAATCAAACTTTATGATACTCTTCAGTAAAGTACCTTGTGATATACAACATTATTGTTTTGTTATCAGGTGCAAGAATAGAATAACATAGGAGTTTTTGAAATCTACATTAAAATTTACATTGTAAGTTAAAATTCAACGGGACACTTGATTCTGAGAAATCATAAATAATAACAGAAAACCAACAAATATAATGATAACATCAGAAGAGAAGAACGCAACTACCTTAAACAATTAGATAAAAGAGGTGTTCACAAATATAGAGTGAATTAAAAGAAAGATCTACTGTATATTAAATACATTTCTCGTGACTATTTTGTGTTAACTAATGACAATCCGCTGACGATAACGTTGTAGAATTGAGCTACAATGTATATTCAACGTCTGATTTATTCGTTGAAGTGTCAATAGCGTTTAGGTATTTTTGACAATCTACCGTTCACTAGATATTTTATACATGACCATTGTATTATATCGTATGATCTAATTTTGGTGGAAGATTTTTCCTAGCTCACTATCAAAAGTTACATGATGGGTTTCAATATAGGCCATTCTTACTAATTATTCAAGGATAGCTATCAGATTGAAGTTGCAAACTCTTTAGCAATATCCAACCAATGGACATTGTAATGCAGTTTGTTGAGTGGTAAGTATACAAATAAAGCAATTTGAATTTGAAGTATCCCGTGCTTAAAGTTCATAAAAACCTTAAAAAGTGTATTAAAAACGTCATTAAAGTTTAGTGATAAAAAATTATATCCGATTTATCTGATGCTCAGAGGTCTATTACTCGTTCCAGTGCAAAACGATAAATTTTTTCTTTCATGTATCCTGTTAAGTGATCCATACGGGACCATCCCATAACTCAAAGTAATTTTATTTCCAAATGCTTATTAACCCAAGTAAATATAAGCCCAAGTGATCATAACTCCAAGATATTTTTAATACAACGTCTCACAACTCCAAGTCATCGAAACCCCAATGAAAATGCGATCATTAAACAAAACCAAGTTCTCACAAAACCAAGTAAACTTATTTCCAAGTCCTTATAAGCCTGGAGCTATGAACCTCACCCATCCATACACATCCATTCATTGCTTAGCGGTAAATTTTATCAAATGTTTTGTTTGCATTATCAATATCGTGCATTTCCTAGTTTTCGTCCAACGCTACAGTCAGTGTAAACTTTGCAGATCCATCTAACACATTCAGTATTCTAAGGTGTGGAAAACCCGCGACACTATCTTGCTAATCAAAGAATCAACAAGCAAACTTCAACACTTAAATATTGCTTGCGAAACCAACGACAGAATTTTACATTTCCGTGTGACGAATTTAGACATGAGTTGTTTATACAGTTTCTGATTGTTTTTTGTCAAAAGATTTGGGGGTTTTAAAGGAGGGCTTAAAAAGTAGTTTACATACCTTTTGTCGATTTTAAGCAGAATCTGCATAAGGAAATTGTTAGTTTCAATTTCAAACGTATTTATTTTAAGATGATACAACAGTTTGGCCTCGCTACGTTTGCAGAACTTGTTGGCGAAGCCCAATTGATGCACGAAAAGTAACAAACTTTATATTTTTTCTTTTTTACAAAAATATATCTAGCACTACTAATTCCATGGTGGTTTGTGGCAGGTACCTGTCTATATAGAATAATTGGCAGCAGAAATAAAAAACTCTAAATTTATTGTGAAAAATTGCCTTCGAATAATTATTCCTTCGTTTACAAATCCAAGGATCGTCAATAATTCCGAAAGCAAATGTCGTATCAAGATAATTTTTATAGCAGAGCAACTATCGCATTAAGACTATTTACACGAGCTGCACACCTTTTTACCTACAATAGTTTTTTTAATAAATAATAATAACTTATAATAACAATAATAAATAAGTACAGTATAATGACTTCTAACACTCAATAAATTTCCAAGAGAGGTAATGTTTTGTTTATAACCGCTCATAGTCACTGATAGTGATGCAACGACTCATTAAATTGGTAAAACAGTTTATAAGTTGATGTGCGAAGCACAATTTTACTTCTTTTCTCCCAGTCCTTTAACCTCGTTTGTCCGTTACTAATGCTGTAAAAAAATGCGGTAAAGTAATTAAACCATGGTAAAGTGTGAATATTTGACCAAGTGCTCAGAAGTTTGCAAACCGATCGATACAAATTCTGTTAATAACATTAATCCTCCCGTGATATCTAAATATCATAGAAATCCTTTAATCTAATATTTATTTCTAAAACAACCCCTCATAGTTACTTCCCAAACTACAATCTGCAACTTCCTCTTTTAAACTTCAAAATTACAGTTTTACCACCTTATCACAATATAATTAACTTCTTACAAATTACCATGAGAAAAGAACGAGAACATTTCAAATTGAAATACTTTTGTGCAACATTCATTAAAACTCGTTGCATAATACGGGGAGTTCAAGAACGGATAATCAAAATCGGATTAGCGGGGGGAGAGGGGACAAAGGGAAATTTGCTTCAGAATGTCCCCCCTTGGCACGGGAAATTGAAGTTACTTCCGAAGCAATAATACAGTTGTCATATTGTTATTGACTCTCAGTATCTGGAATTTAATTAATTTACACTCCGCTCTGCGCTCAGCGTGAAATATTGTATGGATATTGTCAGGGTAAATAATTATATGACAAAAGGCGATTGTGTTGAACATTTATGATACTTGATTGGTTCTATTGTATTTTATATAATAGTATCAAAGCATAATATATTTGTCAAAGTGTGTTTTTAGTTCGTCGTGAAGAAATTTCCTGTAAAACATACAGGGTGTCTCCAAATTGTCTGGGACATATTTTGTGTGTTATTGGGCTAAGACAAACTTAAAATGTCATACACTAAGTATGGGTCTAAAATG